TAGAAATGTTGAAGAAGATGAAAACAGAATCGTGCAGAAATGTTGGAAAATTTCGATTTATGGGTTCACTTCCTTTTTGAATTCATGGGCTAGTATAATTTTTTTCCCCATGGTCTACAGCTAAAGAAACAAGCATATCATGTCGCTATTACGCATCAGGTTGCTGATGTAAAAGGTCGGGTTTCGTATGTGTCTGTAATTAAAACAGATGCATGGCTCACAGTTATATTTAGGAGGTGTTGGCCAAAGAATACTTGACGTGTCGTTGCAAAGGGAAAGCGCTGGAATGACCACCACAGCTGAAATCTGACCTTTCATCGGCCGGCAACGCATTATAGTAGAAAGCTGAGATCCAGGCAGGGTTAGAGGTTACAGACCAGCAGACATGATGAAAGGCTTGACCTTTTCAGTATCCACTCCTGATTCTTGGAGCTTACTTATTAACAGCTAATTTACTCTTTGCAGAGTTGTTGACAGGTTTTCGTTTGCACCATCAGTACAACTTGTAGTAACATGTGAGTTGGGTTTTGGTAGTACTGCATTTCAAATACACTGAATTTGTGTTTTTTTTAAAACCGTATAACCTTCAAGGATTAAAATAGCTCTCACCTGTTTTCTTCTTAAAATACAATTTTCCGCATGACACAAATTCATGGATTTGCTCTAAAAAACAAACTTGAACACAATGTTTGTAACCATGGTTTTTATGTATGACTGATGTTCAAAGCTGCAATCTCTAGTGTTGAAAATGAAGTTAATGTGGAAATGCAAAGAACTGCAGTTCCAAGAGTATAACCTTGAAAAAGCAAAGAAATCCTCATCGGGTCACATATTAAAATGCCCATTTCCAAGGAAAAATTAAAAATACTTTTATAGCAAAGCTTTTATAATGATACGAAGGCTGAGAGTTGAGCATAAATTTGCATAATAAAGGGCACAACTAACATGGCGCATTGTCTGAAGGCTGAAAGCCAGATTTAGCTCCACCTCTGCCTCTGTGTAATCTGAGCAAGAGTTTGTTTCTACTATCGACTGGAGATGTCACACAGACTATTCATGCTTTTTTACAATCTATGAATGGTCCCAGTCTGAAGTATGTTAAAATCTTTGTTGAAAACTGTAAAAAAATAGATTAACCTCAAAGTCATTGGTAAAACTCCATTTCCATTTGGTGACACATCCTGAGATTGCAGCTAAATCAATACTGTTGGGACATAAAGTAGGTCTCCATAGTAACAATAATTTACTCAGGTCTGATGGTGTGAAACAGCTGCAGTACGGCTAGATTACAGTATTTAAAAGGACCTGGGATGTGTGGTTTTGGATGAAATATGGTATTAAACTAACAAAATAAGAGAATGACGTAGTCACTTAGTCTCATGAAAGACTGGTTTAACGGTCTACTGAGGGGGCGGCACCAGTACACTAAGGTGTTATTTATAGGTCGCATGTCTACCTAGACACAGCGTCACTGTCTCCGTGTTCTAACACATCACTGCATTATTATAGCTGACTTAAAAGACGAGGTCCAATATTCACTCCATTCAGCCTTTTCGACAAAAGAAAATTGCTGTTACATGCTGAACCGGCTATTTGAAAAACTGCTTTTATTAAAAAATGTATGACTTTTTTCTGGTCTTGACCTAAACTAGCCAAGTTTGGTTGTGACATTAAGATTCATGCACAGAAAAAAATTACTTCCTTTCATAAAAATTCAGCAGGCAGAAATGGTTTGCTGTAGAAAAACCTAACAGTATAAATGTCAGCACTCAGTCAAAAGCTGCACAGCTAACCAGCTGTCAAGGACAGCAACACCAACGCTTTTACTGCCAACAACACAGGCCCTCTGGTTTTCATTTTCTCTGTTTCTTCACCATCACTTCCACATCTACTCACGCCAACTCCACTTCTCTCAGCTGTAGCTACACAACCCAGCTGGCCTCTCAGGTTTCTGCCTTTGGCGTGGAAATAAATAAAAATGCATGACGGTGAGGAAGAAGCAGAAGGTTACCACAGTGTCAGGATTCACTTTTGGCATTTCAGCAATGAGAAACTAAGGCAGACAGCTGTTTCAATAAATATAACATTTCAAATGTCTTGACTTCCACCACAGTGATGAAAGTTGGCCTGCCAGCTAGTAGCGCCGAACACAGAAGCACCTTTTTTTTTTTAATGGTATTAATAACAACTGCTTTAAATGAATTATAAGATTGAAAAGCCAGAGAGGCTTATGTTTTTTCATGCCTGGGTAAGAACAGAGAAATGCAATGCATCTTTAATGCCCATGCTTCAGTGAAGGGGGAACAAGGAGATTGAGTAATAGCATTAGACCAAAGGTTAATCTGCTGTGTTTTCCCACATAGGGAGAACAGAAAAGAGTGACACCTCTGCCTGCTTAGGAAACACTAGATCTCTTGGGTGGAATCTATTCAAGGAGATGAATGGGTGCAAGAGGAGCGATTTGATGTTCAGACCCTTTGAGGGATTGTCACATTGTGCCACTACACTGCGATCTCTAATACACAGAATGGGTCCTGAAGGTGCGGATACACTGATCTATGACCTGAGACACGCTACACATCTGAAAGACAGCCAGTGTAGGTATCTGACACGGAGATTTATCCCTGATGGGAAAGAAGGAACCTAGACTCAAAGGAATATCAAGGAACCTACACTTAGAGTCATATCTGGCAGTCAGATTTGGGTAAGGGAATTGTTTTATTGAAGGATTTATTGAAACCCATGCCAGAATCGATTCTTCTCATCAATCCAATGGTTCCCTAATCAACTCCTGTGGATTTGCTATGTGTAAGGAAGTAGGTTTATTCATGTTTTCTATATCAATAACAAATTTTATTACATAATTTATTACCTTCACTGCTCTGCTGAGATGGAGAAGCCCAGGAAAGACTCTGGATGTCACAGAAATACACCTTGTATATGAAGCGAGTGGTTTTTACAGTAAATCGGTACATTGCAACATTCTAGTTTTAGAGCCGATATTGACAGCACAACATTATTTAGTTGTAAAGAATGACACTTTGGACCACTCCTGTCTTCTACCTGCTATGCTTACTTCCTTGGATGTTATATGCACTGACTGTTTCTTTAGAAGCGTCATGGCAATATATTGCAAGGTACGCCAAACTGGGTGGAAATTGGCTTAGACCATTACGTAAAGAGACGAATGTTGGAACTGTTATGAAGCAGCTTTTGATTCCCATCCCTAGTCAAATTTTATATTGATTCTGGTAGAAACTGATTCGTCTGTTTGCAAATTCACATTGTTTTCTTTAAAAAATGCCCCTGAGTTAAAGCAAATAATTGGCTTGCAAAGTAATGTAGCTGTAAAAACAGAAAGCTGAAATGACATGGGCCATTTTTTATTACCAAGCAATAGTTAGAGCTGGTGGGAGTTAAGCCCTCTGGAATTAAAGTCATGGACACTGCCAGCGCAAAATAAATAAATAAACACTGCTTGTGATCTCAGTGTTTGAGCTGTTTAGTACTCAGCAGGTAGTGTACAGAAATTGTGTTTGTTGCCATTAGCAACTGCTTACAAATCCCTAAAGTGTATCTTTTAATATTTTCTCTCACATTTTCCTCTTGTAACCAAATTATAGGACGTGGTAGATCGTGTTTACAACATGAATGTTAACATGTCCGTAGGTTTTAGGTGGCACTACTGTCATGAGAAAGCTGCTGCTATTTGGCAACTTAAGCACTGACACAACAGGACTCACTCACTAGCTATCAGGTAGCCTAATGTAGGTGAAAGTGGAAAGCGTGAGGGTGCAATGAACTCAAAGACTTTTTTCTCAGACATGGCCACTGCGAGCCACTCTATACACCCCGAAATAATCTAAAACGGACAACTTTCTCTTCCCATCCCCTGGAATAATGAAGGTAGGCCGACAATAACTTACTAAGGTCTGATGATGTGAAACAGTTGCAGTATGGCTAGATTACAGTATTTAAAAGGACCTGAGAAAATATTGTATTGAACAAACAAAATAAAATAAAAAAATCTGTCATTTTTGGAAACTTTTCATGATTTAGGCTCATCAAAGTCACTTAAGGTCCTTTCACACCGGGACCGTTTTTTACATGCAATTATTTCGGACGTCAAAATTTTTTCGAACCCATATCCTGTCAATACAAGCGTTCACATCAGCAAAGTTTTCCCGTCCTGCGATATTGCGGCATTTATTTTTTCGGATCATGGTCGAAAAAGACACATTATTGCATTATTATAGCTGACTTAAAAGACTAGGTCCAATATTCACTCCATTCAGCCTTTTCGACATAAGAAAATTGCTGCTACATGCTGAACCGGCTTTTTGAAAAACTGCATTTATTCAAAAATGTGTGACTTTTTTCTGGTCTTGACCTAAACTAGCCAAGTTTGGTTGTGACATTAAGATTCATGCACAGAAAAAAATGTTTCCTTTCATAAAAATTCAGCAGGCAGAGATGGTTTGTTGTAGAAGAACCTTACAGTCTAAAACAGACCACTTTCTCTTCCCTTCCCCTGGAGTAATGAAGGTAGGCCTACATTACCTTCACTTGGTTACTGAAACAAAAAGTGACACCTAAACAGGAAGCTACTTAGAAATTTTGACACAGTTGTCTTCGATGGCTGATGAAGGACAATTTGAGAAACCCAAAAACTGAAAATGTGGGCTAAATTCTTAGAGATACATATTTTAAATTCAATCAAACAATTCATCGACATTAAAGCTAGTGAAAAAAAGACTAGGCTAATTCAACCTGCCTCTCCAAGACATAGGCTATTAGTGCATTTGTCCTCACAATACCTCCTCCAGCTCCATCTCCTCACCTATCTAAAGAGAAAACTCCATTGATGTGTCATTACAGACGGCGTAGCCTATCTAATACTGCAGTTCAACTCATCAGTACAACACTCCCTCCACCCTAATGAAGCCTAATTACACACCCGACAACGATCAAAACAAAAGCTACTTCTCCTTTTACTCATCAGCTCTTCTTTCATTCTTTGAGTGAGGGAGGAATGATACACAAGGAGAAAAAAAAAGCACTCCAGCAGGCGAAATCAGACTGTCACAAGAAGAGCACAAGGAAATGCAAACCGACACTCCCCTTCATAAAGCACCAACCAGCACTTGGAGTGACTGGCCGACCAGTGGAGTCTAGCCGCCTGAAGCAGAGCGCCTGCTGTTTGGATGTGTGCAGCCCCCTGGACTTGGTGGGAGGGGGAGAAGTTTCCCCAAAGACGCGCTTGGATCACTGAGTGAGAGAGAAACGATGCCTTCCTCCTCCAGCCTAGTCTCACAAGCTACTGCTCAGTGGATTTGCTGATTTCCCGAATTAATTTTTTTTCTGCAAGTTATTCAACGGGACTGAGGAGAGATTTTGAGCCAGAGGATGCTCCCACAGGTCATTCGGATTCTGTATGTCTTGTCGTTCTGCTTTTTCCAAGGAGGCTTTATCAGGTAGTGCGCAAAATATCAATATTTCTTATTTTCTCGCATTAACTGCTTGAAATTAACTTTTTGACTGTTTAAAACAAACCATATCGTCATTCTATGCACTTTTACGCAGCTCTCTGTATCATTTTCTATTGTTTTTATGTGTTGTCAAGACGAGGCAACGGCTCAGCTTGCAGCTAAAAACCATCTATGTGTCAGGTGTTGTTGCCTTTTAATGCAGTTTATGTGAACGAGAGTTACAAAGCGGTGCACGCGAGCGCTATCTGAGCAACGTGGGCATGATTTCACCAAGATAATCCAACATTTTACGCACGAAACGAGCGGAGATCTCTTTGCAACATTCGTGAAATAAATTCATCTACACTCTCAGTTTACAAACGGAAAGCAAGTGTAACCTCTGTGAATTATCATGTGCTGTCATTACATACCAGACTACATACCAAATCGTGTTTGAGTGCGCTGTGGAAACCCATCCTGGTGGCAAACTACCTGTGGAATTCACGCTCCTCATGAAGAATTGATGAATGGGGGTTTAAGTAAAAATTAAAATCTTGTGTGAGATTCGACTGTGTGATACTAAATCCACTCGGTGATTATTTATTTAGCAACAGCATACGGACAAAAGGCTTACTGGGAAACGTGCCATTCATTGTTTACTTTGCAAAAACTGAAAGATCATGCGCACAAGGAATTCTTTATCTTTGATGTTTTTTGGAGAAGTGTTTGGCACAGGGGCAGAGGGGGTTCATTATTGTCAGGAAAAGGGGGGCAAGCTCCAGTCAAAGCGTGTTAGGTGTGTCTGGGGACAGGGGAAACAAACACACCCCTCTCTACCTCCCCTTGTTCTCCCTCTCAGACCAGCAGCAAAGCCTCCTTTTATCTCTCCTCTCTTGTTGCCTCTCTCTTTTTCTCGGTGGCGGAAACTTTTATTTGCGGTGAACACTTTACTTATTTCATGCCCTGCCACCCTCAAGGTGTGAGCGGGAGGGAATTAGGATCTGCATAATCCAAGAGCGGAACAGAACCGTGACTCCGTGAACCCAGGGGCGAGGAGAGCAGCCCTTAGCCTGTCAACTGACAGCACCTCCTCCGAGAAATTATATGCTCTCCTGCCAGCACTATCTTCTCCTTGTGGGGAAGAGTGTGAAGGAAAATGAAGGTAGTGAATTGGGCAGGTGTAAAATACGAAATCTGATGAAGGCGTGGGAGAGAAATGGAGGGAGAAAACGGGAGTGGAGCAAACGAAATGCGAACAAGAAATGCAGAGGGTGATTCATTTAACTTGAGGCAGCGAGGAGATTAGTAAAGTGGAGGAGTGATGGAGAGAAATGGTTCAGATAGGAGAGAAGAGATGAGACGGGGAGAGAGTATAGGGTAGGAGATGGGAAGTGTCAGAGATTCAAAGAGGAGATTGTCATGTAAAATAGTGCACAGGCTGGATTGGTGAGATAGGGTTTGAATTACATGTTTGTCCATGAGAGGAAATGAAAAAGAGGAAAGAAAGGTGTAAATAATAAAGTTCATATCAGAGACCGAGCGGGTGAAGTCTGAAGGATTTGAATGTGGAAAGAAAGTGGTGAGTCTTTATTGTTGCAATGATTCAAGTCTGTTAGAAACCCAGAGTTTGTACTGAAGCTGTGCAGGGTTTAAGAAAGGCACAGTAAAAGGAGAGAAAAGAAACAAATCTGTAAAGAGTTTGTGCTGGTGAAGTGGTTATTTCACAGTCAGAGTAATGGTGGATTGGCTTTTATTGATGCAGTGTGAAGCGAGTTGTCTGTTGAGCTACAGTGCATTGTCCAGTTCACTAATTTGGCGTACAGGTTGTTGCATATCTTTAATTTGACAGATGTTTCCATCATTTTTTTCCAGATTGACTGGTTTGAGGCTTAAAGTGTAAGGAGAGAAGATTGAGTTATATTGATGCTGATTAGTGCTGTATATCTTCCTCTAGTGCTCTATATCTTTCTATACCATCTGGACACATTGTTAGCTGAAACCAAAACATGTTTTTATGAGGATGTTTTTCACTCTGTTGGATCACATATACACACTTGAGCCAACAGGGGGCTATAGAAAGATTTAGAGGGGCTGCTGCCTATTATATAATACAGCAGGCTAACCAATAAGTTGCTGTCTTTGAAAAACAGTCAGCCATAATCCAAGCAAGACTGTGTTATAAGCTGTATGTGACACCCACATGAAACCATCTTAGTGTTTTTTTTTCTGGGGAAGAGCATTTTCAGAACAAACATATCTATCTTTGATGAGCCGAGTGAAATGCCAACCTGTTATACTTTTGGACTGACTTAAGCCAGAGCTTGATACCATTGATACATCTGTACTTTTCCACTCTGACAAGTCCAAATGACACAATACATACACATTTACTGTGGAGGTTTTTGTCTGAATGGATTCAATCCTGAGAGGAGTTTGACTGAGATTGAGCCTAAAACTTAAAGCTCCTGTGAGGAACTTTCAGTTTGACAAAGCAGTCTTTGTTTATCCTGTCCTGTACATGATAAAGTAGTGATTTTTGACAAGAAGCTCATCCTGCTGGTTTTTGGTTGTCAAATATATTTAATGTGAATATTAAAAACAGGGCTGTTTCTTCAGCTGCCTGGTTTACACCTACCCACTTACACCAGTGTCACGCATCAAAAACTACAATATAAAAACCATTAAGTCTTGTTCCTGATGGTCTTGTTCGCTTTTGTTTATCATGAAAAAGCATTTATAGACATTTCAGTCTAGTTCATAGATGTGAAAAAACTCCTCACTGGAGCTTTAATAAATTCTAGTTCAACTTTAAAGCTACTGTGAAGAGTTTTAAGCTGTTCTGAAACAGATAAAGAAATTATAGTGTTGCTTTTGTATGACCTAAAAAAGCAATCAAGACTCAAGAAATGTGACCGACAATTTCCGTTGTCATCTTGAACACCTGTAACTGCTGTAACTAGTCGATACAAGGATGTAAATGTCACATCAGAGGATTACAAGCCCACAGTTAGTGATAAATTTGGCAGAAAATATTAACATTAAAGATCAGTAGGAAGGTTTGACGCATCCCATCGTCCACAGGTGGGTACAAAATCAACACAAACTGTTCCTCAAAGGAGCTTCATTACAATTAATATGAGGAATAAGTCAACGTTTTTCACAAGATGTTTTGAGGGTTTCTCATAATTTGACAAATCTCATTGTCAAGTTTGATCCACAAGTTCTACCATCTGGTATTGAGCTAAATTAGCAAGCTTCTTCATATGTTCACTCTGGGGTCATAGTTAGCAGTTTGTTCTATTCAGTTTCTTGGTGCCCTAAACTTTAAACTGAGTGTTCTACTGAAATGCTCAAACCATTAACTTGACCTGTATGTGGACATGCCAGCAATGGACACATAAGTTGTGCTAATGTATTCGCACCCTTAGGCTACTGATGTGTGTCTGTACATTACCCTTTACCTCAATGCTGTGTGCTACGCTTCATCTCAATTAGCCAAGGAAGCTCACCAAGGATTCCTGCTGTCCTTGCCTACGGTCAGGGAGCGAGATCATGAGTCAGATGTGGGAATATCAGTGGATATGTCTTATTATCTGATGGAGCGAGGTCATCACGGGCTGGGTTATTGGGTGTCAACTTGATAGAGGGTGCGTGTGTGTTTATGAGCGATACATTTCGAGGAGGTGGTGCTTTCACTCCTAAAATAAGGAGAGATTAATTCATTAGTGTGCCACATTCATAGCTAAAACTTTGTTTCAAATCAAGTCATGGATTGTGGATGTGCATATTGTTGTGGACATCCCATTTTCTCCTATTTGGTTGGAATATGTGGTGTGTTTGTAATGTACAGTAACTGCACTGCGGGGGAAATATTGTTTGGTGGCAGGTTTCTTGTTGCCCAGTGGATGCCCAATTATGATGATTTGGACACCACAGGATACCTCTTGTGCAATCGCAGTTAGGTTTCACAACAACAACAACAACAAAATGTCTGCTCAATAATAATTAATAAGTTAATAATTAATCATTATTTTTAAAGGATAATCTTCAAATTAAGGAGTAAAGCTCCCTAAACTCTTCGTTTTGCACCATCCTCCAACAAAACAGTGTTCAAGGCTGGGCGCTCATTATTTACTGTTTTGGATCCCTGTTTCACACAAACTGTGTTGAGCAGTGTACCCTTGCAGCAGGCAGTTTAACAACTTGTGATGCATTATTTCAGTAAAAGTCTGTAAAAGTTTGAATCTTACTTAAAATCCATTCGCCCCAAAGCAGCCGCCTTTCACATACGTCAAGCCTTGTTTCATTAGATTCTTACAGCATGATTGTAAGTTTCCCCCTCGGTCAAAGGTTAAAATGCTCTCCAGCCAATTTCCGCTTAACAGCTAAAACCTGCAAGTCAGAGGGCGTGAAGTGCAGAAAGGGGTGAAAAGTTTGGGATTGGGTCAGGCCAGAGTGAAAAGGAGTGGGTGAATATATTTTGAACTAAATGACGTCCCTTAGGACAACCAACCTTGAGCAGAGTTCACTCTTAGCCTGTAAACTAACTTCTTGACTGGACAATAGCTGTGGGTTAGATGCTGCACCACATTATTCCTCAACTGCTCAGAAAGTAACCTGCCAAACTGAGAAACAGAGCGTGAAAAAAGAAGATGCCTATTGAGCGGAACAGTCTTCTTTGGGTGCTGTGTGCCCACTGTAATACTCTGCTCAGTGTGATTATGATATAACCATAGACTGTATATACTATGGACAACTTGGTCCCGCCTTCCGCCAGTACACAGATTTGAAGCCGAAAAGCTCTTGGTAGTTTCACGATTTTCCTCCATTTCCTGAAACCAACATTGCACATTAGCATTGTACGCATTCGGTGGGAGAATCGCTGTGATGACGCTCGGCTCAAGCAGCGTATCCCCCCGGTGAGCTACACAATCTTCGTACACCTATAGGCTGTATCAAGTGTCAATCATAGAAAACATGAACCCTCTAATAACTTTTAAAAATGGAGCTGTACAGAAAAAAGAGGACTTGAGCACAAACCAGTCTTACAGTAACGACATGCCAACATTGCAACGGGGGGAGAAAAATTTAGATTCTGTGTAATAAATTTCTAAAGTTTGTCCACAGCTCTATCAGGATTACTGGAGGAGGCGGGATTGATGACCTATACTGCACCCCGTCAACAGAGGGTGCTGTTCTCTGAGTGGCTATACCCCGTGAGGATGCAGGCGCTGTCCATTCTATATACAGTCTATGAATATAACACCTCAGGAAACAGTCAAACAGGCGTCATTTTAGAGCCAGATTGAGTTACACAAAGCTTTTAGGGCCAATTATTGGAGATATTTTATACCTAATGGCTCAAGTGAACAGTTTCTTGTCATTTTTATGCAGCTTTTAACCTTTAGTTTAACACAGTTATGCTTCTATCTGGTGTGAATGACCTTTAGGTTGTTCATCAATGGGTTACAGTGATGTTGCATGCATAATATGTACGAGGGCTCTGAGTGGAGCTTGAGGAGACAAAGTAAAAATAGTCTTTACTGCGCCCAGAGAAGCTTAATATGTTCCATTTAAAAAGCTTGTTTTAAAACTTAGCCTTTTCTTTAGAGACCCTCTTCTGTTAAAACAACAGAAAAATGCTGTTCCTCGCAGAAACACTGGAAAGAAGTAAACACAATTTAGCCAGTCCAAACTTCAAACGCTGTGTTGTTGGGCGAGGACACAATCTTTCTGTGATAGCTTTTAATTAAATTCTGATGGTTGCCCAGTCCCGGCTGGAATTGAAGTATCTGCAACTGCAAAGTAATATCTGCGGGCTAGTAAACAGTGAAGGGAAGAGGAAAGCAAATATTTTGGGCTTTAATTTAAACGTTTCACATCCCACAAGGAGTTGAAATGGTGGCTCACGACAAAACAAATGTAAATGTGAAAACTTGAGAATCAGAGAAGGCCACTTCTACCAGCAAAAAAAACAAATAAAATAAGCGCTCAATTCCCATGCAGGGTTTCATTTGTTAATTTGCTTTGTACAAGGCAGAGCAGTGTGAAAACTTCATCAGCTGAATGTTACTGAGATTTCACCTTGGCATGGGCCATCACGGACAATATTGCCGCTCTCTGATCCTCTCCGAAAACACAGGAAATCCCCAAACACTTGGGCTGCTACACAGACTAAAGTGGCGAAGAGTGCTGACAAAAAAGAAGTGCGAGAAGAGGACAGATGGGGTGTTTACGTGAGTTAATGACTAAAAAATGAGTGCCAAGCTGGAGACAAGAGCCGAACAGACGGTTCGCTCTCCACAAACAGCACCAGTGAACAGTAGTGGTGCACTTATCAATGAAATATGAAGACTGCAGATACAAAGAGTGCTCATCAAAAGACAAACAAAGGATTTGTATTTTGTTCTGGGGAGCTTTGGAGTCCGTAGAGGATATGTGAAAGATTTAATTTTAGCTTGTCAAAAAAACTTCAAAACAAGTCATTATTTATTCGAGTAGATCTTTTTGTGTAGATTTTTTTCCTGCATCTTCTTCACTTTGTTTTTTTAAGGCTGCAGATTTAGAAACAATGCGAAATCAAACCAACAGTCTCAGAAACACTCACTAAAAGGAAATGCGTTTTGTTTGGACTGCAAGATTTGGCAGATTTCTACCTGGCACAGCCCTTCAAACGATTGGAAGTGAAATCTGGTTTGTGGATAGTGGAGATCAATGTTGGGCCCAAATTACCAGATGATGAAGAGGCTTTTCTGATCAAGTCTTTAACTTGCCAAAAGGCTTGTTAACTCATGATGCTATCCTCATGATTTGAAACATTTTGGTAACTCATGATTTAAAATCTAGATTATCATACCAAAGAGACCACAGTAAGACGAGGGACCAAGAGAGATGGAGAAGCTGCTAGTGAGCCTACATTTGTGTGTTTTATGTTTCAACACTAGCATGCTACTTAAAACTTCAAACAGGACTCATCGGTGTAGGAGCCAAATATATTGATATGACACCATAATATGAGTTGCAGTTCACTTTGTGTGCCATAGGTGTCGCCGTCTTGTTATCAGGGGCTCAGGAATAAAGGTAGCCATGTCACTATTTAGGGCAGGTGATTGACCTGTGATATTTGTTTTTGTAGGACGGTAGAGGAAAGTCCTGCCTCCTTCGCCTCTGATTGGCTAGAAAAGCTGGAAACGTCATCACACGCTCAAGGGAAACGCAGGCTGTTGGCTCTGTACATCAAACAGAACATTATTGCACTTCTGAATCTCCTAACTCTAACCCTCACCCTAATCCTAACCCGACAGACGATGACGTTTCACAGCCATTAGGAATAACCAATCGGAGCCTAGCACATCTACCATCCTACAAAAAAAAATTCACGACCCGGAAGGACTAAAGGTTTTTGACCGCTATGGCGCTAAATGCCAGCATTTTTCTTTTTTCATTGTTGCTCAATGTCAATTGCAAAATGGTAATTTTGGTAATGTTCATCACGATACATTTTTGTTTGCTGCATCTGAGGAACATCATCTGGACATTAACTGATCATCAAAGACTTATAGTGTAAGAAACCAGTAGCACGGCGCATCAACAAGGTTACTCTGGGTCAAGCATCTCAGTCGCTTCAGGTATCAACTTCATTCCTACAATCATATATCAAATCCCCAAGAATGGATAGATCAATCTTTTCACTCCAAACATCAGATTCTCAGCTCTGTCTTTTCCCGACTACAAGTAATGACCACTGCAGATCTCTGGTCGGGCTCCTTTCTGTTAACACCTGTCTTTAAGGTCATGTGAAGTAGATAGTATAAACTCTACCTCTACACCTAACTGTTTTAAACACAACTTCAGAGTGTTATGTGCCAATTTAATATCTTTTAATGGATGTATATTGGAGATTTGAGAGGAAATATCTGTTATCTTTTTCTTCTTCCGTAACATGACCTGCTAAAATCAGGTAGGGTTATAAAACATTTATTGCAGGCTTTTTTTATTTAAAGAAAGTCAAATAAAATAAAACAGGAAAAGGAAGAGCATTCTTGGCCACACAATGTTAAATCCCCGACAAATAAGTAGCGTCTATCGCAGAGCTTCAGCGGGCTTTAGATTTGTGTTTGGATATAAGGTGGAGGTGACAGTTTACTGATGGTCTCTAACATTATGCCAGCCCTTTCGGTGTTCAGCTGACACCTGAGGCTGAAAGATGTGACCGATGGTTTTCTCCCCATTTCAATCAAACCACAAATGACCTTTCTCTGTTTCTACCATCTGAGGACAGAGTAATTTTCCCCAATATTGTGATGCTCAGGGAAAAACGGCAAACTAGACTGTGATATTGTGATTTACTTTCTCTCATGGGGGTGAAAAGTTTGAGTTTAAATGCTTTAATCATAGATATCTCACTAAAATTTCATATGACATTCAGAAAGAGAAATCTCTGTCTCTCCCTGTCTTTTTGTCACCCTCACTAAACCATGCATTTGTGATTTGCCTCTGCTGCCAGCTAAAATCAAAACCTCCATGCCTCCTTATAATAAATGCATCATGAAGTGTAACTGATGAGCATCAGCTCAGGGTAAACTTTTAATCCGTGCAGCTGTGTGGACAGCTAATGCCGAGCTAAAAGAGCATTAAGATGCAACAATGTCCATGGGTTCACCCGGGGAACTGCCACATCCAGTCAGGCATGCATTCACACAGGTTTGGATCCAACATGTTTTTATGCTTCCTGCACATCACCCCCTTTACACATCCAGGATAGAAAGGGATGCCACAGGTGAAAGCAAACTAGGCCTCATGGCTACTAAGTGTTGCTGCCTGGAAATAGGAAGATTAAACCCAAACCAAACTGAGGGAACAAGAGGGAGAGGGGGATAGTTATGTAGGTCATTAGTGAAGTAAAATAACACCATGAATTCACCAAGAATTAACGCCTGACTGCAGTTCCACTCAGCTCTAGCATTAAGCACTCTTTAGTCTGTTTGGTTCCATAACTCGGGGCTCAGACTTTAAGTGATCTTGTTAACTCACTAGGGCTGGGCAACATGGCCTCAAATCAATATCACGATATATTGAGCAGTTCACCTCGATAACGATAAATGGACGATAACTACTCCACAAGCTGCTCACCCCCTCCCACATTAACTTAATCCACTTTAGCCAAAACCAACTTTTATTTATTTTTTTGCCACCAAATATGTCGACACGGGCAAAATGATGTCCGTTATTGTCGTAGATTTCGGTGTCTGTAAGTTTTCGGTTTATCGCCCAGCCCTACAACTCATGTGCTACTTGCGCAGACAAGACAAAGTACCTCCCAAGTGTCGGCCACAGTGGCAAACGGAGCAGGTTTATTGCCCTGTGTCTGGGTGATGGTGACCAAAAACAACCTACCAAGGAATTAAACTGCTAATCTTGGACACAGCTTTTCCTAAATGCCAATGTTGCTCCCTCTCCGATAGACAATAGTAGACAGATTGTGTTGACATCTTGCTTGGCCTCCAAGAAGATACAACCATTTAAAACTCTATTTAACACATGGTCAAAATCAATCAAGAGGGCATGCTGGTAATAATTATGACAACATTTTATATCTATATATAAAACCCTGATCAGCTCCACTTAATCAGTCTGGAATTGATTTTGGTGTCTTCATCTAAGCAACAAAAGTATACCTATTTCTTTACAGTCATTTTCAAAGCCTTGAAAGCTGCTGCAAAGTAGGTTTCATGTTTCATTGGCGTGGCCCAAATTTTACACTCATAAGAAACTGTAAAAACAGGCTGTTCCTGTAGCTGCGGTTGACACTTACCACCCAGCACCACTGTCAGGCATTAAAGATTAAAAACAACAATTGTCACGCTTGTTGCTGATGGTCCTGTTTGTTTTATGGATCTCATAAAAAAGGCATTAGTGTGAACATTTCATCAACATAAAAAAACACCTCACGGGAGCTTTAAATAAACAACCAACACTGAATTAACTAGTCTACAGCTATGTGGACAAACACTGAACCATCTCCAACTTGAAAGATAAGTTCCATACTGAAGCTTTTATAAATTTTAAACACCAAACATCGAGCAGAATTATTATGATATTCAGTCAAGTATTATCTTTGTTGGAGCCGTTACAGATGAGAAGGTTTAAATTCACTTCACAGGGATTATAGACCACAGTTATGCCTGTAAAAATATTTTCTCCTCAACATTGTCACCCTGGACAAGGACAAAACTACAGCAAAATCCGGTGCTAGTCTCATCGCTATCCAGGTAACTAAATATGTGACACAGCGGTAGAGTAATACGATTATCTGGACCTCCCCGCTCTTCTTCTCTGGCCCAGGCAGATTAAAATGGCCACTTATTGACTGGAGCAGCACTTTGGCTCAGAGGTCCACTGCTGTAGGTCATTATGTTCTCTGCAATTAGGAACATGAAGTGGAGGGACATTATGAAGCTCTCCATCATGTCATTATGCCGGCCCATACAGTCCATGTTGATTAAACTTCACTTTCAGGGATAGAGGAAAAGTCTGGCCAATGTAAAAAAAAAACCCTGACCTCATAATGTGTGGTTGGACAAAAAGAAACAATGTGCAGTGGAGTCAAACTGAAGCTCAGCTATGTAATTGAATCAAAATCACATTAAATGAACCATTAAGACGGCTGCGCTGCAATCAATCAGTAATTACACAGGCTGGTAATTTATCAGCTAAAGACTGCAGGCTAAAGCTTACAGTAATAGAACATATTTCACTTATTAATCATTAACTAGAAGTACAAATTACACTCAATCCGAAGCCTCTGGCCTTGGTCATGTCAGGAGGCAAAATTCGTCATAAATTGACAGCCTTGTAAATAAATCAACCTCTTATTGAAATTCAAAACAAATGTACAGTACATGACATTTCGTATGCTGCAAGATGAATCAATAATGATCGAAAAAGTAAGAAAGTGAGTGTTGCGTCTGTGCAGGTCCATGTTGAGACACAATGCAGGCATGTGTTTAATTCCCCTGTAAACTGAGTGAATTAGAGGCAGATGTTTCAGGTTCAGGGTACTTCATTTGTGCCTATAAGTCAATTTCTGTTGCAGCAAAGGGGTTACATCCAGTTTGACAGCCAATTACAAAACAACCACGCAAAACAATCAGTGAAAAAACTTTTAAAACACACTGAAACACTGATTGGCTTCCCCAATCACAATTTAAAGGGATATTCGGGAAATAAAATTAATTTAGGGTCAAACTCACCATAACACCGAGTTAGACACCCCCTTGCCACAAATAATGCTCAGAACAGCACCTAACTTCATCTACAGTACATATAGGGTCCCAGCCACAGTACTAGCCACCAAACATCTTTTTAGCTTTGCCTGATTTCTTTAGCAAAGAGACGAAACACGACTCACCTACTCTCTTCCAGCAGTCGCTTGTTTGTAACAAGACCTCAGGCTAGTCCATTACGGACTACAGTGGGGTGACTCAGCTCAAGGAAGAACATTTATGATCATTTTTTCATCATTTCTTTGAAGTAATAATCACCACATCAATCATTTTGAACTGCAGACGTGGTAGTTCTTCTGCCTTCGTGTCTCAGTCTGATTGCATTTCCATGAAGAAATGATCATAAATGTTCTTCCTTGAGCTGCGTCACCCCGAGCAGTCCGTAATGGACTTGCCTTAGGTCTCACTACGAACAAGCGGCTGCTGGAAGAGAGTGGGTGAGTTGTGTTTAGTCTCTTTGCTAAAGAAATCAGACAAAGCTAAAAATATGTTTGGTGACTAGTGCTATGGCTGGGACCCTATATGTACTGTTGATGAAGTTAGGTGCTGTTCTGAGCATTATTTGTGGCTATAGAGTGGCATTTTGGTTGAGGTTTGTTTATGGCTCGTCAGACCGCTGTGTATTTTTATTGTGTGGTCGTTACTTAAGTTTGTATAACTAGAGAAGCAAGCGGTCAGCAACTTTCATCTCTTGAGGGGGTGTCTAACTCAGTGTTACGGTTTGTTTGACCCTAAGTGATAAAGGATCACACCACACAACTGTTAGATACTATAGAAAGAACCAAACTGCATGTCCAAAAAACAAGAAATTTAACAATTACACTGATGGATGATGGGCTTCTTTGCAATTGTTTGCTTTATTGATGCTCAGGATGCTTCACTGTATCAGCGTGGGACTCAATATAGTCTCAAATAAGCAGTTAATATGGATACAGCTGTGTATTGATCAGCATACTGTAGTTATCAGTTGTCTGACATGCTTAATATAAGAGGGATGTTTGCCATAAATGACCTGCAGGTAACTGTCGATTATACACAAAGCAAATCTGCTTCAAGGGTAAAGCATAACAGATAATGTTCTTCCACGAATCCCTCCCCCTCTGACCTTGGGATCACAGGCAGACTTTTCTCTCCACATTAGTGAGATGACTAGCTGTCCTTGTCAGGTGAGGTGCAGTTTTAATGATATCGGAGTGAGATGAAGTACAGAAAAATAACCCTTTGCTGTAGCGGGGTCAGTTTTCATCGGCGAAGATGTTGATGCGAAGATGATGGACATTTACAGCTTCAAAGTTGGGGACAGAGTCATCAAGAGGATGATTTTGGAAAATACAGCTCTGGCTGAAAACTCTACTGAGGATGTTTCTCATTATAATTGCTACCTTGTCTTTATAATTAGGGTTAGTTTTTTTAAAAATGATCTTGAAATTGTCTTTGGCACAGCAAAAAAACTGCTTATGGGTGCTGAGAACTGGGTGATGCAAGAGCCATTTTCAACTTCTTGTTGAATTACCAATCAAGAAACCCCAAAGAGACTTTTCACCCGCCACATACTGCTGACAGGAGGTTTGAGGCTTTTGCATTGTAGCGTCTTTTTTCTTTCGTTCTTGCTGTTTTAGTTTTGCATACAAAAAGTTTAAAATGGATCCATCACATGGCTAATGTTTGGACAAGCACGCAAAAAGTAAAAGTCAAGTTTCAGTCTCTGTGAAACATATGGTTCAGACTACTTTCAGAGTATTTTTTTAGATCATATCCTGAGTCTTTAATTAACTCTTCCCCTTTTCTTGATTCATCCGATGGCCTGACGGGCATTCAGCTCCCGTCCATTCAGCCAGATAGAAATGAGATGTTGCAAGGTTAGCAGAGCTCAGCTGATAATCATCATCTTTATCATTCTATTAATCAAGAGTTACATAAAGTCTTTGAAACCAAATGTAGTGATTATTGATAAAACCAATGACTAGGATGGGGGTTGGGCAGGGCGACATGAATAAGATCCTAAGATGAAGCAGTCAGCATGATTTTTCAGATTTGTGAGCGCTGGACTTACTGTAGCATCTGCATTTCCATCAATTTGATTTGGTTTTATTCACTTTTGGATTTGTGGATTAGGTTTTATGTTATTTGCGAGTGTAGTTACCCCTCTTTAAACATTTGAAACCATAATGTGGGGTTGTCTGAAATACTTGTTAGTTCATATTTTGTGCAAAAACCAAACTGGAACGTGCTCAGTGTACATGAAAGTATGTAATGACAGCTGATATACAATAGAGATTGTCTATGTCCCTGTAAGATATGCATTTGTGGTAACAATAACCATCATTATAAATGGTAAATAGATAGTTTATTAATGTAAGTTAATAGTTACTTTACCATTAACAAGCAATGAAAATATGATTAATAATTTACATTAAATATTAATGGACTATTTATTAAAGGTTTATATAGGATTTAAATATTGTTGTAAAACATTTAGATTTAAATATGTGTCAGTAGCACTTTGTAAATTATTAATAAGTGGTTTATAAACCACCTATGAACATTACTTAGATGGTTATTCTAAAGTTAGGGTTAGGTTTTTAAAATTGTAAAATATATAATTTATTAAATGGTCTATATACTATTTATAAACGATGATTAAACATTAATAAACCATCTCCTTACCATTTATAAATTGTCTATTTACCATTTAAAAGTTGTGGTTATTGTAAAGTGTTACTGCATTTGTTTGCACTTTTCTACTTTGCAGCAATTTAGGGGCAAAACAAGAAATGTTTCAACTTATTGAAATTGCTATCCATCACAGTATTCAGGCTTATTTCGCAGCTTCATGTTGGCTGTGTAAAAGTGTTGTATTAACCAGTTGAGTATAATGAAGTTAATAATGAAGCACAAAAAAACCGCAGTTCCCAGAATATCCACTTGAGGCTGTCTCCAAAAGCCAAAAAGATCCTATTAGAGTACATAATGAATGCTCTTTTTTACAGCAGAAAAGAAACATGTATAATAGCCTGGTGCGAAAAAAAAAAAAAGGTTTTTGTCTCGATTTGGGCAGAGTGTTTTTTAAATCCCTCACCCATCATGTCTGGACTCTTAAATACTCAGAAAGTAAAAGCTGTCTTGGATGTTTTTTTTTTACAGCCACGAAAGTGAAAAACGAAAGAAACTAAACTCAGCTGCAGAATTATGTGATGAGTTCAAAGTTAAATTTAAAGCCTGTGTTGGCTCAAAGGATGAAGCGGTCATTTCAAGGTAATCCAGCTAATAACTCAAAGCTTAATGACGTCAGTTTTTGGAGTCACATTGACATTGGGTTTAAAGTGATGTCCCATTCAAGTAAAACGTGTCCTCCAGCATTTTGACACAACCTGACCGTCTGGCTTCATATCCAAAGGACACGATTTTATGGTACTTTTGCTGCTACAAACTCACACTGTTAGTCATGCATAGACATACTTTGTTCATGATTATCTCTTGCAACACAGAGCTTCCAGATCATCCATAGCAGGGCCGCAGACACATCTCTTTATCATGTTGAACAGACACTGTGAGAGTCCAGAACGCGTTCTTTCTCTCAATTTGGTGCTTGACTACAGAGACTCCCTGCATTTGTCTGTATGTCCCCACATGACACCCACATTGTTTCCTGATACACAGTGTCAAATCCTGGGGTTGTCTTTGGATGAGAAATGTTTCTTTTTCAACAAACAAGTGTCATTCTTGTCAAATGTGTACCATGATCCACAAATACATACTCTGATTTGTCAATGTGAACAGTCATCTCTTACGGAGGGTTTAGATTTTCATATGCAAAAGAGAGAGAGAAAAAACTCGATGTAAATAGCCTTGTAATGGTAGCCTTTTATGACCACCACTGCTTTTCCAGACAGATTTAGACTACAAGAAAGCAGACACAAGGCTAATGCTCTGACTGTGGGTCTATATTTACACCTGCCCTTGGAAATGAGTCACAGCTGTTTCTTTGAGATGTCACTGAACAACACTTCAGCTTAAGCAGGTGTTAAACTTTGGCATAATGTGATAATGGAGACTGCAGTCAAAGTTGCCAACCTAATGAACTTATCGGACAGTGCAAGACTTTGTTTATAAACCAGTATAGTGTTTGACTCAGTGACGGACGTTAGGGCTCAGCAAATGGCTTTTATTGACAACGACTAAACAATGAGTCAGAACATTTTATAAAGAATATAAAATGTTAACATTAGTTAGTTTAAGCATTAATAAAGTGAAATCATGGCTCAAATAAAATCAAACCAATGCAAAGATTAATAACGGAGAATTTAGCTAATACTCTTTTAGCACAACTTTTAGAGAGCATGCAGCTGTTTTTATGCCAAATGCAGAAATGCAGTATTTGTGAGTTTGTGTATATACACAGTTACTGGCCAGTTTATGAGGTACACCTGTTCAATTGCTCGTTAACACAAATTTGTAATCAGCCAATCACATGGCAGCAACTCAGTGCATTTAGACATGTAGGGCTCTATTTTGGTGCATCGCCGGAGATCTGCCGCAAGCGCAGCGTCAATCAGATCCGCCGCGCTGACAAGGCGTTCCCAAGCACATTTTGGTATTTTGGTGAGCCGCGCAGCCCGGCGTAAGTATCCCCCCTCCCTAACTCAGCTCCTCCCGGCAGCATAAATCATAGACGGGGAGGAGAGGGGGTTTAACACAGCCGAGACCTGTTTTCACCAATCACATTAGCTCCTCTCCTCGCCTTTAAATCCGCCACAGGCGAGGCGTATTACTATTTTCATGAAGTAGTCAAAGAGATCAAGAGATGTCTGAAGACAGTAATGCCACACGATGGCGACAGAGGGCAGCTGCTCAACAAGTGTCCTCCACACTCTCTCATCTGAGCACAGATGGATTTGGTGTGCGTAATGTTGGACCCACTGGTAAGACAAACACCCTTTTCCACAAATAAAGACACTCACATAAAGTTGCATATATTCAAACCTCACGTGACAAAGGTGGGTTGAGCGCACAGATCACAACATAAACTCCAAAAAGGCATTAAAATCGGAACCATCTGTGCGTAAATGACGCATCGCGCTCCGTGGCCTGGCTCTTTCTTTCATAGATGTTGGAATATAAAATAAATTTGGCTCACAAAACTGAATATTATAATATCCGTATGTCGGCTTAAAGTAGATAACGCATCTGAGCACTGAAACAAATCATCTGTTCAGCCGCAGCAGCAGCAGGAAGACGGACAGAGGACACGGAGACGTGTCCAGGTCGAGCTGTGCGAGAAATAAGAGGAAGAAAGAAAAGGAGGGAGACACATTACATATCTTGTTAACTTCATCATGTGTGTTTATTTACTAGATATTTAATTTAATTTGATGCAGTTTCAGCTGTATTGATTCGGTCAGGTTGTGTGTCCAAACGCGTGCCAAACGCGCTCATCAGATCAGATATAGATCAGAATATATCGATATAGATCTAAATGTATGTGCTGACTCAGATTAATAGTTGTTGATCATTATTTATTGCACTGAAATGTGCCTGACACTGTGGAAACCTGCCGGTGAGGCATCAGTGACGTATGTCGATACGCCGCCGGTCTACCAAAATACTACTGGACCAGCTGCGTTCCGCCTTGCGCTGAAAGCTGACCAGGTTTGAATCGGCGAGCTTTCAGCGCACGTTACACGCCAGTGGCGAGCACGAAAATGTCACTGCGCCAGCTGATTCTGTCAACACCTCCCCCTGCCACGCCACCACGCCCAGCTTGGCGGATCTCGGCTCGCCTCAGTTGCTCGTTAACACAAGTATCTAATCAGCCAATCACATGGCCAATCACAGCCAATCAAATGCAACTCAGTGCATTTAGACATGTAGACATGGACAAGATGACTTGCTGAAGTTCAAACCGAGCAAAAGAACAGGGAAGAAAGGGGATTTAAGAGACTGAATGTGGCATGGTTGTTGGTCTGAGTATTTTACAAACTGCTGATCTTCTGGGATTTTCAAAAATAACCAACCAGGGTTTACAGAGAACGGTTCAAAAAGGAGAAAATATCCAGTGTTGCAGCAGTTGTGTGGACGCAAAGGCCTTATTAATGTGAGAAGTCAGAGGAATATGGACAGACTGGTTCAAGATGATAGAAAGGCAACAGTGAGTCAAGTAACCGCTTGTTACAACCAAGGTTTGTAGAGTAGCATCTCTGAATGAACGACACATTAAACCTGAAAGCAGATTGGCTACAGCAGCAGAAGACCACACTAGGTGCCACTCCTGACAGCTGAGAACAGGAAACTGAGGCTAAAATTCACACAGATTCACTAAAATTGGACAATAGATGTTGGAAAAAATCTACCTGGTCTGATGAGTCTGAATTTAATCTTTGACGTTCAGATGGGTCGGAATTTGGTGCAAAAAACATGAACGCATGAATCTACTCTGTCTTGTACTAACAGTTCATGCTGCTGCTGCTGGTGTACAGGTGTGGGGGAATTTTTTTCGGCACGCCATACCAACTGAGCATTGTGTAAACACCACAGCCTACCTGGTTATCTTTGCTGACCATGTCCATCCCTTTCTGACCACAGTGTACCATCTTCTGCTGGCTACTTCCAGAAGGATAATGCACCATGTCACAAAGCTCAAATCATCTAAAAATGGTTTCTTGAACATGACATCACATCATGGATGTGCAGCTAACAAATCTGCAGCACCTGCAAAATCAAACATCTCTGAGGAATGTTTCCATCACTGTCTTGAAAGCATGCCATGAAGAATTAAGGCAGCTCTGAAGGCTACAGAGGGTCTAATCCAATACTAACAAGGAATACCTAATAAAGTGGCTGGTGAGTGTACATGATTTATACATCTGGCACCAGAACAGCTACTTAATGGTCCAAGAGATGTTTCTCATTTGCTGTTTTACAAATTCACTGTAACTCTTAAATTTAACATGTTGAGGGATATCGACACTACCCAACGGATTAGTCTTTGATCTTAACAGCAGAGGATTAGGCCCTCCTTTACTCTGATGTTCTCTGTCAGCATCTTTTAGGTTTTCCATTATAGAAAGAAAAAATCATCTTCTGACGTCTACTTTTTTAAATCACTGCAGCAAAAACACAGCAAGACACCCCCCTCGCATTTATACTTTAAACCTCCATTTGTTTGAGTCTCAAGACGTTTCTATGGTCATCTTTGCTTTTGAAAAGGATGCAAACAGTGTATATTATGCCATTTATTTGTTTAAATCCTCTGAGACACAGCAAGAAGAACCTTTATATGGGAGTTTACCAAAGTACAGATGGCATTAAACTGTTAAATTACAGGCTCAGTACAAAAGTCTCATTCAAATGAAAAAGAAAAGGAAAAGAAGTCTTCAAATTAGCCATCTGAGTAAATATGAAAATGTTCATGTTTTTTTTTTCCAGTGAGCAGTGTAAGGATCCACCTGAGGAAAGGTTTGATTCCAAAAGCCCAATGCTGTATATTTGAGAAAACCAATGTTCGTTGTTAAAATATAACGAGCAGCAGTAAGTTTTTTGGCGTTCAGGAGGGGAAACTTTAAAAATATCTTGTCCCATCAACAATCCTTGGCAATCAACATTAAGTAATCTGAGACTGGGTAACTGCCAAAACCAGTTTAGGGTTTTGTTGCATGAAATAAAACAAAAACTGGTATTGTAATGTTTCTTTTTTTATGATTTGTTTAACAGAAATGTTTATAACTGTGACCTGAAGTCTGTTAACCATAACTCTCACAATAAAGTCAGTTCATTAATCAAGTTCCCTCTTGAAAATACCAATATAATTACAAAACCCTCAAAATGTCCTCTGATAGTGCAGCAAAGTTCTCATCAAAGAGTAAAAACAAACTTTCTTCTCTGGACATTATCTAGTCGTACACTGAGCGTGGTTAAAAGAAAAGCTGCTGTTTCTCAAAGGTTTCCTCCTGAACTGGTCTGATTCTGAAAATCCTCCAGACCCAGTTTCATGGTGCCTTTGTCATGATGTTAGTTGCATCCAGCAGCGTGATCAAGCGAAACAGGCCAGAGGGTATACTTCTACAACTTCTCTTTGTCCTCAACATCCTGGCCAAAAATATGGGTCATGTAGAGTTCAGTCAATGTTATGTGTGCTTGCGTGTGTGTTTTTGTGTATAGTATTTTATATACGTCTTTCTGTCTGCTTTGCTACAGCTGATCTAAAAGCTTACTTTATTGTAAAGACTGACAGCAAACCCTGGTCGGCTTTTGTTGCTTGGTTTAAACCACAGGTGGACCATGACTGGAACTGAGGGCGCGCTGATTCACTGCTGGCCTTTGGCTTTCTCGTGTCTCTCTTCTTAACACAGTATCTGCTATGATGTTATAGTCCTTGAGGGCAAAATGAGCAAAGCACTAAAGCTTATTTCCTCTAGAAGAAAGGACCTTTAGCGGCTGGTAACCAAGAGTAAAGAGACAGAGAAAATAAGTAAAAAAGCAAATGCGGAAAGGACTCCACAACATTAGACGCTCACAGCAAATTGCTAATTGAAGGAAAACGATGATGTGCTTGTTTCGGTGTTACCTGCAGGTCATTTTCAGCTATGAGAGGATGTGATTTTCTTAATGAGTGATGGGGCTGACACCTCTATCCATATTCATGTGAGCGTATGTTGCAAATGGAGGACGTTAATCATCACTGATAAGTAGACTATGGCGTCTAATTACATGTTTACCGTACACAGACTGGTGTCCACCCCTGTATATGAATCCAGCTGGGGTGATTTCCCAGTGGCATTTAAAACTGAAGCAGGATAGACGGGGTGGGGGATGTGGAGCCCAACATGTGGGAGCACACTGAGCTGGTGAGAGTCTCATTAAGGATACACTGAAAATGCACACACACACATGCTGTGGTGCTTCGTTATGTCATGCAATTACCAGTCCAGTGCAGCAGCATCAGGAAACCTAATCTTACATCTCCATCTCTGCATTACCTTGTTTCCAGTATGCGTAAAAGATGAAAGAAACAAATATCCCTCTTTGATCATGATGGTTATACCCTATGAGAGAGCGCAGCCTTTCAGCTAACGGCAAGGCCTACAGCAACAGCGTTAATTGGCTTGTTGGTTAGCATCAGGAGAGAGATTTCACAGCAGAGTCTTCCTATACTCGTTCAAACTCTTCCTGAAATACAGTATCAGAGATCAGCGAGGAAGCCAGTCCATTAACCCTGAACAAGACTGACCTTTTTAGGTAAAAAATATATATGTTCTAATTTCTAAAAGCAGCTTCACATTAGAAGTGAGTAAAGTATCAGGAAAGGTACAGATGGTAGAAGGACCCTAACTCTGATCCAACAGACCAAAACGGATGATTATTTAGTGTTTTGGTTGCCCAAAGACATGACAGAACAAACCTAAAGCTTATGTAGAGTTAAAGGTGGGGTAGGCAGGATCTGAGGAGGTGCCAGTTTTTGGGAGAAATCTTGAATGTAAACTCTACCTCTCCCAACCAGTTTTCCCTTCAGCTCCTCCTCTCCCCTCCCTCTCTGCTGCATCAAGCTCCACCCACAAACAGATGCTCCTGCTCGCTCGTATCTTTCCAATTAAATTCAGATATAATGCAGATAAATACTTCAGATAATTACAAATGGGGCCCAGTCAATGTGAAAGTAAACAGCATTGGTGCTACTGTAGATGCCAACAGACGACCAGCAAACACAATGTTTGCAGGACTTCTACAACTAGTATAAAGTGACATAGTCCAGGACCCGAGGGAAAGAGTTTAGCGGCGCTGCAACACGCAGCAGGTCCCGTTTGACAAGAAACACTTCTGTTACAGACACTTTGCTTACTTTGTTAAAGCGGTTTACCTGTCCAGCAGAAAGGTTACAGGGTCTGTAAGATCCCGAAGCATCCCCTTTAATTTTATGTTGACCTGGCTTCTTAGCTCGTCTTGTTGCTTGTGTTGGCAGTTGTGGCTAAATGAGGATTCAGATAATTCTCCGTACTTTCTGGTTGGTTTTTACTGTCCGATATTGTAGCACGTTAACTTCGTTTGGGCTCGTGAACATTTTTCGTGGAGTGTTCCTCACAACATGAGGGAGCAGCATCTGCCTCACAACCAATCAGGTTGGGGAGGTGGAGAACGGCTTTGTTTACAGTCAGAAAGAGCGGGCCGCTCAAAAATTTTAAATGTTGACTACACAGACATAACAAAACACAGTGATATCGGGATATTCCCAAATGTCATCAATAACTAATTGCTATTGGCTGATATTAAAGGTGCTTCATTAACGGAATCCTGCCCCACCTTTAATGGCTGTACGAGTTTTAAAGTCCAGCTCATGTAAAAGCCCCTGAGCAGACACATCAAAGCGATCTTTCACTGTCAGTATAGTTCCTTTTCTCTATCAGACGAGCTCTGACTCAGTGACTGACAGGAGGCAATCTGTGCTGATATCAGATCTTAGACGTGGAGAAGATGGCTGGAATACAAAAAGGCTTGGAGAGACGTATGGAGGATGGGTAGGTCTGAGAATGCTCTATGATTGATTCATCTCCCTCGAGGGGAAAGGTCAGTTCCGCAGGTTTATCACAGAGATTGCCATTTAAACTGCCACTGCTGGAAATCTTGTGTTTATTTGATATAGCTCTTGGGAGCGCTAACAGGAGTTAAATACTGAACTCCACTGGCAGAAACATATTTTTCTTTGTGTTGATGTCATTGGTTAGCTGGAAGAAGGGCAGTGTAGTCCTCATTAATTGAAATGTCACATATAGCTATAGGTTTTAGCCAAGGATGTACAGTCAATGCCGTGTGTTAGTGGTAGTGGAGTGATGGCAAACTTCAAAATCTAACCTTGGTTTAGTCTTTTAGACTAACCGGTCATGTCAAAACCTTGAAAAAGGTGTCCTAGTGTGTAAGATATCCATTTGATGCAGTGTTGTGTGTCCGTAGAGGCATATCTGTCCTTCATGGAGTTGAAGAAAAGTGAGGATGGACCTCAAATACTGAAGCCATGATTTTCATGGAGTGATCAGATAAAGGTCAAAAGATAGCTTAGGTTCATTGGTGAAAAGTGGCTTGTATTTTGTCCATGCTACTAATCAGATTAACCATATTTGTTAGGTTACATGTACAGTTGTACTACAGTTGGTTAGTGAGCTGGTAAATCTTGTACAAACCAAGATAAAGCAAGATGAAACAGCTACAAAAACACGATAGTCTGCTAACTGCTATCTGGAGAGCTGAATCAGAAGGTGACAGTGTTTTTGGTCCATTTACATGCACAGTTAAAGCTAATATCAAAATAAAATTAGACGATTTAAGTGGACTGCTGTCCTTATTCCAGTTTACATTAGCTAGGCAAGAATCGTAGTGACAGTAGCATGTCTTCCTCTTCTATGGTAGGTGGTATTATCCCCCCTTTTAGCTCATCATAGGGTCATCCCCTGGTATCGAAACAGCTCTGTGCAGTTTGTCAAGAAGTTTTGCCTCTGCTTCGTCTGTCAAGGTTTTGTGGACTACGTGTCTTCATTGCAAGGCATTCATGATATTCGACATGTGGCTCGAAGCCCGGCATGCAAACACCACAGCATGTGTGCAAAACACTTGTCCAGGTTTTAGTTCAGTCCAGACAGAGAAAATGGATCCCAAACTGCAATATCTAGGTATGTTAATTCGACTATGACGAGTTCAATTTAGTGGCGGGTGACCATACATCCTCTTTTACCCGGACATGTCCTCTTTTTTGGGGGGCTGTCTGGACAGTCCAGGTTTGTTCGGCTTAGTGTGGGGAAGTTTATAAAAATCATTCAAATGTCCGCGGTTTTGTACGTAAGTTTCAGGTTTGTGTCACATGGACTGACTGAGTTAGAAGTGTATAGAAGACACTCGATCCGACCCGAAAAACTCTCAAAATTAACTCTGTGCGACTCCGTGACTCCGCCCCTGCATAGTCGTGTCCTCTTTTTCGGAAGTCAGAATATAGTCACCCTAATTTAGTGAGATTTCAGTCAGACTGAAACTATATTTTAACGAGCACCGTCAGTAACAGGGATGTTGCTCCTTGGTTAGACTGTGAACTTTAACTTTAAAAAAGTTCCCTTTCCCTGTTGTTGTTTTTTCTCTTACCACAGACAACTAGTTTATCGGGAAAATCTCTTGTGAGGCACAGCTCATTTAAATGTGTGAAATTGAAATTCAGTGCCTCACTTTCCTATGTTTTATATGTAGGAGTATTTTCTGAGATGAGCTGGGGGGGTGGGAAGAACATCTGCTGGATAATATGTGTAAGCTGAACAGTTCATTCTGTCGTGACACTTTGACAGCAGATGTAGCAATTAGGAGTTGGAAAGAGTGTTGGACCCTTTTCTTCACAGAGTCTACGGAAACTCAGCAGATACAAGAGATAAATCATGAAGAGAAAGATATGAACATATATTTCACACAAAGAGGAGTGTCGGATTCTTCGAGTGGAATATATTAAAGTGCTAAAGATTACTTAAAGCTGAATGTAAAAGCCTGGGGTGGTAGTTGGATCCAGTGTAGTAGAAACAGGGCGTCATACACATAAATCTGTCATCACGCTGTAGCTCATTGTGCTTTTGTCATTACTGTAGTACAAGCCTGGAAACATAATTTCTGCTGGATACTCCAGAGATGTCAAGCTTCACTCCCACAAGATTAAAGATTGCATTACAAATTAGTACGCATGAGCCATCACACTGAGCTGCGATTTGCTCTTGGTTAACATCGATTAATCTGAATCGTTAAACCCGGGGGTTTGCAATGAGGCAGCTAAGTATACTTCAGCAAGAAGCAGATTCTACCAACAGAATTGAATCATGGTTGAACTATTTTAGCTTTCCAACAACAGCAGAAGATCAAAGATAAGGCTTCGGAAAATAGAAATAGTTCAAAGATTGGGCTGGAATTGAAAGAAAGCCGTGCACACACCAAAGTAACGGGAGCAGGTCCCCTGCCACACATTAATGTGTACATAATCTGCTAACGGTCGATTGTCTTTTCTTTTCAGCTTTTCTATTTATGTCAAAGAGCATAAAAATAATAAGGCTGCCGAGGCTGCACGATGCATAGGTTTACATCTTATCTACATCAGAGTCGCTTTGAAGAAAAGTCTGGTGGGATTTTGCATTTTTCTCTCATCTTAGGAGCTCAAAAAAAAGACTCAAACCAACGTTGATGTGATCCTTACAAGTATTTTTACTCCTGCTGTCAAAACTTGACATAGTGTATCTCTAGACCACTCTTGATAAAGTACTTTTCAGAATACAAGTATGACAACAATTTCACAACTGTAAAAATGAATTTAAAAAAAGATGCATCTCAAACTTCTTAGATGGTTTATTAATTTCAACTCTATCTTACATGGTTAAAAAAAAAGGCTGTTTTGGATTTTGGAAATGTTAGACATAAATATTTTAGTATTTTCAAAAGTCTGAAACAGCTAAGCACTGCAGTTTTTAATCAGCTTCAAGTGTAATTTCACCAGCAGCAGAGTCAGTGTGCTTGCAAGCTTTTAGGAAACTAGACGAGTGTCTGTGGAATTGACTCATATTTAACAACAACCCTCCTTTTCCACATAATTAAGACACACGCTAAAACCAGTTTGGTACGAAGCACCGGAAGGATTTTGAAATAGTGTCACATTCTTACTGACGCCTCCTCATGACCTTCACACTGTATAATGAGATTATGAGCAATAGGAGCAGCTGTTTCTTTGTGCTGAACTTTAATGTCAGTGTTTTCCACTGAAAAATAAGCCTTGGCTCTGTTTAGAGCTCTGTTAAAGTTTGAAAGTGAGAAGGAAAAAAGGATTTTTTGACTTCAAAGCAGGTTGAGCAAAAATGCCTCAGTTTAAGTATTGTTATAAAAGCGGAAAAAACAACTTTTCAACCAGGGTTAAAAAACAGAAAAAAAAAAGCTATGAACCACTTTAAAAGTGTGGATCGATGCAGGTGGGAGATTTTTTTAATTTCCGTTTTGAGATATAAGCCAAATTTTCGAAATTAAAGTTAAAATTTTAAAAAGTCGAAATGAAAAAAGTCAAAATTTCGAGATTTAAGTCGAAATTTCAAGATTAAAAATGTGGAAATGTAAAAAAAAAATTTGAAATTTCGAGATAAAAAAAAATTGACATTAAAGTTGAAATTTTGAGATTACAAAATGTTAAACTGTGAATAGTGTCGTAATGTCGACCTAAAATTTCGAAAAGGTAAAATCTTGATATTTCAACTTCACTCTGCATCCTGCATTGATTTTTCTCAACAGATAAAAGTAGTATTGGTAATGTTTGTTGAATATGTTGGGTTTTCATTTTATTAGGTTTTACTGACAAAAGAAAAACAAATAGTTGGCTTCATTCTTTATCAAAATTTCTACAACAAATAGTCTTTTGCCCTGTGAAATGTAGACAGTAACAGAGTAACTGTCCTTTGTTCATCAACCTGCTGCTGTAGGTATTTATTCCACACATGGAGGTCATGTGCAGCAATGACCTGTTTGAAAAATTCATTAGTAATTTCAAACATATCCATCTTATATATTATGTCCTGTTCATAGAATATGCATGCATACCCTGCAGGTTTCCCCAATTATGTCATAAACCCAATGCAACGATTTTCGAGTGATTGCTTCAAAAAGGACCTCTACACTAAATCCTTAATCCACATTTAAATCTGATCTATCAGTCACCAAGTTTTATATCCATCTACAGATGTAGGTTACTCTACATGTTCGCCATGCTCAGTCATAAAGGTCAGTTTTGTTTACATCTACCTTTCATACAGATAGGTGTCACTGTGCAGGTGTGGCAGAGCTCATGTCAGTGAAGATAAATGTGCAAGGCTAAATTGCAGTGTGCTCCAAAACCCATTCCCCATTGGGTCTATTGATCAAAAAAGTAGACAGATGTAGCTGTGGGCTATCATATACTGTAGTGCGACAACAGGAGCTGTACAGGTCATTAAAGGCAAAAAAAATGACATGACATTGTATCACTATAAAGAATGGTGGTTGGATGTATTTTAATAAAAAGGTATACATGAAGGTTTGACTGAGAGTTATGTTGACTGTCCTGTGTTTAATCTTGGAGTGAGTGCTCTTCTCTGAAAGCAGGGCCTGAGAGTGAGTTGACTTGATGGGCGGTTTGACAAAAAGGAAGAAAGAGAAAAATGGAGTGTTTCGACATGTGAATGGAGCAGTTAAGTTTTATTTCCCATCATGAAAATGGCATTAACAAGTTAGTATAATCATGCATGGGTGCCTGATGGTATTCCTCCTTGACATTTCTCAGTGCGCCATTAAGGGAAACCAGGGAAAAGCCCCTCTGCCTTATAATTTGATTTTCAGATCACCAGCTCCTTAATGATGAAGCAATTAACCGAATATATTTGAGCTCAATATTCAGAGTCCCATCCCAGCAAAGAACAGATATACTGTATTTGATTAGTCTTTTCCAAATCCAAGGCTCAGAGAGGTGAACTGTTAAATCCACAGCGTCATGTTCCAGCAGCACCGTGCACCCCAGAGCTAATCTAAGCTCAGTCTGTAGTCGATGGTTAGGTTTCCAAAGGAAGCACCACAGCCAAGAGGTGTTCCCCCATTCTGCCCTGCCCCATTCTTCTAAAGACATGCACCATGTCTATTTTAAGTGTCCCACACATCATGCTTCATGCCGAACAGAGGAGATCATCCTTGACAGAACATCCAACACAGAAACCACTTCAAAACAACATGTGCAGACTCCCAGTTGTAAATCAGATCATGTGGTTGATTTATACTTATTTATAATGTCGATATTGTTGATAACTTTAAGCTGTTCATTTTGTCTGCTTGTGTTAGCACAATGATTGTGACATACATGCTTCCTGTGGAATTAAAGGGATATTCCTGCATAAAATAAATTTAGGGTCAAACACACCGTCGAGTTAGACACCCCTTCAAGAGATGACTCTTGCTGACCGTTTGCTTCTCTAGTTATACCAACTTTAGTAACGACAGCACAATAGTAATACACAGCGGTCTGAGGAGCCATAAACAAACCTCAACCAAAACGCCACTCTGTAGCCACAAATAATGCTCAGAACAGCACCTAACTTCATCAACAGCACATAAAGGGTCCCAGCCATAGTACTAGCCACCAAACATCTTTTTAACTTTGCCTGATTTCTTTAACAAAGAGACTAAACACAACTCACCTACTCTCTTCCAGCAGCCACTTGTTTAGTGAGACCAAGGGCCAGTCTATTACGGACTGAAGCGGGGTGACGAAGCTCAAGGAAGAACATTTATGATGTTCGTGTGTGGCTCTTCAGACCGCTGTGTATTGCAACATTCATCTCTCAACGGGGTGTCTAACTCGGTGTTAAGGTGTGTTTGACCCAAAATTAATTTTACGCCAGAATATCCCTTTAAGCAACAGTCACTCAAGATGAGAAGATAACCTACAGACAGAAATGTCATGCTGTCTTTTAATTTTCATTTTCTTTTGTGTTAATGTACATTTAAAGGCAATGTCCAAGAACGTAAGCAGCGTTCATAGGGAGCACTGAAAAAAGGCAATTCTGCAGCTGTAAAGAAGCATTGGTCTCTCGCTGACCTTGCATTCCTATGCCCCTCTTCCCAGTCCATTTATGTCCTCATACATTTAAGCTTTATGTACTCTACACAGAATGACAGCTCCAGTTCTTTTCACTTCCACTGTGTTGGGTTATATCTCTTTTGCGACTAAATGATGCAGCACACTGGAAAAGGGCACCATTTCTAAAGATATCCCACAAGGGTTATGGAAATTTACCAGACCTTTGGAGTAGTAATGTGGTTTGCACATTTGATGGAGGAAAGTAAAGGAAACATTTTTAAACTGGATGATACTACAGTGAAGTTATGGTTTGACCACTTATGCTTTATTATTACTATTACTTTATGTTGGAAAAAAGAACTTTTTAATCTAAGTGTTTACACATTTAAACAGTACCGTTCTCAGCTGATTAATATTCGTAACAACTTCGTAATGTTGCTTCTTGTTTACTGAGACTAGACCTCTGCTGAGTCTTGGTTGTTATTCTGGATACACTCTGCCATTAAAAAAAGAAAAACTGTTTAATTTTGCACAAACCTAGCAGGGTGTCTTGGATCATTGAGTTATATTCTCGTCATGGGACACGTACCGTGCCTGGGTTCTCTGTTATAAGAATTGTTGAATTAATAATTTTGGATGAATTAAGCAATAAAGGAGAGGACATTTTGCCGTGATGAATATCAGAACAGCTGTGATTGGATCAGACATGAGGCCTCAGGCCCTGTAATAAAGATAACCACACAGGACAACATGCATTACTCAACAGTACAAGCAACACATAGTAAGTATGAAGTGATAAATGATTTGTCAAAACTATTTTGTCAACTTGGCATAAATATTTGTATTACTCTTGCTTCTTTGGGGGAAGTAACAAACAAGACTCACTTTAATTATTTAAATCAAAACTTTACTGAGATGTTTTTTGTAGGAGCAATTATATCCTCCTTAACTCTGCATTGCACCTGTTATTAAGTAGAAAAAAGTGGAGATCAAATAGATTTAAGCTTTTCATCGATTGCGTGACTGCTAGCTAACTGGCTGACATCTTCCACCTGACAGTCAGGTGAGCTGGACCCTCTGACTAATACTAACATGTGGACAACATTTCTCCACACATTAACAGTCTCCTGTTGGTTACTTAATTAGCTTAGGAAGACATCAATAAGCCTACAATCAGAAAGACCGGTCATGAGCAGAGAACTTTGGAGCATTCAACAAGTTACTCTGGCAAGGAAAAACCTTTTGTTTGACAGGCAGAAACTCATGATAAACAGCCATCTGCCTTCACTGTGTTAGACCTGGAATAGAGGGAGAGAGGGAGATGGACATAACGTTTTTTCTTTTACATAAGTTGGGGGTCATATACACCCTTTCACGTCCCATTTTGAAGAACTTAGTACAGTTAAGTAAATTTTAAAGTATTTTTAATGTGAGATTTGATAAAATTGTGCAACTGTCACCACGGCAGACAAAATGACGTGTGATTGCAGTATAATAAGTGGTATTTTGACTCTACTAGCTTGTTCATTAAGGAACATGCAGACATATAGTTTGAAAGAAAAAAATTAACATACAAATATCACATTTATACACCTTAAATTTAAACCGGTGTTTATTCGAGACTTGTTGGAGATGACTACTCAGGTAAAGTTTGAGAACTTGGACTTTGACTCAGAGCATGTACGATTTTTCACCACCAAGGTATGTTGAAACAAGATGTAAACGATCCCTGAGACTTTGCTGTGCTGTGCTAGGATTTTATTTGTCTTTGTATTGGTCTTTACTCACCGGGGCATTCACTGGCATGCATTCATCTTATTTTTCCTCTCTCAAGTTTTGATACAAGTCGATTATGTTGCAACTTTAACTTTGCAAGATTTGCATATCACTTCTTTCTGTTCATCAAAATATTCCCATGTTTTAGTCAAGTGTCAGCCTGCACGTCAGAATCTGCGTCACTAGGTTTTGTGCACTGGATGTCTCTGACCAGTTGCACTTGAGAAATATTTCATCTTTTCATTTTAACTGACCAAAGTATGTTAGTACAGATCACTTGGACAGGACTAACTATTATTTATCACCTGCTATTAAAAATGTCTTCCTTAATGGTTGTAGAGGAAGACAGTTCATGTTGAAGGAGCATTTTTCTAAAAATTGGAAAACAAGACAGCCATGGCTAACACAGTCCATGCATCCATGTTCGTAGAAAATAACTGCATGCTGTTTCCCTGAACCATCGCTCATGTGTTCACATACTTTGATTAGAATAAATGGTTGAATGAAAATTCTGCTTAAACACAGGTGAGGTGGAACAGTAATCAAATCTGGAGTAGCTCCTCAAATGAGTTGCACATATGCCGGCTGCCTGTGGTTAATCTGCTGACAGTACAGTTCTGACAGTTTTGTCAAAACAGTGTTTCCCTCTCATGGTTGAAAAGTGCACCCGATTACACCCATCCAGACTTGAAGTACTGTATCTGTAAGTCTGTGTGATTATTCAGCCAGTCTATTCCAGGAAAGATTAAAAGCATGTTTTGTATCCTTGTCTATTTATCCTCCTCCTGAGAGAGATGATATAAACACACTAGTACAGAGGAGCTGTCTGGCAGACGGATATATCAAAGACAGACTCTAACTCATTCCCGAGCAGCTGTTTGAATTCTTCATTTGTATGAGCATCTTCATTTCTCGGGTACTTAAAACCGTTTGTACACAGCTTTGATTCAGCTTTGCTTTCTAAGCCAAATAAAGTCACTTACTAACTAAGAAAGTGACGGCAAAACTGGCTGTGTAATGAGAGGATAAAAGGGGCTGTTGCGTATTCTCGACAGCAGCCTGGCACGGATGCCCAAATGAAAGGGAGGCAAAAGGTCAGGCTCATTAAATGTCAGCAAAGACCATCTTAATAATTGAAATCACTCAGACAAAAGAAGCACAGAATTTAACTCTTAGAAGCTACAAGAGCAGTTTTATAGTAACTTGTATAATGCATCTTGTTAAGAGTTTCACAGTACTTAAACCTCAAAAGGCTTTGTGCCTTATGCAAATGTTTTCATATTCACAGTACACTGCTCATCAATAGAAATATTAGTTTTTGGCAACTGTCCAGTTTTTTCTCTATTTTTGCCTCACTGCATTTAAAACCTCTGTCAAGAGTTTTCACCTTCTGACAGATGAATTTGAGCCAAAAATCGACGGAGCCAGTCATTTGACATGCCTGTAAACAGACTGAGGCTGTTTCATCCTTTACCCCTTTCTTTAATACAGAGAATAATAAAGCACTGATGACACAATGCACATAAGGGTTCCAATTAGAAATGCATGAGGGCTTTTCAAGAGGTGATGGAAGCCCTGAGGGACGCAGAAACAGACAGCTCAGGAGGAAAGGTTCAGCTGCAAACCTCACCACAATAAGTTTACTGGAATTCTCTTTTCTGTCTGGGAAGTTTTATGCTATAAAATAGTTCTTATATGCAGAGCAAACACCGTTTTTAAAAGACAATGCAGAAGATTGATCAAATACTAATCAGGAACCGAAACTTGAGAGTATTGTAGTCAAGTCACCAAAGAAGAACCGAGTGAAGCCTAAATAGTCTGTATAACCTGGGTCTCAGTCAGGTCCTCTTCATTAACAACATTAGTCATAATTTTTGACTGACTGGTCTCATCAGTCAGTGCGTTTACATGCAAAGTTCAGTCGAGCTACAGTTATAGCTCAGTTGGGCGATTTACCTGTCCTTGTCTCAGTTTAAATGCACTGGGCAAAAATCAAATTATTGACACAAATATGTAAACCTCTGCTACAATAGGTGGCAACATGCCTCCTTTCAGCTCCTTACTTTTGATGAATTGCATATGAAAATATAGTCAGCTGGACACTGAAGAGGCAAACAGGATGTCGGCTACATCAAACTATGAAAAACTTCAGTAGAGTTCATTTGTACGGTAGGAAAGTTTCATCTTTTTAGTCTTTTCTTTGTCTCTCAAGGTTTTGATTACCACTTGCCTTCCTAGCATCACATCCATGCTATTCCACTTTCAGCTCAGAGCCCAGTGGACCATCACGGGGGCATGCATATAACGCTCGGGCTAGTTTTAGTTCAATGGAGCATAAACATGACACAGAATATTATACCAAGTCGATTTCGTGCAATCCAGTGTGATAAATGTGTTCACATGTATAATAAATTTTCAGTTTCAGTCAGACTGAGATAATAATTTAGATTTTTATAACAACATATGAAAGTACTTTGTGTGTCTGGAGTTTTGATATATCATCCAAGGTATTCAACAGTCCATGAACATCAGAATTCAGGTTAGACTCAAAAACAGGTGTCTGAGTTCTGGTATCTGAATTAGACTTTGAGTCATCCTTAAAAGCCAGCCCACTGAGCATGTTTTGGTCTAAAAGAGATCTAAAAGACGTCTAAATGTAGCCTAGAGGACTGGTCTAAAATCAGGCTACCACAGGTCTAAAAATGAACGTTTTTAGACATCTAAATTTAGACCAAGTTTAGACTAAATCTAAATCTTGGCTATATCTATACTACACAGTATATTGCTCAATGGCTATCATAATTACTTTGGTTAATTACTTGGAGATCAGTTATGCAACTCGCAGTTACTTTTTTAAATAAATAGGTATTGAATAATGGGTTAAAGTGCAACGTCTAAATTCTAGATGGTTGAAAAAAGTCTAGATGTCTAATAGCCGTCTATTGTTTAGTGGGAGTTTACTTGTAAGAATGCAGAACAGAGAAAATACTGAGGATGTGGACTATTTTGTCATATTTACACTTAGTGGCAATGACAGTGCCATAAATGTGCTTTGGTACAGTTTCATGATCATATCCAATCATATCATCATAAATGCTTGAATTAGAAAACCATTTTATATGGTCAGTACGACACTGGGTCAGAAATGTAACAGCCTTTTTTTACAGATACTGTTGTTTCATCACTGTTTATTACCATCAACAAGCAGAAATGACTCACACACAGCTGAGAAATGACTATTCTTATACTGAAGTGAACAACTCTGTTGCTTTGGTGCCAGAGATGTGAAATGACCTTTGTCAGTGGTCTCTGGCCGGCTGTGTCAAAAAGCATCCTCAAACACGGCTAGAATACACAGTTGTGTCTGAGATCCATTAGTACTTTTAGAAAAATACAAAATTCATCGTCTGAATTATTTGCCTGTCTGAACGCTGATGACCACCTGTCAGAGAAAATCCCACTGGAGACCAAACCCGGTATTTTATTGTTCTGTGCAAATCCGCAAAACAAGCAACAACCCAAGACGGACAGTTTGTTATCAATGGCTTAGTGCAAGAGGCTGAAAATCCATCCTCCTGTGTACCTGTGTGAGAGTGTGTAAGAGAGAGTGATGGATGAAAGTGGTACAAACACAGTGTAAAATCAGCAACACTACAGAGTGGACTGTAGCCAGAGGCAGTGGAGTGGAGTCAGGGGACCAGTGAGAGTTGAGTTTCATAACGTAAGACAGACTGAGATATGTGCACGAGACCAGCGGGAAAATCAACAAAGACTCTGGATATTTATCCGTTTATTTATTCATCTATTCTTTAGCTGTGCGTGATCAGTGTTGTCACTTCAAGGATGGAAACTATCAGATAGTTACATACAGTAGCTGTTTGTTTTAAGAATGCTGTTTACTCTTGAATGTCATGTCATATTACTATTTTTTTTTCTTTTTTTTAAGCTAAACTGCTTAAAGGCAAGAATTAACTGTGGATTTAAACATAGGTGGTGATGGATTCAGAGATGGTCACTGGCTCATGAATGCTTTCGGTTTGTTTTGGAGGCACAGCCATCTGAAAAATTTGAAGTGCTCCTTATTCAACCTCGACTCTTGCCGGCTGCGACTCAGAACTGTTGCTTTTGCGTGGATTCTGCATTTTATAGATTGTCTTACATTACAAATATAGCAAACACAACATTGTGTTCTTCCGTAATCGATTCATACACTTGGCGGCATTCATTCTGATTCAGACACTGAAGGGCAGACGCTGTCGATTTAGTACACCAAGGAATTAGCTGTTTCCATCTAAAAGAGTGGGAAATATTGACAAATGTTAAGTAAGCAAGGACACTCAAAGGTGTGTGTCAGAAAGTAATCTGCCTAAGTGCCAACATAGCTTGAATATTTTATGAAAGTAAACTCCATCAAGGAACTAGCCTGAGTAATTGTTCATTAAAAGGTGATTTTAACTCAGACAGTTGGAAAAAACTACTGGGTACATCTCCTGGTGTTACATATTCAGCTAAAGCTGCCAGTATGTGATCATCTGGTGTGTCCTAAGACTGGTCATGGTTTATATCCATGTCAACATCCACCATTAGAGCTTGATTCTCCAACATTCCCAACAACACAACTATTCAACATCTCTCTGAATCTGCTTAGTTTTCCTCTTCAAGTTCCAAAAATATCCTCCTTAAATTCCTCGATCCTGCAGCCCCTGACAGTGCAGTTTATTCAACTCTAAATACAGCCAAGAAGCCGTAAGACTAGTGGATCTGTGACTGGCTCCACACACACTCTCTTGAGAACACAGCCCATCAAGCAAAGCTGTGCCTTGGAGGGGATTGAACCCACCATTTGTACTGTAGAGTTTCAGATCATGACAGATCATGAACTGTTAACAATTGTATCAAAAGCATGGGGTGCAATCAGCTGTGCAACAGCAGGGGTCGGTGGGAAATCAAATCTGTTATGAACCAGGGCTGTCTGGCTTGAGTGTGGTTCTCTTGCTCTCTTATGTTTCCTTCTCACTTTCTCTCTTCTTTCGCCTGTTGGTTATTCCTGTCAGTAGCCGTCTGAGCTTCACTGGAGCTTGTATCAACTTCTTCCTCTCCCTGGTGTGACATTTATAGCATTACAATTGAGCCATCAATCTGTCAAGCTTTACCCCCGCTAAGCCACGAGCGGTGGGAAGCACAGGAGAGGGACAAGTTTACCTTAGCGTCTGCTTTGCTTCTGTATGGTTATGGCCTAACAAGCACAATAAGTCTCAGACATGATGGGAAATGGATAAGCTTTTAGTTGCCAGCTGAGGCATGCCGTTGCGTCGTTTTTCACCCTCATTTCCCCATCTACCGCCGCAGATTTTTTGCTGATGACTGACTTGGTGATAGCTGTTGGCTTCTCATTCTGTTGGATTCTCATTATATTTTTTTCGCACCCCCACCCCCACTGCTATATCTCATACATAAACACACTCCTCCTCTGCTGTTTTCCAAAACCTTCTCTCTTTTTCTTTCCCTTTGTGTTCATTCCCCTTCTTTCTCCCCTCCCTCCCTCTCTTCTCCCTGGGTGATGTCAGACTGAGCTCCTGTAAGGAGGAGATAAAGCCCCCCAGCAGGGCAGGACCACAGCTGTCGCCTTCTGACTTCCTGGACAAGCTCATGGGAAAAACATCAGGATATGATGCCCGCATCAGACCCAACTTCAAAGGTAGAGTATGTGTCAAAGCAGACCATCACAGTAGCTCTCGAGAAAATCCGGCTGTGAAAAAACAAAGACGAGTGGATCTACGCTGTGAAAGCTAAACAGCTGACTACTCCCATGAGTATCAAAGACTGTGGTGTGGTCGAATATATACGACTTCTAAGCAGATTTATAGATGTTTTTGCATGACAAATTTCCAACCATGATCATCTCAGACAGAGTGAGCCTCACCGAATCAATGTGGAGCATCATGATTTGGCTGTTCAATGCAGAACTTGCACACCTACTACCTCTGCAGCATCCACACTTCAGAATCAGAATCAGAAAAACTTGAATAATCCCCAGGGGGAAATTGCTTAAAGAGGGGCCTTGAGAGGGGCTCTAGGTGTTTTTAGATCACAGACTTGCGATCAGGGTTCCTACACAGTTGAAATTTCCACTTTTACCCTACTTTTTAGAAATATTTTTGGGAATACCTACTTTTCTACCTTAAAAACAGAATTCTTTTTACTGTGGTTATAGTCTGGAAACCTAAATATTTTTCCATACTTTATTTTTCATTAACTATATTTTTTAAAGACCTGGAAATTGATCAAATTACGTCCATACTTCTCCATACTTGCATAGGAACACTGTGCTATCCTTGTCAGAGCTCAAACAAACACTCAGTAATGATCCACACCACCAGGAAGAAAGGAGACAGACACACAAGGCTGGCGTAACGGCTACCTTTATGAATCACAGACAAATGTTCTCATCTGTAACCAAGCGCTGATTTTTCTCCTTATCTGTCTTTGCCCGCCTGAATGTGCGTTTATGTGTCTTGTTCATATGAAATGCTTAATTCGCAGCTGTCCAAATACGTATACTTATTTAGAAAATATAACCCCAAACACAGTGAGACTTGGTCCATCAGTAACTTGGAGCTCCGTGTTCATGCAGGATGAACTTTTAAATTTTAGAAAGTGTTCTATTGAATGGGATTAGAAATGGAAAAAGCATTTTATTTAATGATGAGTCAATTAATGTTAATAATCGATATTACAATTAGCTTCAAAAGTCTTATCTATATCTAACATATCTATTTGTTGTGCATGAAAACTTAATGTATTATGAGAGCTATGTCCAAAAAATAGAAATATAATTAAATTGGAAAAAACTTTGTGTGGAGTGCAGATAAAAATGCAATTAACAAACATCTTCAGGTTTGTATGTTTTTCTGAATCAGCAGAAGTATATAATTTTTCATTGTCCCTGAACGTACAATACCTTCAGACGCTTCTCTTTGACCTTTCTGCTCTTACTTTTAACAACCCCAGCCAGCCTTTTCTTGATTTTCCTAAAAATAAAAAATAAAAACTTTCCTCCAGATGGTTTCAGAAAATGAGATTTTGTTTTGGCTGTAATTAAACTTCAAGTTAAAGCTGAAAAATAACCCGTACTTTTATCTAGTTCTTTAAAGGAGCCGGTTCATTCAAAGCTGAACATGAGCTGCCATGACTTGGGCTTGAAGAACATTTTTAGATTTATGAAGGAAAAAAACTGCTGTGACCATTAAAGACAACAATATGTTTATTTATGTCTATCACTTTGTCTTTTGAAGTTTTGAACTGTCTCCTTGACCATGAAAAGCGCCAAATCTCCAACACAATCAGCATTATTTTTTTATTTCCTGACTGTGATCATTTCTTTGTTTTTTCTCTCCTCAGGCCCACCTGTGAATGTCACCTGCAATATTTTCATCAACTCCTTTGGGTCCATCACAGAAACTACAATGGTAAGCAGACCGTAAAGATATCTTTCTTGAGAGAGAGGGAGAGACAGAGATAAGCGAGTACATGCTCAACAACATCCTCGCATCTTCAAAAACCACACTTTTTGCAGACATTCGTATAGATTATGTTTTATATTGTCTTACTTATACCACTGCAGGATTTACAAAGCTAGAAATCTCACTCTACTCTCTTTCTTCCCTACTACCTCCTTTGCTAAGCGGTTCCCTCATTTCTGTGTTTCCTGGAGCATAACAGTGCAACCTTCAGAGACCACTGGGTCACTGACATGCTGATAATGAACTGTCCACTCTGCAATTAAAATGAAAAATTGAGAAAGTGAATGAAAAGGAGGTATGGGAGAGAGGACTCAGGGTTCAGGGGGAAAAAATGGCCAACCTCGAGTTCGCATTTACAGTGTTATACCTGCTGGGTCAGCACCATGCAGCAGTGCACTTTTTAGAGGCCTCAGAGGATCCGACCTACAGCAAAAACACTTATAATATAATTGTTTGCAAGAAAGAAGCATGCTTTTCTCTTTGGCTAAGGAAGAGAAGATGCACTGAAGAAAATATCTGCATTGCCAATAGATGAATTCTGAATTAATTGCATGGATTAGAATTCTAATTTAATCACTCATGCATGCTGGCCGCAGGCTGAAATGATTGTGTCGGTATTTGTCCTTGGCCTGACTCACTTTGCCAACTCTGCTCAACAGCACACTGTATATGTCTGCAACATTGGAACAAATCACACCATCAGAGTTGATCAGTAACTATGGTCAAATGTGAAAAAAGATGGTGAAGCAGGGAAATTTACAAGAGGGACAAGCTTTATTCTTGAAACATGAAGCTAAATAAGATGTGCAGAAAACAGCAGTGCTACAGGTTTCTACTCGAGGCTTCTGCAAAAGAAAAGGAAATCCCGTAACCCCCATGTTAAAATGCTGATTTGATTCAATAAAATTAAATCTTTAAATAGAATCTTCACCAAAAAAGATACTTTGACCGTCAAAAATTGGCAGGATGTGATTTTTGTTGAAAGACATGACTGAAACACGCAGACAACAAGATAAGCAAAGACTGCTTTGTCCACAGGGGGCGCCAAAACTGACATAAACCAAAAAGTTTTCTACAGGAGCTTTAAGGTCAAAAGTTTTCATAGTGAGGAACAATCAAGGGTGTGGTTGATTTTGTTGTGTCTGTCAGCCAGGAGACCAAAGGCTGGCCTCACTCCCACCTCTGTGCCTCTTATTAGAATCATCTCAAGTTATGTTGATTTAGCATCAACAGCATGGTGAGACCGATTGTTGGGTCATAAAAAGCACAACTTGGGGTGCACAGATGGCTGAGTGGGTTAGTGTGCCCCATGTATGGGGACCACGGTCCACGCAGCGGTTGCGGGCTCGAGTCCAGCACCAACCATGTGCTGCTTCTCTCTCTCCATCTCCCCACATTTTACACTGTACTACAAGTAAAAGGCAAAAATCCCCAAAAAAATACTTCAAAAAAAAAAAAACAATAAAAAAAAAGTACAACAAATTTTCTAACAAATTGTCACTTTTGCCGCTGCTGTAGAGATTACTTGTCCGATGCTTGAAATTTGTTTGTAAGCAAAGTTACAGACTCAATATAAGCTAAACTTTAATTAAACATGGTGGAAATGTGTTGCATTAGTAAAGGAAGGGCTGGTTATATTTAAACTGAACTCAACTGGAGCAGAACAGATTATTTTACCATTATACTAAAGTGAATTTTCCTTATTGTGGAAATATATCCACAAGGAAGACCGGATGATAAACAGTCCTTCACTGTCACAGTGCTTTCTGGTACCATTCACAACAATCAGTTTTTAAACCCTGAGAGACAACCTGTTCACAAGGGCCACACTACCCCACATCATAACAACACCCAGGTGCAAGAAGATGGATTAATCGATATTTTTATCAAAAATATATCAAAATTCACACAGACATTGTTTTGTATTACTCTGTGAAGTTACTTTTAATTGTTAATTATCTAAAGGAAGATAACCATCTCAGTTTTCATCTCTCTAGTTTTGCTAAGCATAGTTTAATTACTAGTCCAAATGGTCTTTATTGATTCACCGCCCTCTCACCAAGTAACTTCTGCAGACTAATCCACTCCTGCTGAGATTTCCATCTGTATAACAACCTTCACTGATGCACCATTTTCCATTACCCACATGCTTTCCTCCGCAGGACTACAGACTCAATGTATTTCTACGGCAGAAATGGAATGACCCCCGTCTGGCCTACAGTGAATACCCCGATGACTCCCTTGATCTAGATCCATCCATGCTGGACTCTATCTGGAAACCTGATTTATTCTTTGCAAACGAGAAAGGAGCCAATTTCCACGAGGTCACCACTGATAACAAGCTGCTCCGGATTTTCCAAGATGGCAGCGTTCTGTACAGCATCAGGTAACTAAAGATAATATTCAGTAGCCACAGTGTGAGGTGTTAAACCTCCCCACAGAAGTATTTGGCATGATGAATGAGGTCTGTTAAATTTATGCACTGCTGTGCAAAACTGCTGTTTTTATATTTTACTTCACTACAGGGATATTTCAGCCCTCTAAATTAAAGTTAAGTGCAACTAGGTCCAGTCAAAAAGAGCTGAGTCCCCTACATGTATGACCTCATGACCACAGCTGCAGCAGATCGCTGAATTGACAATTGCACCAACCCTCGACCGCACCTTTCTACCCACTTAGTGACACAGGGGGTCATGGCAAGACTAAATAAATGCAGGTGGAGGAAAGTTCACTTTCTCATGGCAAGTGTGCAACTTATGAATATGTCTGTTTGGTGAGATTCTATCAAGTAGACTGCTTACTGATCATTAACGTAAGTGAAGACAATCTTTTTAATGCCTTTGTGTCCCAAGTCGACAATTTAAACCAACAAATTGATTCATTTTGGGATCAACCCCCCTCCTGTGTTAGGGTCTGCGCCGACCGTTTTTTGTTTTTAAATGCTTAAAAGAACCACTGAAATTAGCTTTTTCGACTTTGTCAGGAACCTCTATTTCAATGAAAAATAAAAAATAAATAAAATAAATTGACTAAATTATAAAATGCTTTTAATAACATTATGCAGTTGTTGTGATAGGGTCGCTGTTGACCCAGTTAGATCAATATCTAATAATTAGAGCAAAAACTAAAATCCTATGTGCACTGCCAGCCACCACACTGACAGTCAGATCCTCTTCTAGTCATGTGAGATTTAGGAAATTCTCATTTTGCCATGTTTTTCCTTGCACAAAAACGTTGGGCATGTCCAGACATGTGAGATCAATTCAGTATAGATGTCTGTATAAGGGGGTATACTGACAAAGAAAGGCAGAGAAGCCCACAACAAAAAAATATTATAAGCAATATTTTCATGGATAATGAAGCCTAACAGGGTAACCGAGAGATGAGAACCAAATTGGATGATAGAGAATTGTTTTAAGTGTAACTTGCAGCTGATTTAAGACACGGGTTGAAACCGACCCTTAACATAGTGGGTGCGTAGTGAAAGCGAACACAGGAGGAAGGTTAAAAACAAATTTAAGATGATAGAAGTTTGAGTTGCCATGTTTTGAGAGGAAAGTTAAAGCAGTGTATTGTTGTATTCCAAAGCTGTCCTTTCTATTTCCCCCAGCTCCCTCTTTCAGGCACTCTTCCATAACATAATTTTTATCAAATTATTATTTTCCCAAGAACTTTTCAAACTTCTTTCGAGAAATCTTCATAGGATTTGCTTATTTGCCTGCTTTTCATTGACTTAATGTAGCAGCAGCTGTGGGAAAAGAGGGAGACAGACAACATAAATCCTCTGTTGTACTCTGACTCACTGGTCTGCAAATACAGTTAATCACCACCTCGCCCTCCTGATTTGCTGCATCCTCTAGATTTGCTTCCTAACTGCGTTTTGTAATGACGGATCCAACATCTCTGAGCGCTCTTCAAACATGACGTAATTTGTTCATGTTTGCAAAGTCAGTCGCTTGGGTGTTTTGTTGGCTGTTCTTTTGCTGGTGAAAAAGATATTCAGTCATCATAACAAAGCAGCAAGCGGGTGCCTGTGTGTATACTGTCGGCGTCTCTCGTCTCGCCTCGGGGCAGTGCATTACGGCAGTTAATTACACAGCTTTCCTCCAGACAGAGTCCCAAATAGCTCCCCTCGCTTTTCCTTCTTTGAGGGTTCTTGAAGGCTCAATGCATCAACGGCACAACAAATAAAAGTAGGGAGCCCTAACCCAATTAATTTGCAATTACTGTAGTGCGACAAGTCATGAAATGGCAGAGCGGCTGAATCAATATGTTTTCCAATTTACTGTTTTCAAAGGAATATCCTCTTTTTCATTTGTTCGGTTTGTTGTGTTGGGACTTCAGTGTAATAATCTGCAAAGTAAAGCAGTGTGGCACTCGTACTTCACTATTCTCTTAATCTCTGTATCTTTTATTTCTTCTTGTGTTTTGGTATCTTCTCTCTGAGCGCTTTCATGCCTTTTGACAGCCCTTATTGCTTCTTTTCTCTCTTCTGATCTTATTTCCTACCTCAGGCTGACTCTCACCCTGTCCTGCCCTATGGACTTGAAGAATTTCCCAATGGACATTCAGACCTGTACCATGCAGCTTGAGAGCTGTGAGTCTTCTTCTCTTGTTCCTCCTTTTTATCTCTCTTCCTCTCTACTTCATCCTCCTGATATTTTATCTGCCTGGTTTTGATTTGTAACATCTCTACCTTCTGCGTAGTCCAAGTGAAGAGAACTATATCAAAACCGGCTGTTTCATTTGTGGCTGTTTTTTCGTACTGTAATTTGTATTCCAAACCAACCTCAAGTTAACATTTTCTAAATTGTTTCCTAGTGAATCAGTGGTTCAGTCAGATGACGGGGGTATTTCAACCAGCCTAATTTAATAGAATAGCAATGAAAAGGTGTTATTTATTTCCACACTGCAGTATTTTCTAGATGTGTCGTCAGTCATAGAAGCTAGCCTACTGCTACGTTGGATTACATGCTAACTTCTATTCATTTTTTACTACTTGAAGTGTTCTCAGTGGTCTTTCCTTTAAGATAATGACAGTTTTAGCCAAAATCATGTTACCTGTCATTTTCAAGGGCTTTTCTTCTGCAGCGCTCCAGTAGATTATTAGCAATTCACCTCTGAGTCTTGGGCGGAGACAGCGCTGCTCTGCACACTTCTTTTCGCATTAGGTTGCAGTCTAACATTGCTGGTGTTGTAGAAGTGGCAGGTAACATAGAAGCTATTCAGCTCTCGGACACTAAATGTCTTTAGGGAGATGGTGAAAGTTAATATATAATTAGCTTTCTTACACACACTGCAATCTGCTAACGCACACGCTTGTTCTGCGATCGTCCTATTTCTCCGAGCTTGGCTTGCATAGCGGGGCTTCGAGGGCGGAGCTTGGATTTGCTACGTAGGAAATCTAACTGAATCTGAACCTGCCGTTTGGGTCAGCCAGAGATTTACAGCAATTTGAATGCAGAAATACTCAGAAATGAAATTTCACACTTAGTTTTCTCATAATATGTCCTGTAGCATCAGAAAAATGCCATATGAACATGAAGACAACAAGAAAAACATGATTTTCATCAGAGTGGGTCTTTAAAATGGAGCTTCTCTTCTAATATTTTATAGTTAATCATAATTAATTGTTTAAAGAGAGCATGATTTTTAAGATGGGTCTGCATTATCAATAGGACAGTTAAATTAACATCAGTTGGCTGACAAAATAATTACTTGGGAGAATTAAATTGCAATCCATTGTTTATTAGCATTAGTATGAGTTAATAGCATGAGCCATGTAGCAACAGCAGTACGCTGTAATCACACAAAGCACACAGTCAGTTGGAAAAACTTGTCGAAAAAAAGGGGAAAAAAATCCAGAAATGTGTTTAGGCCTGGACAAAGGAACAAAGGAGAAAAGTTATCTCACCTTTTCTTCCCTTGACTCTAGCAGAGATAGTATGTGCCCTCATGAAACCAATTTCCAGGATATAAATAATAAAACTTTAATTTTGTGTCCCTTTTATTATATGTGGCCCACCCTCTGTGCCTAGAGGTGACCTAATTTCCCGTCTCAGGGACAAAAGGATTTAAGTCTGGCAAAAGGGGAGGAAAGTGACTGAGTATTGTGCCCTGAAGTCACCGCACCTTCTCCAAAAAAAAAAAACATTTCTCACAAATAAATAAGTCAAGCTGAATGCTGGTATCTCTGCCTCTGTCTTTATCTGATTTAATAAGAAAAAGTGGCATTGTTTCGTATGGAACTAGTTGCTCTTCTTTACAAGAGGCAGCATGATTTATTTCCGCAAATTGACCCAGGGACAAACGGATAAAAAATCCAATAAATTTAGTGTACAGCAAGGCCATGCAGCATAAAAACAAAATTTAAAGATGTTCTACCCTTTGGGAGTGTAGGAGATTGGAGACAAATGTGTGTTTAAAACAGCACTGTGTGTGTGTTTTTGCCTTTGGTGTAAGTATCTCATCACAGTACCATTAGAGGAGACGTAATCATTCCTGATTAAAGTCCTGCTGAGGATACTTGGCCTTGTGTTGACAAGTGCTAGTACACCACCCAAGGGTGTGATCACCTTGGCTGGAGCTTGATGTTAAGGAGGACTTCATCGGTTTTACTGCCACTGCTGGAGCTGCAGAAAACACCGTCTGTTCTGTGTGAGAAAATGTGAGGCGACTAGAGGTGGAGAAATAAAAGGAGTTATCTTAGAGGTTTAAGAGAGCCAAGGCCAATCTTCTTTTCTGGCCCTTCATGCCAAGGGCTTATATAGATATATAAAAATAGAACCAACCATAAGATTTCTGCCTTATTCTGACACATCAAAGCTCTGTATATGCGGCTTATACCACTCCTCTTTGCCTTGAGCCAATAGTGTCCAGTAACCTCAAATCTGTAAGTGAAAAGCATGAAAAGAAATTGGAAGCGTAGCCGTGGCTGAATTAAGATAGCGGCTTTCATTAGGTGGACTGCTTTTTAGCATTTACTGTCATTACTTTACTCGACCAGGATATTCCAGACAATCTGCCCCATGAAATTCATTTACTTTATTCCACCTTTGTCAATTACGGTTTAACGCCTCTAAGCTGGAGCCGGCGGAAGGAAAGACGATGGCTTTATTATCTTAGGGAAGCATTGGTATTCCCCTCGCCTGTCACAGCAGGATGTGTGAATGACAGTGAATTACTCTCATGAACAAGATAAGTGTGTTTTAGCGGCGTTGTTTTTCAGGCATGTAGTGCAGGACGGGGTATAACACTTTGAATAATTGATGTCTTTGTTACTCAGGCCCCAAAGGGTCCCAGTAGACATCAGTATTATTCAGATGTGGGAGGACTTCTGCTTTGTTGTTGTTGCGTGTGGCATACATTTTTAATGTCCTTATAATCAGGTGGATGTGTCGGCGAGTGCAAGCTTCAAAATGGGCAGATAACTGTGTGTTCTGTTTGCAACATAACTGGCTTGTAAAAATGAATGTAGACTCCATTATGGTTTACAGTTTTGTTCATTACCTTTCATGCACAACTCTGATATGTTGCATACTTAATTAACTCGGTATCTTTCAGTGCGTATTCTGGTCCTCCATGGTCGCAGACAAATATTCTCCTCATGCCCTCCCTTATTCTGTAACCTTCAAACAATCCAGACAACATGACTGTAGCTGTGGCAGTTGACCTTTACTGTGACAAACATGATGGCAGAGAGAAGCTGGTAGCTAGGCAGATGGGCAGAAGCGAGCGCAGTCCTCCAAGTTACCTTCTCGTTCTCTCTCTCTCTCTCTCTCTCTCTCTCTGAGTCTAATTAGCCAGTGTTCTTGGTGTTGCTATGTATGCCGAGTTTTTATACCATGGTAACAAAAGCCTAATTGGTTTTAAGAATGATAACAGGTTCATACTTGACTAGTATAGATGTTCAACAAAGCAATCAACAAATGTGGATATTTCCTTACATCTTTTCTCTTTCACTCCCAGCCATGTTATTTTCATGTGTAGTTATTAAAGATGGCGTTACCCAAGATGACATATTTCTTACTTTTTTAACTGTTTATATCCATTTCTTCACCTCTATATCCTCTCTGTTCTCTTTTCACAGTTGGTTACACCATGAATGACTTGATCTTCGAGTGGCTGTCTGAGAGCCCTGTTCAGGTGGCTGATGATCTCACCCTCCCCCAGTTTGTGCTAAAAGAGGAGAAAGATTTGGGCTACTGCACAAAGTATTACAACACAGGTATGAAATTAACTCCATTGGAGATGTCTACATCAAAAATCTGAGCACGCTACCTGATTTTTCTTTCAGATAAACATTAAAAAATAACCTCTATCATTCGTCCTTAAACATCAATCTTCATTAAATCTCCATATACATCAAAACGGTAACCAAAAACTAACACTTTCTTTGAAGTCCCACTCCGGTCATGCTTTTTTTGTTGTTTGTTTTACTACTTCAAGTGTTTTCAGTGGTCTTTAAATAGTTTTTAGCCAAAATCACATTACCTGTGACATTTTCTAGGGTAGTAGAAGTAGCAGGTTACATAGGAGCTATTCAGCTCTCGGAGTCTGATGTCTATTTCTATTTCTACGAGCTTGCATAGCGGGGCTCCGGGGGCGGAGCTTGGATTTGCTATGTAGAAAATCTCACTGTATCTGAACCTGCCATTTGGGTCTCCCAGCAATCTAAATGCAGAAATACTCAGAAATGCAATCTGCACTTACTTTTCTCATGATATGTCCTGTAGCATCAGAAAAATGAACACGTAGACAACAAGAAAAACATAATTTTCATCAGAGTGGGTCTTAAAGCAAATATGCTCTGTGTTTTTCAGGTAAATTCACGTGCATTGAGGTGAAGTTCCACCTTGAACGTCAAATGGGCTACTACCTGATCCAGATGTATATCCCCTCACTCCTCATCGTCATTCTCTCCTGGGTGTCTTTCTGGATAAACATGGACGCTGCGCCAGCCAGAGTGGGCCTGGGCATCACCACGGTGCTCACGATGACCACACAGAGCTCTGGCTCAAGAGCCTCACTGCCCAAGGTGGGTGACAAGATAGTTTGTAGTGAACAGAATAACTACCCAGATTAGTCTGATGTTAAGTATGACCTTCAGATGTTTTAATTTACTTTGGGAAAGCTCTCATGGTATGTATCTTGTCCACGGTCGACAAATGCCCTACAAAACAAGTGACAGACACTCCTTGGATAATGGGACATCTGTAAAAAAAAAGGCATTTGCAGGAGGGTTTTAGAACAGGCTGACCCATTACAGCATATCTGGTCATAAAATGCTGACTTTGCATGAGGCAGATCCTGATTTAGGACAGAGCCTCACCAGGGAGCAGACATTAGAGGGCCAGGTGAGGTGAGGTGCTGCACTCTGGCATGCGAAAGGCACACACAGGTTAGAGCACAATGTACCCGGGGAGAAGGTTAGAGAGGGGGGCCGCATTATACTGACACTACAGTAAATACATTTTTAATAGACAACAGCCAGCCAATCAGAAAACTGCTTTATAATACCTCACTTCCAGCCAACAGTGTAGGGAGACGTTCTGAATCAGTGCACAAGGTGTATTAGATTGCCAGTAACCATAGCAACAGCACTCTGAGCTGGTTCGACACTACCACTTAATGCTTACAGTAGTTGTAGAGTTCAACTGCAAATCTTGTGCATTTTGACCCCAGGGAAGTTATTTTTTCACTTTTATCTACCCAAGGAATAATCATTAAAGACACCAGAGTCCTTATTCACAACCACTGCGACGTACATTTACACTCTGAAGCTGCTGTGCACAACCACAGATTTATGTGCCTACCACTGAGCAGCAAGAGGCACCCAGTGTTGGTAATAAAGGAGTGGGAAAAGTGTCTTTTAAGTCTTTACACCTTGAATTTTTATTTTTTTATTCATGGTTTTTTATTCGTCCCTTTTGGGTGGCTATTGTTCTAAGATTTTTAGTCTTTTATTGTGTTTATTCCTGTTTTATTTCTACATTATTTTGCATTTTATTGTTGGGATTTTATGTTTTTTAAAGCTCTTTGTCAATTCTGTTTTGTTGCATGCAATTTAAATAACCGTCTTTTCATGGTAAGTGTTATCAATTCAATAGGACACTAGATAAACATTGCCACAGGACTCTGTCTCTATGAGAAAGTGTGTTTACCTTCTAAAATGTCTTGATGTAATTTTCATGAGTTTGTCATAAACCCTTTGATAGAGCTTGTTGTGAAATTGAGTAGATAAGCTCTCTGCTTCATTCTGTTCCTTCTCAAACTGTTTATTTTTGACATACATATGTTGTGTGAATTTATCTTTGACATGTACAGTTGTTTGCTGAAAAGAAAGAAAGAATGAAAGAAAGTAGAAATATCACAAAGCAAGTGAGCTCAGAAGTGAGCAAAGCTACGAGTTTCTGTCCATTGACATTGAGCTTCGCTACACAAAAGTAGAGATATAGAGATATAGATGAAGATGTAGATATAATGCAGCTAAAGTAACATCTCAATATCCTGCAGGATTAGATTGTCAGCTTCAATTATTGTCGTGTTTTGGCTGAAACTGATTCATAGCAGCTTGTTGGTTGAGAGCTCCAGGCTGCGGCCAATCAAAGCGCTCCACGATGCCACAACTCTGTTCAGGAAAAATGTAGTTTTTCTACATGCTACCATCAGACGACAGCAACCCTACAAACAAGCTATTCAGAAAAGTAGTTAAGCTCTATATAATTCTGTCACGGCCTATCGGTGTTTTGTGTTTTTTGACAACTAAAACAGCAAAAACTTGATCCCAAAATATCCAAACATAATGTTGATACAAAAGTCCTCCTCCTAACACTTGGCTTTGAGCACAAACAGAGACCAAACATGATGCAACAGCCTGAAATTCAATTGAAAAACAGCTTTCTTTAGGAGGATAACAATGGCGAAAAAGGGGTTTCTGATGAGAAATGTTTTGGACTATTTTTTGTCAGGATTGATTGAAAACTACTCAGCAGGTGGTAAATGGCATGTTAGTGCAGTGGAAATTAATTTGTGACAGCTGGGCAGAAACTCTAATGCAGAAGGTGCTAATTAAAGCGTTTCTAGGGCGTTTTCAGGTTTGGACAGAAGTCACAAATTGCACCCCACTGATGTGTCTCATCCTACGTTTTTATTCTTTGTTCATCATCTGTAACAGTCCACAATCTACTTCTCGACTGAGTGAAACCCCACACAAAGTTTGTATAATGGACATTACTGATTTGTTGTGACATATCTTCTGTTTATGAAGAACCGGGGCAGAGCATTGACCTGTCTCATGGCTGTGTGTCAGCTGCCCACATCCGTCTGACTCATTACCATTCTCCCTAAAGATGTGTGTCATTACGTGCCAGAGCTAAAAAAAAATGTGTGTCATTACATGCCACAGCTGAAGGATGTATAGACAACCCACAGCTATACATAATCCTTATTGATTGGCCGTCTGTGACACCGTGGCCTTGTGTGGTTTTTTTTCCCACCCAGGTGTCTTATGTGAAGGCCATTGACATTTGGATGGCAGTGTGCCTTCTCTTTGTGTTCGCCGCCCTGCTGGAGTACGCTGCCGTTAACTTTGTCTCAAGGCAACACAAGGAGTTCATCAGGCTGAGGAAAAAACAGCGGCAGCAAAGAATAGTAAGTGTAAATCTCACACGCACACTCACTGACACACATCATACTGGGTTCTCATACAAACAGAGCTCACAGACATACTCTGTGGTCCCTGTCAGCCTCAATAACATTGACCCTGGCCTCTTTCTATTGTGTCACGCTGTATATTCAGGAACTGACACCATCAACATGCTACAGCTGACTGTCACACAACACGAGCAAGATTTACTCATTTCGGTTCGGTTTGTAAATATTGTAACCTCTCAGGATCCTTTCTAATCCTTTCCTTCTTCACAGCATGTCACACAAATCAACAGCCCAAAACTACAACCCTGCGGCACTCCGATATGCCAGCCTGGTATTCAAACTGCAATATTTATGAGTTATTCTGACATAATATGAGCAAGAGGGGACATGTTTACTATTCTTTAAACTGCTGTTTCTTAACTACAATTTACTCATAACATAGCTGTGTTAATAAGTCGAAACAGATATCCTGCCAACAGTTAGAGTTAGAAAGCTTTTTTTGTTGTTGTTGTTTCTTTCTTTAAAGCCAAACGAGAAAGTCTTTCCCCTTTAGTGCATGATACTCGAGCATCCACAGGAAGAAAAAACAAACGCGTTAAAGAAAGCAAAAAATTATCGACTGATATAAAAATGGACAAAAAACAGTGGATAATGTAGTCTATAACACGCAGAATAAAATTAAGATTACACAAGAGATAGTTTATATTACATAAAAAATGTTAATTGCACAGCAGATGATGAGCATTGCAAAGAGGATGATGCACACTGTACTAAAGATTAAACATTTTGCACAGACAATGAAGTATAGCTCAGTTAAAATGTAAAAGGTCAATTAAGTGTTATTCTTCTTGTGCATTAGGGTAAATTAAAGCGTGTAGCATTTAAAGGTTGATTCGTTATGATAATATTTCATAACCTTACCTCATATCCTCCTGTAATACATTTTGATAATGCCCCAATTACCAATGAAATTTGAGGCGCCACCTCCCTCTAAGGTGAAAAGTAAACAAACAAAATGTTTGTCTTTCTGTGAATATTATACATTTTCACACATAAAGGATAGAACAATAGGTGAATAAATGATGGTCGAAATGAAAATAATCGTTTTGGTTAAAGAGTGACTGACAGAGTAACATCTTTTATTTAACATCAACTCATTATTGTAGCTTCCATTTTACTGTCAGAGTATTTCCCTTGGACTCTGGTCCTCTAGAAAGTTCCCCTAATAGGGGTCAGGCTCTAAACCTGTGGGTTCAAACACATTGCACTGGGTCTGAGCAAGAAGTGTCGGTTTTCTGGTCCAATGTCCACTGCAGTGAACGAGGTAGAGACGTGTTTGGAGTTGAATTATTTCTAAAGTGGTCAAACTTGCTGCATCCGCTGATCGAGAAAGGCTCTGGTGACTCTTGCAGTTTGGATGTTCACAGAAGATAACAAGAGAATTCCCCAGGATGGCAGGTCTATATCTATTTTAGAAGTTATTTCAAATGTAAAAGGACATTAATTGAGTGAGGGTAGATGTTTTACTCGATGATCATAAATCAAAAAATATTTTTAAAAAGGAGAGGCAAAGTGCAACCGAATTTGAAAACTAGGAATTTGGCATCAATTCCATTTCGAGACATCCCTCTGGCTCATTGATTTATCTATCAAAATGACAGATCACTTGACAAACCAATAAAATAAAAGATAAATTAAACATGTGAAGGTAAACATGCCCATCTTGATCCATCTCTCTTGTCTCCTCGCCTCTGCCGTGATGTCTATCGTGAGAATACTAAAGTAAGATCAGTAACCAGAGACGTTCGCCTTCAGATCTCGCTGCCAGAAAGCATCATAAAGCTGTGTAAGCGTTACACATTTCTCACAGGACATTGTATCTGTTCAGCTGAAGTTTCATGGGGGAAGAACAGGTGTTCAGGGTGTGGAGGGGGAATGACAGAGGCGCCGATCTCTCGTTACAAGTCAGTGTCATCAAGTTTTTAATCACTTTAATCTCAGCTTTTATGCTTCATTAGGATCACGTGGGCTTGGTTTATTCAGAGAATCCCTCAAGTTTGATCCGTCATCCTCAGCCAGATCTGAGGTGGTACACAACACATGCACAACAGCCAAGACGCATCAGCACAAACAGTGAACCCTTGTGTCAAATAACCAAAACTGTTTAAACCTGGAAGAAAAACTGCTTTCATTCAGGAGACTATCACACATCACAACTCTTTATCTCAGGCTCACTACTCTCTCGCTTAACAGGTGCCAAAAGCAATGTGTTGTCATTTCTATATTAAGCTGTGAGAAATCTTAACACATAACATTGCTCTCTTCACACATGAACTCCTGACACTTTCTAAATCATCTCAGGACATTCACGGTTGGAAATAATCTGGATCGGATGCACTTTCATAGCTCAAAATGTTCATTTGGTTCAGACAGGTAGGTAGTTTGATGGCATGTGCATAGGGACAGGGTTGTCTAATATTTCTATGATTTGCCCGACTACAGTGGAAAAACAATTCACAAGCACATCAGGTTTGTAGAAAAGAGTATAAAGCAGCAAAATTCAGCTCAGTTACAACATCATCACAATGTCCACTCATTTGCTGTGGTCAGCAATGCACCCTGACTTCACATGGATTTGTTTTTATTTTGTGTCCACCAGGAAAAAGTCTGCATAAAGTCAGGTGATTCAATTTGGCTGTTTGCGTCAACTCATGCAGCTCTCCTGACCGGTATGAGAATTTTTTCAGGAGTGCAGCCCATGAGTTAATATGAAGAAATGAGTTAAAGTGTTACTTTAGATATGTCATGGGTCAAAATCTAAAAGCATAAAACAAATAAAAATAGAATAGAAATAAAAAAAAAAAATACTGCCTCCAAACATAAAAGTAACTGTTTTATTATCTTTATCCCAAATTATTCCCCTTTCAAAAACCCATGACTGAAACCGTGATCACCTTTGGATGCAGCTTTCAAGTTGACAAATACAAAGGTTTTACAAAGAGAAGAGAGACCTCTCACAGGAGTCCCAGAAAGGTTTTTCTCGAGAGAAGCAGTTGGGACATCTTGAAAATCCCATTAAACAGCTCACTGAGTGTGCAGCTTCCCAGACTCATGGCAAAGTTCCCTGTGGAAGCAGAAGAGTCCAGCAGATTTACCGGGCAGTCTGCCCTGTACCTCGTTACAGGACAAAGAAAATGATGGTCTGTAGAGGAAAGGACTTCCCCTGTCCACATCAGCTGCACAATTACTCCCACTGTGGAGTTCCACATCACAAACTATCCATCTGAGAGGTATTGATGCATGACCTGATCTGTGGTCCTGATGGAGTGTACAAATCCCAGACTGACCAATTCAATCAATGCTCTCCTGCAACTGTACTCTGCTGTTTTTGAAGCCAAACCAGCCGCAGCAAGTACATCCACACATCCTCGAAGAGGGCAAAATGAAATACAGCTTCTACTTTTAGTCTCTACAGAAATAACTCAAACTGGCATCTTGAGGATGCTTTATTAGTCTTCAAAGCTTAAACAACCACAGATAATGTCCTGTGTTATCACACTGGCAGTGCCACTCTCATTAAAAGCTGAGAATGCCTGCTTGAGTTTGTTGTGTGAATTTGAAGTTTGCACCTTTGATGACTTTATTTTTAGCGCAGTTTAGGTCTTTGTATCAAATTAAGTAAGGAGGAATTTTGTCTCTGTGAAGTGTTGTCACATGATTCCAAAACTAATCATGAAATCAACTGAAACTATTCTTTAGACGGGCAACAAATGAATGTTAAAGAAGATGAAATAAAGAACAGTAACCTTTATTTGAATTTGTCTGCGTTCCTTTCTGCTGGAGGTGTATTCCACTCAGCCTGGGAGTGTTGAGACGGTGAAGAAAGAGAATGAACTCCCCGATAACAGCTCAGCCATCAAGAATCTGAGTGATCACTGCAGCGCCTGTGCTAGGGTAACAGAAAGATATTGAACCCTATGCAACCCCTGACCTTGAAACCCAGTTCATGTCCTGCAACCTGCATCTTAAACCTGAATTTATCCTGCAACTAAACCCACTCTGTGCTGGTCATGTCCTGTCACTATAACCCTGTCTTTCTGACCTCCTGTCCCTGAAAACTAACGCCACTAACTTTGAATAACTATCCACAAATCTTCTCTTTTATATAACCAGTTTTTAAGGCTGATTGAAATTCATTGTGCATTTTTCCTTCTGCTGGCTTGTTGCCTGGCTTTTAATCTCTCTTTTTTTCAGGGCAGCCTTCAGAGTGTTTTTACAGAGGAAAAAGGAAAGTAGTCTGCCATTAAAACGTTTTAAATAAAAGTTCTACATTAAATTTCAAGAATTTTCTGATGTGAGCTAAATGTTAAAATCATCATGAATATGAAGCTACAGCTAGCTGATGGTAGCCTGTTACGTTGAGGGGAAACAGCTAATCTATGCTAGGTTAGTAAATCGAGTTTACACTACAGATAAAACAGTGGTCGACTAACAACTGACTTAAAGGGATATAACGGCGTAAAATTAAGTTAGGGTGAAACACACCATAACACCGAGTAAAACACCCCGTCGGGAGATGAATGTTGCCGACTGCTTGCTTCTCTAGTTATACCAACTTTAGTAACGACCGCAGACAGCAATACAGAGAGCCACGTGCTCAACCAAAAAGCCAGAACAGCACCTAACTTCATCAACAGGACATATAGGGTCCCAGCCATAGTACTAGCCACCAAACATCTTTTTAGCTTTGCCTAATTTCTTTAGCAAAGAGACTAAACACAACTCACCTACTCTCTTCCAGCAGCCGTTTGTTTGTACGGAGACCTCTGGGCGAGTCCATCAACTGCAGGGGGGTGACGCAGCTCAAGAAAGAACATTTATGATCGTTTCTTAATCATTTCCTTAAAGCTATAATCACCATATTAATTATTTTGCACTGCAGACGCAGTAGTTCTTCTGCCTTAGCGTCTCGGTCTGATTGCATTTCCATAAAGAAATGATCATAAATGTTCTTCCTTGGGCTGTGTCACCCCGCTGCAGTCGGTTGACTTTCCCGGAGGTAGTTTGCACAAACAAGCGGCTGCTGGAAGAGAGTAGGTGAGTTGTGTTTAGTCTCTTTGCTAAAGAAATCAGGCAAAGTTAAAAAGATGTTTGATGGCTAGTGCTATGGCTAGGACCCAATATGTGCTGTTGATGAAGTTAGGTGCAGTTCTGAACATTATTTGTGGCTAAAGAGTGGCTTTTTGGTTGAGCTTGTCGCTCTCTGTATTGCTATCATACGGTCGTTACTAAAGTTGGTATTACTAGAGAAGCAAGCAGTCGGACACGTTCATCTCTCGACGGGGTGTCTAACTCGGTGTTACAGTTTGTTTGAACCTAACTTGATATATCCCTTTAACTTTCAGCAAGGAGGAAAAAAAAGAGAAAATATGTCAGATATGAAGCTGCTACCATTGAGGTTTTAAGTTCTTTTAACTTAGCATTAGCATTATTTCTTTCAGAGCCCAAAAGTTATGCTAGCTATATCGCGTATACACCATACAGTTTATTAAACCTATTTTACATTTCATTTGCTTGGAAATAGGCTTGACTTAATCCATTATTATGGCACATTATGGTCAGGCCTGTTGCTGTGACCAGCCTATCAGTGTTTTATAGATAAATACAATATATGGATCCAAGTCGGCTTATGGCTAGCATAAAAAAAGAACCATGTGGACATTAACTTTATACTCCACAGAGCCTGATTGTGATAATGCAAGCAGTCTCAACTGATCTTATGCCAACAAATCACAAAGTGTTGCTGCTGCTGAGAGCATAAATGATGAGCACCTATTATCTTTAGAGAAATGCACCATTAGCCTTTAGCACATGATGTACTGTGTCGCTTAGGAAGGAGTGGGAGTGATAATTAAGCAGTGCTGGAAGAGCTACAACTCCCCGACCCTTCTGCTGTTTAGCGTATTTGTCAGTTAGGAATGGGAGGGGGACTAGTTAGCAAACACAAAGTTATTCACAACCAGGCTGCTGTTACACTAAATGAAACACTGTGTGGGACAAATTTAACAGTGAGAGACAAGCATGAAACACATTAGGGGTATTGGATCTCTGACAGGAGCTGGTAGTTCCGTCTCATCCTGATGCCAAGTCCAGCAGAACTGTCAGGGTCAGAGAAAGAGAGAAGCAGAGCTTTCAGGACACTTCACTTTGACTACTAATCATCCAATTTAGATCCCACATCTTCACTTCCCCCTGCTAAAGTGAATCTCTCCAAGTGTCAGAGCGGCTGTCAGACTTAAGCTGCGTGTCTATTAATATTCTCTTCAGAGGGCGGAGACCATGTCTCATTCAGCGTTAAGAAAAAAAAAAAAAGTGTGCCCCACCACCCTGCCATTCATCAAAGCATAATGCCATGTGAAAGGGTTTTTGGTGCAGCTGAGATCATGACTTTTTATTAATAGGCATTTTGAAAAGGCTGTCACTCTACAACCTTTTGAAAAGAGCCGGGAAGGAGGGGTGGAGGTGAACTGTTTGGATTGAGTTCATAATTAAAAGTCATTTTCTTCCCTCGAACAGTGATGCTCTCTGATTCTCCTCGAAAAGCTTAATTGATTATTAAAAATGTGTAAAAGCTTTCTACATTGTTCCCAAGGTTTTAAGATTTTTGAGAGTCTTTTAAAGCTGCAGTGAGAAAGTTTTCGGTTTGCTGTGATTTTGGCACTGAATCAGTTGTTGCTGATTTTATCCTGTCTGCATGTAATCACTCAGTATGTTTACATGACACTTGAGAAAACTGAATTATTGCCTTATTCCGATTAAGACCGGACAAGTGAAGTGCATGTAAACACCTCAGTCCAACTATGATCAGAGTTTGAGAACTCAGATTGGAGTCGGAGTATGATCGGACAATGCATGTGCGAGTGCGCCATGCCCCCGTAACTCTGGAACAAAAACACTAGAGAAGAGGAGTAGCGTGCACCTCATCTACAAGAAAAGTAGTGCGTACATCATGTACGACAAAAACAACGCTGTACGATGCTCCATCTTCTTGCTCGAAAATGCCCAGCAGCAGTTGTAGCCTCTTCTGACGTCTGGCACAGACCTGCTGTTGTTGTTGTTGACAGTCGTATGGGGTTGGAAACAGCGCCACTGCAAAGATCCATATTACCCCTTAGTTTTGTGGAGGAGGACGTGTTCACATCAATAATTCAATTTTCTCAGCTGGATGTATACGCTGACAAGGAGAGGAGTCCGATTTGGCGAAAAAAATCAAACTATGAGCTTGGTCTGATTAAGCTGTGCAAGTAAACACACTGACTGTTTCTTTAAAATCAATGTCAACCTGCTTTTTTCTAACATTCAAATGCATCACTCCTCAATGAAAGCCAACGCGTTAATCGTTCGGTCTGACACCTAACCTTGCAAGTGGTTTCAAACATTATAAATAATAGTCACCCTTCTTGTTAATGCTCTTGTTTTCTTGTTTGTATTGATTTCAGTTTGTTTCGGGACCAGCTCGAAACCTCTCACAGGAGCTTTAACAAACAAGCTTGCGAGATTTTGATGCACCAAAAAAAAAAAAAAAAAGGATATGCTCGTGCAAGTTCCCGTTTTGCAAACAAAAATGAAACATGATTTATCATCTCCACGTCTTAATACTTGAATAGAAAGTATTTTTACTGTAATGGTCACCCACAAAAAGCAGAAACTAGCGCTGGTTCTCTTTTCCCAGTACGATAAGTAGAATGTGTCTTCTCTAAAGTCAGATAAAAAAAAATGTTTTCCCCTGCTGGATGTTGCACTCCGCTGCCCTTTTGTGCCTCTGCAACCCAATGCATTTGGGAATCAGCCACTGCAAGGAAATGTAAAAAGCTGTAAGCTAATTCTTACTGACAGCGAGAGGCCAATCTCTTTTCCCTATGCTTGACTCCACAGGAGGAGGAACTGGTGAGGGAGAGCCGTGGTTTTTACTTCCGGGGTTACGGGCTCGGCCACTGCCTGCAGAACAAGGATGGTACCGCTGTGGAGGGGTCTACCGTGTTCACCACCCCTCCGCCTCCTCCTCCGCCCGTCACCATGTTTGACGGGGAGATGGTTCACAAGCGTTTTGTGGACCGCGCCAAACGCATCGACACCATCTCCAGAGCCGTGTTTCCCCTGAGTTTCCTCATATTTAACATCTTCTACTGGGTCACTTACAAAGTGCTGCGACATGAGGACATCCACGCCAATTTGTAAAAAAAAAAAAAAAAAAAAAAAAAAAAAAACAGCTCTCTGCTACATTTAAGGGTTTTTTCTTCTCAGAACCAAAACTGCCTGTCAGATCTACTAATACAGTGAAGAAATGTGTCGAGAGGCATTATCTGCTTCTTAAAACAACTGCTTAAAACTTTGTGCTCAGGTGCGTCTTCAGGATCTCAGATGGGGAGTGATTAAGCCGAGAGATGAGTTTAAGCTGCCTGGATTCAGGCTGGTGTTGTATGTTCGTTTCTGCCTTGGTTTTTTTGATTCGTGTGGACTACAACAGAGACAAAATACAGCTGGTACTTTGTGGGTTCGTGACCTTTGTTTGAGAGTTGAGCTGAGTGGGTGTGGATCCTGGCTGGATGAGATATACTGACTTGAATTTTGACACTAAGCATCTTTGAATGAATGTTTTTGAAAATTCAAAAGATAATGGGTTTTTTACACCTTTAGATTATAAAAGGGGTATAAATGGGTGAGATGGGGGGGATGGGTCTTTGATATTTATTAATATTCAAGTGGTGTTAATTCAATTTAGATTATATATATATATATAAAACAGTGTATAAAGTGTACATATGCAAAGCTCTTCATTAAACTGCACAAAGCACAAATATGTATTTCCTTTTGTCTAAATTTAAATAAATTGTTATTCTGCCAGGAAACCAGAAGTGGTTTGTCCCTTTTTGAGCTGAAGATTTGGCTGATTACTTTAAAAAGAGGACGCAGCAGACAAATGGTCCAAGTGCAGACGAAAAAATCTGTCTCAAAATAACCGATCGCACAATCGCCTTTCTATTTCAGCCCTTTAATAGCCTCCAATCAGCTCTGAATCCCATCTGAGGAGGATGAAGCTTAAATCAAATGTGGGTATCAAAAGCAACAATAAAGCAAATAGTAAATGCTGCAGAAGCAAAATGAGTAATCAGCTTGCATCAGCGGTTCTTGGTCTTTGTATCGCTTTTTTTATGCGTGAAATTATTAGCCGTGAAACAATACACTTGCATAATAAATCTTGGAGGAATTTGGACAAAATAGTTGAGGAAAATTGCATAAGAGCTGCTATTTCTCCTCCGGTCTGTGGAGTGGTTTTGAAGGAAGGTGTGGCGAAGCCGGGGCTGCAGTGAGGAGAGGGATGAGGGGGGAGAGAGTGGGGGGCCGGTTAGCGAGGGAGGACGAATGGGTTTTTTAATGGGAAATCAGAGGGTTGTTTTATCAACTAATGAGTTTGAAAAGGGCTTGGTGTTCCTCCGCTAATGACAATGAAATTCAGAGAGGCAGCTGGAGCCCACTGTCCTTTTGTTAACAGTCCTAATCAACCCCTCTGTATTGTACGGTTCCCCAGGTAATGAAAAACTGTGATTGTGTTTGAAAGTGAATGTGTGTTTTTAAGCATGCCTATGTTTCTGTTTTATCCTCTCCCTGTTGGTAAATTGATATAGATTTTTCTTAAAGTAGTCGGTGTTCTGTGTTATTGTTCAGAGCATGCCCACTGAACTGGAGGAAAAGGCTTTGTGCCAGTATTGTATAAGGAGCTGAAACCGATATGGCATAAATAAAGACAAACAAGAGGAGCTCGCTTCATCCACAGAGAGCTGATGGTTTGCCAAGTAAGGACAATGCGGCTTTCAAAATTCACAGATGTCCGTCTGACAGCTTAAGAAGATTTAAAAAACAGAGTGTGAGGCTATGCAGATGTCAATAAGACTGGCTGCCGCTCGTCTGTGACAACTCTTTTATGAGAATACAACCCCAAAATAGAAAACCTTGGAGCAGAGACGTCATTTGTCAGGATCATTTTTAAACAGATGTGTGAAAAGGCATGAAAACAGCCAAAAAAGATTCTTGAGATCTTTTTCCAAATGTCAAATACAATGGCTGGCAACTTTTAAGTCAGACTTCTCATAGATGTTATTCCTAGCTTAGTGTACCCTGAGGAAATATAAACAGGTTATGAAAGAGTCTGATGTATTTAGGACCTACAAAGGCAAATCAGACCATCAAATAGAAGATTAAATTTGTTTTAAATGCCCGTCACTGCTGCTTATGTTCCTGATTGTGATGATTAAGTGAATCACGGCATGAAAACCAACACTCGACAGTAAGCAGGGTGAGCGTTTTTACTGCTCCTGTGAGGAAGTTTCAATTTGTGCTGCCGGATTGGCTGAGGATCAGTGGCGGAGTCAGTCATCTTTCATTTGAGGGTTGGCAGATTGATCCCAGCTCCTGCCATCAACTTAACCCAACATGGTTGATTCTGATGAACTGGATTAGTTAACGCTCACGGGCACTGAGCACAGTCCCTCCTGCCATCAGTGTTGTGGATGCTGTGGATGGGTGAGTGTGACATGTAGTGTTAAAGCACTTTCAGTGGTCAGAAAACTAAAAAAAGTCCATTTTTGTAGACAACATCATATCTCTTATCCCTCTGCTAATCGTGTTCTGTATATGTGTAAGTAATGTTTTCTGATAAAATACATCAGCCTCTTTTTATTTTAACATTTTTACAAAAATGTTAACATTTATATTTAAAAAACTTTACACTTCAGCAAGGAATATTTGAAGTATTAAATTCAAGTGCAGGTAAAGAAAGGAATTAGTTTCAAGATGAGATGTGCTGTGGTCACAAAACTTTGATAAAACTTCCTCAAAGTTGAATTTATTCACTAAACAAGCTCAAAATCCCAATATTCTTTACTTGATCCTGCTTGTTTGACCAATTAACCTGCCACTTTTTATTTATTTGTGCACTCTTATCATTAATAACTATCAATCTGAACAATGCACTTGAGGACATCATCCAAAAATAAGGCTGCAGGAATTCCTTCAATGTTATATTTATAAAATATTCAAGCATTGACCACCTGCCTTTTTTGGATTAAAATATTAAAAGAGTGGTTACATTGAAAAAGAAGCATCTAAAAATAAGTCACACCCCCAAATTTTGCCTTTTTTTTATTCGAAAAGGGTTGGAATTGCTTATTACAACTGCCGAATGTCCTCAGATTTTGAAACCCAAAACCCTAAAATAGTCAAGTTTGCAAACATAAAAAGTCCTTTTAAAATATGCACATTAACAATTGGCGGCAAATTGACTTTTTTCCCCTCAAATTTGTGGTAATGTAATAAGATTACAAACATCTACACATGCGACTGAGACTGATTTCTGTAACAAAAAGTTCAAGCAGCACACCTGTGGCACTACAAGGATTTTTTTCAGACCTGAAAACCCTGACTAAACACCCCTTTTCTGGAGGCTACTGAGCATTAATTCAACACCATGAGATACCTTTAGGTTACTCTAAAAAAGATTTTCACTTGGTGGACCAAATTTACAGGACAAACTCCTTTTTATTCTCAAAAACCCTAAAATTCATCAACAACTTTTGAAGAACGCACCCACATCTTTACCCTTCCCCTTTTGTCTCGCCACTATAAACCCCACTGGACAAAAGGGTTGAAAATGAGAACATTCAGTATAAAATATATAAATAAATACCTCAGATTTTTGCACTGTGCTGTGTAAAGCTGCCCATTTGCAGACCTTTTCCAAATGCTTTCTCGATGGATCACACATATATGTTAAAGTCATTCACTCTGTATAAATGAATGTACAAAGAGCAGGAAAAAGGGGAGAATAACGCTCATTTGACATAGCCGCTGGTCATCACGGCCACGGCATGCCCTTGCACTCTCCCTCGGGGGTAATCAACATGCTCTCCCCCTCCTCGTTTTCAGATGAATGTCAATGGTGCCACCGCTAAAACTGATGTGTGAGCGTAGAGAAAGCAGCCCAAGACCTGTGATCAATACTGCTGTCCCTTAGAGCACCACCATCTTGCCATTTCAGGCACATAAAAACAGAAACAGAAACACAACCGTGGACTCAAAAGTACTTGGACATGCATCGTTTCTGACACAAGAAAACATTTTTCACGCTCTACATTTTGTGAGTTGACTTTATGTGCTTTCTGTTCTCTATGTTTGCATTTTTAGAGTCATGACTGGTGAGTTTCTACGTCCGACTGCCTAGAACCACCAAGAATAGATATAGCTGTATAGCTGGTCACCAAAGCCAAAAACCTCGCAACTGGAATAAGAAATAGTAGCCGAGGGGAAATATTGGTTTCTTTTGACAGTGATGTATTAAATAGACGATGCTACACATGTCACCTTTAAATATATAGGTGTAAACACGGCAAAATGCTTGCTCTACACGCCATTATGGATGCACCCCTCGTGAATGTCACCCAGCATGTGTAAACAGATCTCCCTGCTGTGTAAATACAACCTTTTCTCTTCTCCAAGGCCACTTGGGACTGACAGCTGCATGGGTGGTGTAAAGGTTTAACGCAAATATCCTGTCTCTCCGGTGCTAAATGGTCTTGTGCCGTAATGTTAGACAGACACATGATAGAGCGGTGTCTTTGGTTGGTTTGGTTTTGATACATCAGGCATGCAATAGAGATTTCATGTAAAATTTATCACATTAAGAATACAATTATAAAAAGATATATGCTTGTGCTGAGAAAGAGGAAGCCAAAAGCTGCAAGCACCTCACCTCAACCCTCAATTTTAATTTCGATTGCGAAGAGACACATGCAGCCCTGGGAGTTCGAAATTAAAAGCGAGGTCAGGAATGAACTTCATATATTCTCTGTGTCACTGGTCGAGGGTCAAATGTTAGCGTCTTTGACATTTGGTTGCAGATCAAACTGTAAACTATTTATGATGCATTTTCAGTTGTACTTAAAATTCTCTTTGTATTCTGACAGCGGTCTGTATTTGATCTTCTTACAAAAAAGAAAGAAATCCACCATCTTCTTCTGCAAGCCTAAAATCATCCTGTCCACTCATTTTATTCAGACCAAATAAGATCTTCTGCTTCTGCATAGATGTGAGCGCATGAATGGAAAGAAATGATCCCTTGGTTTACAATCTCCCTATACCTACATACCTACATACATTCCTGTACCTCTTATGTGGGCCAACCTGTGCGCCCTCAGCTCATGAGCTTGTATATGCATCGAGTCTCCACAGTCCAAAGCTGGCAACACAAGATGGACAAGACCAGATGAAAATAAGTAGAATAAGATTACTAGAAGTGACAAAGTGCTGTAATCCTCTTCCTATTGCTGGTTTATGGAACCATCAAGTATTAGTAGTCAGGTAAAACCGGTAATGCCAATAATGTTGGGATTTGTATTCTTGTACTTTGTTAAACTGAAAGTGATGAAAGCTACAGTATATCAGGGTTCCTACACAGTTGGAATTTCCACACTTTTCGATACCCTATGTTTAAGAAAATTATTTTTGAGAATACCTAATTTCCCTCTTTTAGAAAACAGTATTTCAGAACAGTGGTAATAATCTGGAAACATAAATATTTTTCCATACTTTATTTTTCATTTTCCATACTTTTTAAGACCTGAAAATTGATCAAACTTGTTTCCATACTTTTCTATACTTTCCATTGCTGCCCTGGTATATGTTTATGTGACTTCACCTGTTCTTATTACTGTGAAGCAACAACTAAAAAGTCCAAACAAATCCAAAAATGAGAGAGCCATGTGGGTGGATGGAAGATTGTAAGACGCAGCATCAGAATAAGAAGTCACTATGCTAGATCTAAACCAAGCCTCACATCTAATATGAATAAGCTTGACAAACAACAGCTTTAAGGCCCCCAGCTTTGTTTGTAAGACTTGCCTTAAATCTCCAGTCCAGTGTCTAAAAACTTATAATAATGGATGATACCTTGTAGATAACTATCTTAGCCACCTGCTAACTCCACATTTACTGCAGTTTTCAAACTAGATGTACACTTTTGATTCAGCAAATTTTTACACATTTCCCACTTATCGAACACAGACCTTTTAAAACCAGCTTTATAATGAATGTAAAGGCAGATGTAAAGACACATGATGCTGAGAAGAGTTGACAAGTCCCTGCATGAGTCAGGAAGGTTGCTGCACCGCTCCTTAAACAAGGTCAGATCCTCTCCCGGGCTGTTTGATCTATAATCTTTTTATAACTTGACTCATATCTACGAGTCAGAGAACCTTCATGTTTTCCCTTTTTGTCTTATTTGAATAATGCAATCGGAAAACATGCATCTTCAAAAGGACAGGCTTTCAAGAAAACAGCAGGGACAACCTACATTTCGAGCAGCTCCGGAAAACTCCTCCTTGAGTATACTTAGGAAATCCTACGTGGATTCATTTCCACTAATCCCTTGCTGCGCTTCTGCATTTCTGTAACTCCAACATCTGAGCAAAGCCCTACAGCTGGGAAGACGACAGCTCAGGGGTTTTAGGTGGATAATGGTTATAGACATACATGTGCGGCTCGCTTCTATTGTGCGCGAACAGGAGAAACAAGGAATTAGTCCTTCCAATCCCTCTGTAGAGAGAATAAGCACCAGTTTAAATTGTGTCAAAACCTCTTTTATAAATTCTGTCCCTTTGGAAAGTATTCAGAACATCTTGGGGGGAGTTGCAGCTTGAAAATTGATTTAGGTATGACACTTTTTATACAGGATGCAATGAAATTTATACGGGGGCCCTATTCAGAGCAATTTCATGGCTGTAAATAAGCACTAAAGGCAGAAATATTGATTTATGAGGCCAAGAGGGCAAACAACGGTGGCGTGTCATGGAGAAGAATAAAATCTGAGATGTAAATTTATAAGGATAAAGTGATAAATCTCTGAGAATAAAGTTCAAAAGTTAGGAGAAGGGGGGCTTAAGAGTGCAAAAATTAATTTTGAATGATTATGAGAGAAAAAATACACAATTTTATCCAAAGAGATCCAAAGAGCATAGAGTCATTTGCTGCTCAACTTGGGGCATCTTGTGAAGCTATACCAGTTTTGGTGTTGTCAATACTCAATGATTAAGCACATCAGCACCACATTATCATAACAATCATGATCATAAATTATTGTGCAAGAAACTTAGTATGTCATTAGGAAGGGCACGCTCATAAGCAACCTGTGCACGCTTTTGCAACCACTGTGTCCTCAGCTGTAACCTTTGTTTTTTTTTTAACATATGGATATGTCATACTGGAGAGATTATCATAATTTGATCACTTTTTTTCATAAATTCAACTATTTTTCTTGTACAAATCTAACTTTTACATTTACAAGATTAAAGATGTAAAATCACGAGATCCGGTGCATTGTTGATCATTTAGTCTTGTACACTAATAACTTTTTTCATCTTTATTCTTGCAAAATTCCACCCTATTCCTGAAATCTCCAATCTCGCCATCCGCTGGAAGGGCGCACTGCCAGCGCCCTCCCCCTTGGGAGAAAAGTGAAGATAAAATCATATGATAATTTATGACGCCCACTGGTGCCCCCCTTTACTTTTCTGTCTTGAAAATAACAAATAAAATTACAAGATAAAGTAACTATGTTTGTCACTTGGCAAGTCACATGATGCGGGGCGAGCGAGCGAGGAGTCGCAATGGGATGGGTGATTTTATTTACAATTTTTCATCATGAAAGGGACAGCTAAACTCTTGGGTGCACAGCTTTAGGAAAGGAGAAAAGAGGAGGAGGAAAGAGGTCCAAATATCAAGATAACGTTATGTCAACATATTTTATAAAAAGACATCCTCTTTCACTCGGACATGTCCTGGGGGGGCGTCGAGTAATTTTGCCTAGGGCACCAAAAAGGCTAGGGCCGGCCCTGCTTATTCTCCAACGAAGTATAAAATCTTCACTTTAGATTTGGAGATAAATGTAGTCATGGAAAGAATAAAGCAGAAAAGATGCATATTTAGCATCCAATAAAAGCACATTTTGAAGAGCACTGTGAAGTCTTTGCCGTGCTGAATGTTTAATCAGCTTGTCTCCAGGTCAGATTTCTTGTGTAAAAATTTGGGGAGCTGGCAGATTTTATAAGAAGCTAGAAGTTTACGCAAACAATTGGAAGAAAAATCAAAAGTCTGTCTATTTACCCTCTTTTTTAACTTTTCAGTATGTGAAATGCTTGACCTTTGCTCCTTTTCACTTCTTCTACCAATCTAAAAACAACAGGTGAATGCTTATCCCTTCTATCTGGCCCTTTTTTGTTCTCGTGCCTTTTCTCTTTCTGTGGACAAACTGCAGTGAAAAAGTGTGTGCAGGTAAGTATGAATCTACAAGGACTGACACATGGTAAACTATAGTGCATGTCTTTGTGTATGTACATTGTACATGTCTGTTGCTCTGCTGACTCTCTCCACATTATGTCCCATCCGTCATCCCCTCTGCTGCTGCTCTGCTCTTGCACTATTTAAACAAGCCCAGGATTTTCTCTGCCTCCTTTCCTGCCCTGTCCATCAGACACGACTCACACTTAAGTTGATGCCCAAGGGAGCGAGGGAAGGAGGGAGACAGCCAGCAGCCTCCTTCCTCTGCTGCTCTGACACGGAGTCAGTGCTGCAGGTTGACTGGGAGACGTGAGCCAAGAGGGAAAATAATTATTTCCCAGGGAGACCAAGCATGTGTGTGAACTGCTGTGAGTGTGTGTCTGAGTGTCTGTGTGTGTGAGACTGACTTCTCACCACAGGAGGAGAAAATACAGAAATAACTAATTTCACTGTTATCAAAGAGAGGCCATTCATTTTTCCTACATCTGTGACTCACTGTCAAAACCAAAACAAGACAAAAACTTTGGAGCTGTGTTTGTGTGGAAAATGTCTCAATTCATTACTACGTGTGGACTCGCTGAAGTACACAATGCACACAACAAAATAACAGTCTGGAGTGACTTTTGAATTACTTCTTGAGCATGTCTTTTGATAGACTTGCTGCCTATTTTTGTAATGAAAAAATAGTCATCACACACAAATACTTAAGAGGAAGCATCCTGTGATTGTGCGGAAAAAAAACAAACGAGCTCTTCAAAGTTTTCACTCAAAACTTTTCTCACCCCAGAACAAACTTTTACCTTACAGTTCATCCAAATTTCAAAGAACCAGTAGTCTGTAGGTCACAGTCAAACTTCACAACATTTTAATGCATCTATGTGCATTACATGGCCTCTCAATGGGCCTCTTGCTATTCAAAAGGCTGCATTTATCCGTCTTCATGCCTGGTTTATACCACAGCAAGATCCAGAATACAGGATATAAAGAATCCAATGACAACATCAGCCAGATTCAACTTCCTCCATATCAGACGACCCAAAGAAAAAAACTCCACAGCACATTTAATCCACACAGACAGATATTTCTATACCAACTCTGTTTGGTTATGTGATGCATTCAAAGACAGAGTCAATAACCACATCAGCAACAGATTTGTCCAGCCCAAATTTACTCCAGTCTCAGAGTGATTAAGGTGACTTACCTTTGTCGGTCATGGCAGGTTTTCGGCCTCCTTTAGACTCCATGTTTTTCCCTCCAAACCGTGAAGCTAACACCTTTAGCTTCCCATGTAACTCCAGAAAGAATGGATCAAGTCCTGGGGAGCCACTTCCTCCTCTTAAATGCTGTACGGTGTGTTTTGTTGAAGCATTTTAGCTTTGCTGAGCCAGTTGAGTAGTATTCTCATTCGATGTAGTCAGCACAAGTCTCTCTGCAGCAGCACCCAGACCCTGTGTTAGCTGAGTTAGCTTCCACTATATTCCAGTCAGAGCATTTTTACTCAGTCTTCAGCTGTAAATGTCTTCATCAGAAACCTCCAGAGCACTGTTACTGTTCAGCTTCATGTTTTATTCAGTTTCAAACTTTTCCAATCCTCTAAACTCCTCTTACACATGTTGTCTCACTGGAGCAGTGAGCTGGTATTTAACCACCAGGAACAATCAAGCTAAACAGCCTCAGGTGTGGACTCTTGGCCTGTTCCTATATGGGCAAAAATGGGAGGAGCCATCCTGCTGGTTAGATGAGACCACGCCCAATTTGGATCCACCTTCAATAGGCTGTGTCCAAAATGGATCCCTAACCCCTATATAGGTGACTGCATGGGGGTTAGCGCCATTTTGAGGGGTGTCGGAAACCTCAGTGATCAATTCCATATGGGGGTTAGGGGTTAGGGATTGAGTGATTCATTTCGGACACAGCCGTAGTATTTGTATATAATGCAGTTAGTGGGGATAAAACTGCACCCTCTCACCTCCATACTGTAACATCTTATAGATATGTTTCAAATAGAAAACTGGTGAGACATGTGGCTGCAAAAACCTGTCATCAAAATGTTTGTTTTTACAAAAAACTCAGGATGGAGCATGTACAAAGTTAGCACTGCATCCGGATGGGCCAAAGGAAAGGATGCAAGGAAGTAAGGAGAGTAATAAGGAAGAAGAGGGAGAAGAAATTGAAATTCATCCAGTCTAGAGAGGATAGATCTTAAGTGACATGGTTAAATTTAATCTGATTACTTTAGAATTTTCGGATTACATATAATCTGATTCTTCAGAAAACAGACTGATTACATGTAATCTGTTCATGTAAAAATAGCCTTGTTTATGCATTTTGAGATCTTTTTAAAGACCTCTGATCATATTTTCTGGTTACTTTAAGAAAAACTTTCAGACAAAATTTAGATTTGAAGTCTTTTTTCGCTCATAAACTCCTATTAATTGATCTGTAATCATACTCATGAGCAGTGTACTTATGTTTGTACACACACACTTCCTTACTTACCGTGAAAACACATTAACATCTTGGAAACAATATTTTTTTTCTACTTCCAGTGAGCTTTTTTTTTTCCATCAAGCTATGTAACCTTAAAAATACTTTGTCTAGAGTACTGCAAACCCAACACATCCACTAAGTCTTGTTGCCTTGGAAACAAAGGGCCTGCTGAAAAGCATGGAGTGAATAATTCTGTGAGATGTGGGGATGTACCGGAGATGAGGCAACCAGTCTGCTGGGGCTGAAGCTCCATGGTGTGTGCATACGGGTACACATTTGTGTGGGAATACATGATTCACAGTGTGTTTGCTTGTGCTGGAGTGACGGGATTTTGGCGTCTGAGGAGAAAGGACCGAGATCAGTGCCTTTGAGGAGCATTTGTGCGCTCTTCCCTCTCGTACTCTTCTCCCTGTCTGCTTTAAAACTCCCGCCGTCATCGCTATGAGCAGTCAGTCCAAACGCTTCAGAAATAAGCATCACGTCTGTCTTTGAGTTGAGGTATGAAAGAGCAAAACCAGCGGGCGATGCACAGCAGGTGACACCACACTCTTTATTTACTGTCCACTTCCTGCTGTGTAATGGTCCGTCCCATTCACTTACCCCCTGCTGCACACACCTCATCAAATGTACAGTGTGACTGCGCTCTGTACCAACTTGTTTTTTTCCATCCCCTGCATGTCATTTCTCATGATGTATAAATAAAACAAATATGGTGAATGTCATAAAAAAAGTCCTCACTGAGAGGAGCTGTTTGTCAAATTTGAGCCCTGCTGTGACTGCTGACAGCTTTTTTCACCGAGTCAGCAAGAGTTTCTGTCAAGTTAATCCAAACAGAGAAAAGCATGTCAGAAAGATTATCAGAGGTTTTAATGAAGTATCAGAAGTGAAGGCACAGTATCTGATCTGACAGCAGCCCCTCACAGTTAGGGCTGGACGATAAAACGATAACGATGTATATCGAAAATTGATTTCCCACAATATCAATCGAAGACAGACCTAGGGATTTTATGGCCTGAGGGCCACATCCGCCCCTTTGTAAGGTCCGTCAAACAAATTATCAACACGCTATACAAGTGTGTTGATTTTAATTTGAAAAACTAGCCATTGTTTAATTTCTGTTTGGACACACGCGGGTACATCCTTCATCTGCATTCGTTAATAGAGACAAGTTTAAACATCGGCAAAATACACGTAGACACCTTATAGTTGCCACATCCGCTTATTATAAAAGACTTTAGGCTTGTTTCTCTCAGAAGTCGCTTGTAAAACTTTAGTTATTGTCGGTTCGGCCCTCCAACACAATTCAGGTTTCTTATGTAGCCCCATGTAAAAATTAATTGCCCACCCCTCATATAAGACATGGTCAATATTCTTTTCGATAGTCAGCATTCTGTCATGTTCCGGTAGACTATATGAATAGCCAATGAAAATGGAAGTTGCTCCAGGTGAACCAATCATGTGCTGAATGAGATCCAAGTAGCAAACGACTGCTTAGTAGCAGGCTGCAGCTACACGCAACCACAGCACTTTAACACGTGAAGCTGACAGCACTGTCGGTGAGAAAAAAGAAAATAAGTGCTACCTCCAGCAGAAGTGCAGTTAAAGGATCAACAGCTGATGACATCCTCAACAACACTGGCACAAAAACGTTGGTGGTGTGGAGGTATTTTGGGTTTTTTGAGGTCAGACATGAAGCAGAGTAATGTGAACTGCAAATTATGTCAAGTACATGTTCTCGCAAAGTCGGGGAATGCCTCAAATCTTTTTCACCACCTGAAGCAGTGCCACGCAGCAGAGCACACGCAATGCAAAAGGTAACAAACCCGAGCAGAGCAAAGAGCCAATCGGACCTGTGCAGCCGAAACAACTGATCATTAAGTCCTCTTTCTTTAGAGCAACGCCTAACGACAAAATGTCAAAGAGACACAAAGACCTCACAGATGCAGTAGCTTATTGTATTGCAAAAGACATGCTACCTATAAGCACTGTTAAATTCCTTTTTTTGTATGGTAATATATACCGATATCAACTGATATGAAAAAATATATTGTTAGAAACTTTCTCCCATATTGCCCAGCCCTACCCACAGTCATGATGGAGTTTGTCAAATTTAAAGCTACTCTCCTCAAAATGATGATGTGACAGCCCTAACAAATGTTATTGAGGGTTCTATATAAGAATACGTACAACATCCAGCTCCCACTGAGAATGTGATATGAGTTCATGTATGTAATATGAGTTAAAGGTATTCAAACCCAAAGGACCAAAGTCTGTTTACTGGGTGTTTGCATCAGGGAGCCCTTCAGCTGCATCATTAGCACATTTTATCTACAAGAGTTTCTTATATAACATGTTTTTGCTGCTATGGGGAAAATCATTTCTTGACAAGTGGGATCAATGTATTTATAGCAGAAATGGAGCCTGGACCGACTTATCTGTCAAGAAGCAAAAAAATAACCACTATCACCGCTGATGAGGAGCTCAAACAGACAGACAGACTGAACTGAAAAATGCTAACTGTCAGGGAAAATTACTCTGTCTGCCTCAAGAGGCTGACAGGAGAGTGTGTGAGGAGTTATTTGACTGATAATGTAGCAGTGTGAGAGTGGGATTTATGCGTTTTTTTAATGGGGGTCTTCACTTTCCCTTCTACTACTAGCAAAAAGACTTAAAGCATAAGGACTCTAAATTGAGGGTGCTGCCAGACCAGTAAAGTTTGAAGAGGTGGTTCAGGATGTTTTTTATCCTCATTTTCTGGGGTTGTTTGTACGTATGTGAAGGCAGCAATCGCAGGATGAAACCAAACAAGCCAACACTGCTTAAAAGAGGTCTGGGTTTGCTTCCATTCCAACATTCAAGTGGTTTAATTGTAGTGGGAACGCAACCAACCCAGCAACTGGTTCAAAAAGCTGCTTGACTCATCACGCTCCAGTAATAGCTGAGGTAGTTAGCATAAAAGTAGCAGTTGGCGAACGTTACTCGCTGTCTCCAGCCTGTCCAGTGTAGGCAAAGAGCTGGGGCCGGGCATTGCAGCATCACAGAGCTTGACAGAATCCACTGATTCCAAACCTGCTTCAGTTTAGAGACTTTAGTCCAGCTCACTGATCCAGAGGAATTTGCCCTATCATTGTGGGTGAATTAACCCCTGAATGTGCTGACTCACTTCTGTATTTTTGTGAGTAGTGTGCAACATTTGACAAATATACTCAACAGCCAGATTCAGGATGTCATCTTTGTCTAAATGCATTGAGTTGCTGCGATGTGATTGACTGATTAGCTATTTGTGTTAACGAGCGATTGAACAGCTGTACCTAATAAAGTGGCCATTGAGTGTATGTGCCATGAGGAGTTATTGTTCCAGTTTATCATAAGTGTCAATTATTTGTGTGTTGTATTCTTATTTTATTGTTGCCCTTGTGCTTTTACTGGTTTGTCCCCAAGTTTAGTTTTTTGTTGTATTTTGTGGTATTTTTCTATTTGTAGAAGTCTAGTTTACTTCCTGTGTTAAGTACTGTCATTAGTTTCTGCTGTATCTTGTCTCCCACCTGTTGCTCATTTCCTGGAGTGTGTTTAGTGTTTCCCTCCATCTGTGTCAATTTGTTGCGTCTTTCCCTGCATCTGTGTACCCTGCCTGGGTTCTCTGTGTTTTCTGTTGAACTTCGTAAAAGTGCGACTTTCAGTTTGTACTTTTTCTCGATCTTTCGCATTTTTCTTATTAAACTCCAATTTGAATCCTCATCTTTCTTGAAGTATTTGGCATGAAAATATGATTATCTACCCAGATGTGGATTTGACATTCGACCTCCTCACTGCTTTAAAGGGCTATTCCGGCGTAAAATTAATTTCAGGTCAAACACACCGCAACACCGACTCTCATCTCACCCACTCTCTTCCAGTTGCCGATTGTTTGTAGCGAGAAAGAACATTTATGATCATTTCTTTATCATTTCCTTGAAGTAATAATCATCATATTAATCATTTTGCACTGCAGACGTGGTAGTTCTTCTGCCTTAGCATCTCAGTCTGATTGCATTTCCATGAAGAAATGATCATAAATGTTCTTCCTTGAGCTGCGTCACCTCGCTGCAGTCCGTCATGGACTGGCCTGAGGTCTCACTACAAACAAGTGGCTGCTGGAAGAGAGACGGTGAGTTGTTTTTAGACTCTTTGCTAAAGAAATCAGGCAAAGTTAAAAAGATGTTTGGTGGCTAGTACTATGGCTGGGACCCTATATGTGCTGTTGATGAAGTTAGGTGCTGTTCTGAACATTATTTGTGGCTATAGAGTGGCTTTTCAGTTGAGGTTTGTTTATGGCTCCTCAGACTGCTGTGTATTGCTATCCTGCGATCGTTACTAAAGTTGGTATAACTAGAGAAGCAAGCAGTCGACAACACTCATCTCTCGAGGGGGTGTCTAACTCTGTGTTGCGGTGTATTCGACACCAAGTTAACTTTATGCTGGAATATCCCTTTAAGTCAACCCACAGCTCATTCAAGACAGCTGCCTTGGTCTTTGGGCCAACAATGCAAAATAAGACCACTATGACATTCATTTACCTACGCAGTGCTGTAAAGAGGCTGTGACATGATCACAGCATTGCCTCCCTTTGCAACACGGTGGCACGTTTTTCTCACTTTACACTAATGCAGTGTGAACACAAGAGAACCCTGTAACAGAGTATCACTGAGATGTCTAATATTTATACCAATGTTGAACAAAAAGTGAAACCTGATGTGAGATTTTTTTAGTTAAAAAAAAAGGATGTTTGCAGAACAGTTTGTCTTGTCTGCTTAAAATAAATCAATAAGAATGCTGAAAAAATGAGTTTTTATCTTCAAGCCCAAGTCGCAGCCTGTAAGAAATGTTTAAAAACTCAAGTCACACACTCCATTACAAAACACATCTTTCAAAGAGTAATAGCCGTCACAACCTTTAATCTCCATGTCAGACTGTTAGAAAGCTGTGAATACACTTTGCTTTGACCTACCAGCTCCTTATTAGCATTTAATATAAAAAGGACTAAGCATTAAAATTTTAGCATCTTCCAGCATAGTGAAAATTATTCTAACAGGTTAAAATCCCATTTGAATCCAATTACGCCTTTGCCATTTGATTCAAGTGTTGAAAAGCTTAGCAGAGGAGTGTAACAGGGGTAATGAGCCGGAGCCTCCATTCTATCATGTTTTCACAAGTGTGAGTAAACAATGGGGGTGAGCTCGGAGCATGGGAACATGAACATTGAACTGCAATCATGGGATCTCTTGAATGCACAAGGATAGTGATCTTGCCTTGTTACTATGGTGACGTTGTTCATAAAATCCTGAATCCTGCATCCCATTGATATTGTTTACTTCTCTGAAGCTGTTAGGAAGCTCACAGAGATGCCATGTAGACTTCCTTGTATCATTTTATCTGCCCATTTAAGTTACATGCAACCATTTTCTGTCATAAAAATATCATTTCTAGTTTTAATAAAGACAAATATAACCTTTTCCAAATATCTCAGAGACATCTGCAGGACCAGGTGGAATAGTAGACTTGATAACCCATCCCCCCATTTTGGCTAGTGCTCATTTTTGCTAACAAATAGAGCAATATAACAATACATTTACTGTGATAACAAATAATGCTGTGTATGTGTGAAACCATTTTCTTCTCAGAGCAAAGAGAAAAGAAAAATGAGCTTCAGGCTGCAGACCCAACTCCAGAAATCAATTTCCAGGTCCATGGTAACCTGAGACATATTGAACTCCTATACAGAATAATTTCTGCAGGTAATACAGAGGCAGCATCTCAAAGAAAACACAAGCTGTGTTTTTCAACCCGGAATGAAAAATTAAACAGGCGATGGAGCCCCACCAAGAATAAGACAAAAAATTGACTCTTGTCTTTCAGAATCAAAATGGAGGTCATTAAAAGTTAAAGGTCTTAACTCTCAGATAAAGTTTAAAACCTTTAAAGGTACAAGTGTAAGCTTTTAAGATGCCACTTGCTCAATATATGGTTGAGAGGCACAGGGGTAATTCCTTGCATTAGAGTCAATCCCTAAAGGAAAAGGTCAGACTTTTATCTATTAAATAGATGTAACATATAGACCATAAAAGATGAGTTTAGGCAGGTAAAAAGGTTAAATCCATCCTCACTTTTTTGGAAGTCAGATTACCAGTGATTTATTCTAACAAGGGACATCAGGAAGACAAACCCTCAGATATGGTTGACTCAATAAGTGAGAAAACCCCATACATCATTTTGAAGGTTTTTACTGTGAAATATAAGTATATGTCAGCACAGACGAGGATAATGGACCAAGCATCGAAAGCATTCTTTCTTTTTGTATTACCTGCTGGTTTGGCAATGCCACAGAGGCACAGAAAAAGAGGGTTAGAAAAATTATATCCATATCCAGTAAGTTACTGGGGACTACTCTGCCATGTATGGAAGACATCTACAGAGACAGGACAGGGAAAAAGGCAACAACATTATAGGTGACCAAAGGCACCCCCTCGCCCACTCTTTTAACCTCCTGCCTTCTGGGCGACGATATCGCCCCCCTCTGTTTACTAAAAACAGAGCAAAATTTTCTTTTGTGCCACAGGCCATAAAATGCCTTAATACCAAATAGCCATAGTTAGTCACCTATAGCCTGCTCAGCTGGTCTAATCAGATTAAAGTGGAGACTGAGGAAGTGTGATTATGATGATGTTACTTATTTTTACTGTTAATTATGTGTGAAAGTTGTCTACATGCTGTTTTATTTTTTATCTGTACTGTTCGAGATGAAATGCCAAATGTGTGATCTGCTGCAGTTCAATTTCCCTATGGGACAAATAAACTACTACTACTACTACTACTACTACTACATAAAAGCAAAGAAGGGATTGAAATAGAATTGTATCACATTTGGTTTTTCTGTTTTAAACTCATCTGTCTTTTAGATTTTGAAGATGCCAGTCTCTCTCAAGATCTTTCTGGGACTCTGCTGGCTAAAGACCATCTTTCACAAATATAAAAGCCCAACCAAGACTTAAGACTTTCTAACCTTGTTAATATTAATCTATAAAAATAAGCGAGTAGGTCCAATTTTTATCAGAGCTCCAGTCAGAAAGAGAGTTGGTTTTTTTTTTTATGAACAGCATCTGAAATGTTTCTCTCCATCTGCTTTGACATAAGCAGACAAAGACATGATAAATGCCACCAAACCAGACAGCAAGTAGACAACCTCAAAATATCCTTGGGTAGATGTCCCGCATACTGAGCTCAACAGATCCTTGATTTTATCAGACATGTGCTGCCACTACAGTATGCCTGCTATTGATTTTTGAAATGCACTCTGTTTACCTGCTACTGCACACAACACACAGTTCTATCTAATTACTGCAGAGCGCGTATCATCAGAACTCCTCAAAGCAAGGATTAGTCCTGACAGGTCCAGGCAGCTTTTGTGAAGTAAAGGTCAGTCTTTGTGTACCCCAAACATTTACAGGTCTACAAACTGACTCATGTGTCGGTTACACTGTTAAAATTGATTTTCTACAAATATACTGGAGTATTCTCTGGTTGCTGAGGCTCTGGAGCTCTGCTGTGGTGCCTGCTCCTCAGATCATTAGTGATAATAACTAAAGTGTGATCAATCTAAGGCTATCATTGAACACCATTTTCTCATTGACGCGAGAGTAAGATCATAATTAGGTGCATAATTTCCAGGAGGGAAATTTCACAAACGTTATAAATGCCATGTCTAGACTTGAAAACGTACTGATAACAAAGGTTTTTCTTTCTATCAAAGTAATATCAATGATTAAATACCAAATAGATTTGAAAAGAACAAACAGAGAGTACAGGGGGTTCCTTCCAATAAAACTTTCAGTTTCAAGGCGGTAAATTTGGTAAATAATTTACTATTAAAGTTAAAGGTGGGGTAGGCAGGAATCCGTTAAAGAAGCATCTTTTTTGTGGTGTGTGTATACAAAAAAGCTTTTAGTTATTGATGACATTTGGTAATATAACAATATCGCTGTGTTGTGTTATGTCTGTGTAGTCAACATTTTTTAATTTTTAGAGCTCGCCGCTGTTTCTGACTGTAAACAAAGCCATTCTCCGCCTCCCCCATCCTGATTGGTTGTGAGGCAGACACTGCTCCCCTATGTCATTCACAAGTCCAAACAAAGTTAGTAGAAAACAACCAGAAAGTACGGAAAATTGTCTGAATCCTCCTTTAGCCATGACTGCCAACACAAACAAGGAAACGAAGTAAATACCGGAGACTTTGGCAGGATAACAGGTGCTTAAAAAGGAGGTGGACCACCCAGACAAGAGCAAAAAAGACGGGTGGGATAGGGAATGCTTCGGGATCTTATGGACGCTGTAACCATTATGCTGGACAGGTGAACCGCTTTAACGAAGTAAGCCAAGTGTCTGTAACAGAAGTGTTTCTTGCCAAACGGGACCCGCTGTGCGTTGTAGCGCCGCTAAACTGTTTACCTCGGGTCCTGGACTATGTCACTTTATCCTAGTTGTAGAAGTCCTGCAAACATTGTGTTTGCTGGTAGTCTGTTGGCATCTACAGTAGCACCAATGCTTTTTACTTTCGCATTGACTGAGCCCCATTGGTAATTATCTGAAGTATTTATCTGCATTAATATTAATTTGATTGAAACGACGCGAGCAAGCAGGAGCATCTGTTTGTGGGCGGGGCTTGCTGGAGCAGAGAGGGAGGGGAGAGGAGGAGCTGAGGGGAAAACTGGTTGGGAGGGGTAGAGTTTGCATTCAGGATCTCTCCCCAAAACTGGCACTTCCTCAGTTCCTGCCTACCCCACCTTTAATTGATTAAAAACGACTCCCTCTTTCACAGTAATGTGCCAAAACATCTGCATGAGAGCTGAGGAGAAGCAGAAACTGAATTCAAGAAAATTTCAACATATGAAATCATGTTTATGTGCTGCCTGTTTCGTGTCAAGTGTTATGAGAAATTATTCGTCAGAGACGGATCGAGCATCAATAAGGAACCTCAGATGAACTGATTTCCCCAAAAAACGCATTAAAACCCTCCACCATGCTCTGAATCTGCTGGAATACAGAACATTATGGATCCTCTATAAGCCTTTCTGAGTCCTCAGAGAATTCATCTAACTCACAAAGAAGTGAGAAATCTGTCTTTTGCAGTGAGTGCTTTCCAGCTGTGAGCATCAGTAAAAATGAAATGGAAAAAAGAAACACTTCCATAACATGACTTCCACAATAACTGGCTTTAATGTACCATATAAGATTGAGGGTATTCACGTTAAAACTACGCACAGGACATTTATGACTTTCTAATTACATTTTGACTGGTAAGAATGAACTGCTGTGAATTTAATTAAAGATAAGTTTTGAATCATCACACAACTTCATGGTTCATTCTTACCAGTCACAATGTAATTACAGAGGAATCTTAAATTAAAAGTGAGACTAAATACTAAATCATAAGTCTAAACGAGAGTGTGTTGTGGTGTCTAAGATGCATACCAATGTGACTGTCTCCAACACCCCCGGTTTCAATCCAGCACAGACTTTGATAACATGTCAATCATTGTGTCTCTCGGCACTTGTCACCACTTGTCTCAGCTGTCAAATAAGAGTAAAACTTCGCAGGAACGGCAACAAAAATTAATTTTTATGTGAGTCCCATGGTAATGACTGATAAATGATTTCTACATGACTTACACAACTTTTCTGATTTGACACATCTGCTTTGAAGATGTGTGAATTATTGACATAAAATCAGGCTGTATGTTTTTTCAGGGTGTCTGACTGGTAAAATCTTTTAGTTGCATTTGCAGATTTTACAAATGTTGTCAAAGGAAGTCAAGTAAAACCCCAGCAGCAACCCCAGGGGCTGCAAAATAATGCAAAATGTACGATGTCAAAAACTGCAGTTCCCTGAGCAGCCACTTGAGGCTGCCTACAAAGACATGAGTAAATCCCCATGAGGCCCCATGTAAGAATGCCCAACCTCAGAGGAAAATTTCTGTTCATGAAAACTGTATGAGGAAGTGACTTCAGACCCCATCTGAATTAGAAAAGGCTTGAGGATACACATGAAGTGACAGATGGATGATGCAAGATGTGTGATGAATATCAATACAGCTTATTCTGTTACTGTTGTCCTTTTGTCTTTTGTGCCATTCAGAGTTATTTTTTTGTCATGCAAACATAGCACAAATAATATGGCTGTGCAGATTGTTGCACTAACAAACCTCCCACCCAAAGAGACAGTGCTCCATTTTCAAGCAAATCTGCTCCGTTTTATCTGTTTTGATACAAGAGACTCATTTTTCACTTTAAAGACACTGTGAGGAGTTTTGGACTGGTTATGAAACAGGATAAAATGAACAGTGATGGCTCTTCATGACCTACAGTAGTGTTGTGTCATTCATAAAGAACGGAACTGCTGATTGAACGACGTGAATGGAATCACTCCAAGACCTGATTCGTTTCTTTCTCAGGTCAGTTGAGCTCAGCTGCGAGCGTGTGGTGCTGGTTGGGAGTGGAACTGATCAGTCAGACTGTGAACGAAATGAACAACTTCAGAACAATTTGAGACAGGCAGAGGAGGGAGGGGCGTGGCGTCATTCATGAACTGCTGAGCACTGGTTTATTCACTGTGAGGATGAACATGAGCTGAGATAAAACTATTGTGTCTTTACATTAATACAGGTCTACAAACTTTCCAGCAAGAAGGATTTAATTTCAGCCCATTTAAAGCGATACGCTATTTGGTAACTTTAGAAGTATCAGAATCCCCACTACAGCTGCGATGTTTATTTATTTTTAATTTCTTAACTTTCTGCGATATAAACGAACGACGACTCCCGCTCGTTTAGCAAGCATGCTGCATGCTGTTGTGTTGTTTCACTACTGTGTTGCTGTGTTGATGCGAACGTCAGCAGCACATAGAGAGGTGAGTTTTTCAGGGCAGGGGAGTGATTCTTCCTTCACGACTTGGGGAATGAACGAAATGTCACCCGGTGAACGACGCTGTGACTTCGGCAGCAGGGGAATGAACGAACTTCCGATCAGTGCTGCTGTGTCACTCACTCGTGTACTGCACCGGCAGGACGGGGCACTGAAACCCTGACTGATTCGGTCGACGAATCCTTTGAACGAATCATCAACAGATTCTAAAGATTCAGTACAGTCAAAAGAACTGTTCTTCCCATCACTAACCTACAGAGGCAAAATGCCATCAATATCAGAAATAGCAACTATTGCAGAAGATACTGCTCACATGCGCAGGTCATACTTTGACTGAATCAAAACTTTGAAATGATACAATAACTTTGCTTTAATACCCATTCCTTATTTATAGTTTTACAAAGGTTAAAGCAGACTTGTAATTTCACAGTTAAACAAAGACTAAATGAAAGTAGCAGCAGCAGCATGTAGCCTCCTTCCTCTTTGACACTTGAGCAGCTCATTAGAAGACAATGAAGTATTTTCCACTGTGGCTATGAAAGCCATATAGTTCTACTTGCTGTATTTATGGAGGTACAACTTGATTTGATGACATTTGCTCTTGCTGCCACCTGTCCCCATAGATCAATACAATAATGCACTGCTTGGCGAGGAGGCACACAATAACGCTGCTTTCATTTTATTCTCACACACTTCATAACAAAGTTGCCGACATAAGTCAGCCATGACAGCCTTTTCAATTACGTGACACTGTGGGAAAAAAGAGACATGATGGATGGTTGTCAAATCTCTAGGGAGCCATAACCCAGACAGAAAGCACGGGTCGCCCATCTGTCAACAATCTCAATTAACGACTGTGCAGGCCCTCTGCTCCTTTATACATCAAAAGAACAAGCGTCTCTATCTCACGATGAGCCACATTCCATTTTTTTCTCAGTGAAAACTATGTATTTAAGGGAATCGGATTGGTTCATCCATCAGCAGGGAGGGCGAGTCAAATTGAAATCTGACATTTAGAGCCTGGGCGCCTTTGCTCACTGGCACTGATATGAACTATAGCAAGTGACAAATTGTTTGTATCAGGCCTGTCCCTTGGTGAAGCTTCTGATAATGTTTAGGGTTGAAATGGGCACCCTTGACATTTTGCAGAAAGGTCAGGTTTTGTGTTCATTAATGCTCCCTTTCTACATACAGCCAGCAGTGGGGATGAGGATTATTGTCATAATCTGGGGTGGTGCCAAGTCATGAAGGCTGCCCCGCTCGTTTTGATTCCTCTCACTGAGAAAGACCCAGATCACAGGAACCTTGTACTAAAAATACCGTCCTTCTGTTTTAACTTTCAATCTTTTCTGCCTCTGTACAAGCTCCAACAACACTGATTTGATTTTCAAATTAACAACCTGTTGCTGCTGGTTAATTTCAACAAAATGGCAGAGTATTAAAATAAAAGCAAAATTCATCACTATCTCTGCATGTGAGAGTATCTCTGACAGTTTCAGGTAGAAAAACATCCTCGATTAATTTGTTTCTGTAGCGGGTGTCCGCTTACGGCTGAATTAGGAAATCCATCTGTAATTCATTTAGTGTGAACCAGACAAATTAGTGTCTTAGGAACAGCTAATAAACAGCTTGAAGCTTTGTCGATATTTACATAGCCCGTCGTAATTGCTGATTGTGTGTGTGTGTGGCATTTTTGATTAACCAGGATCCACGGGGGAACACAAAGCTAAATTGGGCAATTTTCTTTCATCCTTTGTGTATGTTGAAAAGTGAATACAAACGGACTTCCAGTGTATCTTTTTTTTTTTTTTAGGTTGAGGTTCTTGTATGAAAAAACAACTTAATTTTGGACTGAACATGCTTATTTGCTTCCTCAATTAACCCTTAAAAATCCTAATCAAAAACAATCATACAATATTGTGTAGAGGTGTTTATCTTTAACTCTCAACAAGTCTGCAATGAAGATTTTTCTGCCATAAATCATGAAACAAAGAGGAGCATATTTCTCTGAAAAGTTGATACTTGAAGGGATATTCAGGCGTAAAATCAAGTTAAGGTCAAACACATTGTAACACCGAGTTAGACACCCCCTAAGGAGATGAATGTTGCCGACTGCTTGCTTCTCTAGTTATACCAACTTTAGTAATGACCACAAAATAGCAATACACAGTGGTCTGAGGAGCCATAAACAAACCTCAACCAAAACGCCACTCTATAGCCACAAATAATGCTCAGAACAGCACCTAACTTCATCAACAGTACATCTTGGGTCCCAGCCACAACACTAGCCACCAGTCATCTTTTTTACTTTGCCTAATTTCTTTAGCAAAGAGACTAAACACAACTCACCTACTCTCTTCCAGCAGCCGCTTGTTTGTAGCGAGACCTCAGGCCAGTCCATTATGGACTGCTGCTCATTTCTTCATGAAAATGCAATCAGACTGAGACGCTAAGGCAGAAGAACTACCGCGTCTACGGTGCAAACTGATTATATATATTGATTATTACTTTGAGGAAATGATAAAGAAATGATCATAAATGTTCTTCCTTGAGCTGCGTCACCCCGCTGTAGTCCGTAATAGACTGACCCAAGATCTCACTACAAACAAGCAGCTGCTGGAGGAGAGTAGGTGAGTTGTGTTTAGTCTCTTTGCTAAAGAAATCAGGCAAAGCTAAAAAGATGTTTGGTGGCTGGGATCCTATATGTACTGTTGATGAAGTTAGGTGCTGTTCTGAGCTTTATTTGTGGCTATAGAGTGGCTTTTTAGTTGTGGTTTGTTTATGGCTCCTCAGACCGCTGTGTATTGCTATCATGTGGTCGTTACTAAAGTTGGGAAAACTAGAGAAGCAAGCAGTCGGCAACATACATCTTTCAAGGGGGTGTCTTACACGGTATTCCGGTGTGTTTTGACCCTAAATTAATTTTATGCCGGAATATCCCTTTAACATGCTTAACTTTTTATTTGGTCAGGGTAGGACTGGTGCCATTCTGGAATGGAGGAGTCTGGCATAACTTCACCAACTTCTAAGGTGCACAGAGAAGGGAAAGTGGTCCCACTTCTGACAGGTTCAGGATTTTGGGTGGCCAATTGTAATTTAAGTGGGGGTCTGACCTTCCATGGCCACCCCTGAATGTGCCCCTAAGTTTATCGGTTGATAATGTGCACAATTGTTGTCTATTCCACAAAAAAGTACAGCAGGTTTTGGGCCATGTTCAACTAAAGCTTCGTGATTAAAATGAAAGTGATTTAAACGACCTGGTTTTACTGAAGGGCGTGTATAAATCAGTTTTTAGAGGCTTTTCTTTGTCACAACATTACTTGTAAGCTTCATTTGACACAGACAACCTCGCACTTTGACCTGTTTTATCTGGTTATCTTGTCGGAACATCACAAAACTATTTTATCATATCATGTCAGCTTATTTCCTCCCTCATATTTTCATCCTGTTCGAGCAGTATTGAAACTCGGCGCTCCTTTTTGTTACACACACGCCAGGACGAAACGCTATTGGACAGTTACAGACGCATTTTTATCTCATTGGTCCACGTTCATGTCGACGTCATGTAGTGGGCGGGCTAAAGATGCTCTACATGAGGAAATAGACTGTAAGCAGAGTCATATTTCTGGTTATTTATGCGATTAGATTCGAGTTCAAATGTGAACATGGACACAGGTGTGTTCCTCCTCGCGCTCATAGCGTGCGTTGCCCGTCCTGCTGAAGCGCTGGACAATGGTCTCGCGCTGAAACCCACCATGGGCTGGCTGCACTGGGAGAGGTTCATGTGTAATGTCGACTGTGATAAGGACCCCGATAACTGCATCAGGTAAGAGACTCCAGAGCTGTCAGGTGATCAAGATTGAGCAGCACGGTCATAAACACACATAAGACTTTTGGTCTCTCCTGAAAAATAAACACAATTTCCGTTTTCCTACTGTCAACAGGATCTATAAACTGATATTATGTAATAACTTTGCACTAATTACAACCTAAAACCCAGAAGAGTAGGGGAGAGTGGGGTAAGATGAGCCAAAGGGTAAGTTGATCCACCCCCTGTTGTTTGGAAATGGTAAAAGAAATTGATCATGTGACCAAATATTTAGGAGATGGGCATCAATTCATGGAGTCTGTGAAGGTTAGAAGCACATGGGTGAAGAGGTTAGACATTTATTTCCAAAAAAACATTTTTCACTCTTGAAAGTGAATTTAGTCTGTCATAAGTTTTATTGGAATTGTGTTTAGACCAAAAAAGATCATTTTTAATTTGTTTTATACAACAATTGTGGTATCTATGAGCTACAATATGAGGTCAAAAACCTAGCATAAAAGTCCACCATTTTAGCTTAGAGGACTAATAAAGTCATTATAGTAGTTCGAGGGTAAGTTGAGCCATTTAGCCATGGGTAAGTTGAGTAGTAGGGAAACGGGTCAACTTACCCCATACACGGGGTAAGTTGACCATAGGAGGACACTTTTTTTGGCATGCTATATTATCAAGATAGTTATGTTTACACTCATTCTGTTGGTTTGCAGGGGTGCACAACAGCTTGAAATAAATGCAGATACACTAGTTAGGCTACGTTCACACTGCAGGTTATGATGCACAATTCAGATTTTTTGTGAAATCCAATCTTTTTGTGCGGTCGTTCACATTACAACAACAAATGCAGCATCTAATGTGAACGGAATGCGTCCGTGAAGTGACCCGCATGTGCACAAATTGCTGTCTGCGCCTGTTTGTGTTGTCGAACAACGGTGACGTTTGTCGCATATTGATGGCGTATAGGTCGGATGAACGCGACCTGAGTGTCCACACTGCAGTCAAATCGGACACATATCCGATTTATATCCACATACAAAAGAGGCCTGGGTCAGATTTGAAAAAATCAGAATTGCACTGTTCACACTTACATGATGCGTGTCACATATGGTTAAAAAATCAGAATTGACCTGGAGTGTGAACATAGCCTTAGAGACAAAACTATAATTACCTTGATGTAGTGATCCGAAATATGAAAAATGTCTCATCTTACCCCACTCTCCTCTATATGGTTGATAAAACAGATTTTTTTTTTATTTCAACCCCAATTTTAATTGAAAATAGTTAAAAGACAATCTATCTAATGCTGAACCAGTTTTTTTGTTTGTCATATTTATGGTTTCCCCCTTGTGTATTAGTTTTTACCTGGGATACAGTGACAAACTGTGTTCCCAGACATAAATGATAAAAATAAAATGTATTATTAAAGCACTTTTCATCTAAATTATGTACAAGAAGTAAAATATGAGGATTAAAGCACGTTAAAACAAAACATAATCCTAAAAACGAAACGCAGGATCTGTACAAGGATGTGTAACAAGAATCAACAGCCATTAAAACCGTCATGTGTTTGTATCCTCCATATTACTCTTGCGTCACACACTGAACACACTTTGCTAACTAATATTATGGGCCCTGCCTGCCTCTTCTTGTTTCTCTTTCTTGCAGTGAGCGTCTTTACATGCAGATGGCGGATGTGATGGTGAAGGAGGGCTGGAAGGATGCTGGTTATGAGTACATCTGCATCGATGACTGCTGGCCCAGCCGCCAACGTGATGCCAAGGGCCGCCTGCAGGCACACCCCAAAAGATTCCCAGGAGGCATCAAGAAACTAGCTGACTATGTGAGTAGCAGGTATTATAAGAGAAGGGCCTGGGTGCGCACTATCCAGTACCATAACTCCTCAAGACTTAGAAGACAGGAGGATTTAAGGTTTTAGGAAAACAAAAAAAATCAGTTTAGTTTTCGGTGATTTACTATATGGAGGAGGAGAAATTTTAGGTTTTCAGCCTTTTTTGGCACCATACTGAAAGAGTATAGGGATAATAATGTTGAGTCATGTTTGATTTTACACATTTGTGGAGCTGTGACTCTGTAGGGTGTGTGGTGTTTGAGAAGTGGTGGTGGTACAATACATCTGCAAATCTTTGTCGAATTAAAAGTTTGGAAATTCCCAGTGGAGTGACTCTCAAGTAAAAGTGATTACACAGTCACATTACATATTCATTGTACTTCCATCTGAGCGGACTTGCAATTATTTACATAATGAAGGGGAAAAGACCAGATGTGGAAATTAAGCCTCAGATTTCATACCAGTGGAAATCCAGCACCTGGAGTAGAGGGAGATTCAGTATGTGGGCATATATTGTGTAACAGCAGGTAGGAGGATGCTGTCATTCAGCCTCTCTGCTGCAGTCACAGCACAGAGAAACTCCTAATTTGAAGACCACTATGACAGGCAGCTAAGAAGATGTTCACCAGAAAACTAGAAGTTGTTCAAGGAGGCAGAGCTGAGTCCTGAACAAGAGGCATCAAGTTTTTAAGTTGTGCAATATCACCACCTACTGGTAGATACCCAGACTAGACCATCCTGGAACAGATGTGTTCGTGGCAATAAAAGTGGATTAATTCAATTTTCTGTTCAAAGATCCATTCCAAAGGACTGAAGCTGGGCATCTATGCAGATGTGGGGAAAAACACCTGTGCTGGATACCCCGGTAGCCTGGGTTACTATGAGACAGATGCTCAGACTTTTGCTGACTGGGGTGTGGATCTACTGAAGTTTGATGGCTGCTTTATGGAGTGGAAACTGCTGGGAGAAGGTGAACTTGTAAATCTTTAGTATAGCTCACATGTTTTAGACCAGTCCCTTCGTATTGCTATGTAATTCACTTCAAGCACTTCTCATTTAAGCCCATAATAATCAAATCTCTATGGATGTCTTTGTACCTTTTTTCTTATTCGTCTCCTCCCGATATGTTATAATTTTCAGGTTATGTGAACATGTCGAAAGCGCTGAACAAAACTGGGGCCAATATCCTGTACTCCTGTGAGTGGCCTTTGTATGAGTGGCCGTTTAGACAGGTAAGAGGGCATGCATTTCTCTAAACCTCACTTCAAAACAGTGCTGCGACAAGAAGTTAATTTTGTAGTTTGAATGAACCAAAAGTGACTTCATTAAGAAAAAAAGGGTATTACCATATTTTCCGGAGTATAAGTCGCACCAGCCAAAAAAATGCATAATGAAGTAGAAAAAACATATACTGGTATAAGTCGCATTTTTTGGGGGAAATTCATTTTACAAAATCCAAGACCAAGAGAAAGACATTTCATCTTGAAAGGCAAGTGATAATAATAGCAACAGAATAGAGAACAACAGGCTGAATAGGTGTATGGTACGCTAACATATATTTCACTACTTGCAGCTTGTAATCCGCAGAATGATTTTCTTTTTGGCGGCATTTGTGCTCAGTCTTTCTCAGTTGTCTATACGAGTTAACGTGATTTTTTTTAATTTTCAGTGGTACGGGAGTAGCAGATCCTGGTACACCTGCCTAGAATGCCCTATAACTGCTGTCAGTGTGAAAATAACTAACGTGTGAAATTATATATTTTAATACATTTAAGTCGCACCTGAGGATAAGTGGCAAATCCAGCCAAACTATGAAAAAAGTGTGACCTATAGTCCAGAAAATACAGTAATTCATTATTAACCAAATAACCATCAGTAGAACCAACATACATTATTTTATCTATTTTTTACTTTTCAATTTTTTATCCACAACTGCGTCATCACCCAGTTCTCCATGTGTGGTACTACATTAAAAATGCCCCTTCGTGCCTGCAGCCAAACTACACAGCCATCCGTGAGACGTGTAACCACTGGCGTAACTATGCTGACGTGTTCGATTCGTGGAACTCGGTCAAGTCCATCTTGCAGTGGACTGCATCTCATCAAGACATCATTGTCCCTGCAGCTGGACCTGGGGGCTGGAATGACCCTGATATGGTACTCTGCTCTACTCTTTTCTATTTTTAACATCCAAACTGAGCAAAGATTGAGGGCTCTCCAGTCTCAAGGATTCAAACAGTACAACACAGACATTCTCGATAACAAAAGTATCCCTCATGTTCAGTTTTAGTTGGAGCACAAACTGTCAAAATAGACCTTATCATCCTGTTATTTATGTGGATGACATTTGTCTGTTTCTTCAGCTCGATATCGGAAACTTCGGCCTGAGTCATGTCCAAGAGGAGTCTCAGATGGCATTATGGGCCATCATGGCAGCCCCTCTGCTCATGTCTAATGATCTGAGAGATATCTGTCCTCGGTCCAAGGAGCTGCTGCAGAACAGTCACATCATAGCCATCAACCAGGATCCTCTGGGCAAACAGGGATACCGCACAGCCACGGTGGGTGACTAAGAGCATGATAACCTTGTATGACCACAGTGAGCCTTTCTAGTCTGTTAACACGGAAATATGAGAGGTTTTGTGCTCGCTTAGACGGAGTCCTGTAGCAACAAAGACTTTTAGCTGCAAGTATGACTCAGATGAATTCAGGTAGCATTAAAATGATCTTAATGCATGACATAACCAGACCTTTTCTACAGGAGGACCACTTTGAGGTCTGGGAGAGGCCTTTGTCTCAGAACCGACTGGCTATTGCCGTAATGAACAAAATGGAGATCGGAGGCCGAAGAGAGTTTTTCATCAGAGAGACCCCCAGCTGGAAAATCTGCAGCCCCCAGTGTAACGTCACCCAGATCCTGCCTCAGTACAAGGAAATGGGTCTTCAAACCCCCCAGAGTGACTTGGTTGTGTCTGTCAGTCCTTCAGGAACTGCTCTACTGACCGTCACTCCAATCAGAGACTTCACAAGCTTTCACAAGCTGCACCAGAACGACCTCACAGTTCATCACAAGCGCATCATTCTCTAGTTTGAAATGGGTTTTGCACTCAAGTGTTCACAGTTGTACTTTAAGTGTTTAATTTATGTAAATTTTAAATTATGAGTTGTATTGATTGTGCAAGAGACTTACATTGATAAAGTCACTGGAAAATGTTTTTACACTGTTGTATTAAACTGAACAGGCATGGATAGTAAAAATTGATGATTTTCAGAGACGGGGCTGAAGTTTAGTATATCTGACAGTTTCAGTGAAACACAAGTGAAAAAATGACCAACTTCATGATATATTTTTAATACCTTTATTGAAAATAGTGACAACTTCCTCCAGAAGACTGAGCCACAGTTTAGAACTGGATGACCTGGCCCTGTAAGAAACAGACAGACACCAGTTAAAATGACATTCAAGCACAATTACTATTTTATACTGTATTTACTCTGGAGGTATGATACACTGCAGGGTGGGTTAAGAGGAGTCAGCAATACGACAACTGCTTCTACACTGGAAACACAATTATCATCCTAATGGCAAACATCAGTATTCAACAGAGCGAGAACATATCAATGAAACCTGCAGTAACTACTTTTTCTTTCAGACTTCTGCGGTACTGTCTGGGTTTTCTGAAATAATGGTCAAGCAATAGTTTGAGAAGGATGTTCCATAATGATAAATATGATGAGACCTACGCTAAACAAAAAGTAGTTCAAGTTGGATCACTTTTACAACAACAGTCAAGATGCCTGCTCATTTGTTAGTTTGCATGAAAATATACATTTGGTCTATTGCTTTGCCAGCAATCATGTTAACGTTACACTTCAGCTTCTGCAGTGTGCTTTTCATGCCATATCCTGCTTCCTGTTAGGCAAAATTTTAACTTCAAATAGTCTGCAAAGTTCTGTTATAACTCTAAAACTAACGTTATATTTAAAAAAAAAACGGTTTGTTTTTTAATAAGGATGAGCAATTAATCACTATTAATCAGTCTAAAGAATCATTTCTATGTGAATACAGTATTGGCTTGATAAAATCAACCATGCGACTGGATTTGTCAACTGAACCAATATACTACTCTGTGATTTCTTAATACACAGAAGTTTCATATTACATGACTATGCAGACATATGCAAAATAAAAAGACCAGCAAAATAGAATACACAAAGTCACAGTGGACTACATTCTACTGATCCACAGTATTTGTTTGTAAGAGTTTTCTTTAGTGACTTAATGTGCCGTTTTTGTCCTCAAACAGTCTGAATCATTATTAATGTCTCATCCTACATCCTAAAAAAGGCCTGTTAAAATTCTATCCTTTGGCCCACTGATCATAATTCAATGAGGTACAATAAATAAGAGTTGTATTATCAACATTTAGGTCTTCATTGCCATGAAATGACAGTTTCCTTTTGTAAGGACGGCTGTTGAATTGGTGTCTGCATAAACACTGTTCAAAAAACAGAAGACACACTTTCATTTACAGAGTAGGTGCAGTCAAAAACAGCTTTCAGGGAGTCTATGCAGCCATCCTGTTCACATTGACCTAAGACTCCAAGCTGTACAATTCAGCCAGCCTTTAGAAAGGGAATAAAAGCACCCAGCACGGTAGTAGAGTTGAAAACAAAGATGAAAAAGAAAGACACCTACCTTTCTCTTCTTGTCACCACCCAACTCGAAGTGCTTGCATCTCTTGATGGCCAGCATTCTCTTGGATCTGCAGTTGGGCTCCACACACTCAAGCCTCAACACGATCTTCTTTGTTGTCTTAGCCTGTAACACAGCAGTTCATTGACTTAAGACTACATTCTCTTTTATTTAACATAAAGCACAGAGGTGCACTACTTTCCATAAAAATGATCAAATTTAGGACTGGTCGTACCTTTTTTCTAAAAATGGGCTTAGTCTGACCACCATACCCACTCTGCTTCCTGTCGTATCTCCTCTTACCTGCAAGACACACAATTTGGTTTGTTAAAATCTGCTTTGCATACAGTATACAGTGATGAGCCATGACAATAGGACCATTTCCTGATATAGTGAAGACCCTGCTCCCATCAACTCCGGACCAAAGCAGCCCACACTTGACAAGAGCAAAATCCCATTACCCTCAAGTTTTTTTTTTGCAGTGTTCACTTGTGATGAGTGTCACCAAATCACCAATGGATCAGCTGCCAGTCATCTTTACAGCTTCTTATATCAGCACAAACACGTATGAACACTGTATTAACTCAAAATACAAATCTAAAGGTGAGCTGAGATATTTGGCACAACCACATTAAAAGCAAATCCTTCAAGTCCTGGAAGTTAGATGGTGGGCTCCCCATGGATCAGACTTAATTATCAAGTAAATTCCACTGATGCTCAACTGGACTGAGATCTGGGAATTTGGAAACCACCAAGGTAATAGTAAGAGGTCATGCATGGGCCCCCTAACAAATCTAGGACTAGGTATCCCTTCGTGCAACAGAGGTGCACTATGTATTTTAAAAATTTTATAGCAGAACCAGCGGTCAATTTTTCAGCAGTTTATGGTCCAAAAGCTTTCCTAAATGACGAAGACTTTAGGACAACTTTGACTGCCCACGTCACCCCAAATTTTCACTGCATCAGGAACAGCTCAGATCCAGAACGACAGCAATTTCTGCTGTCCGCCAATTCCTACCAGATCTGTTGGTGAGATGAATTTCATGGCAGATAGCGGACAGCGATTATCGCGAGAACTCACAACAACCCGCAGATTCACGTGCAATCGTGTGATAAAAAGTTGTCTCTTAGCCGCAGAGGCTAACCATATAGGCAGTAGATTGGAGGAAAACCACCTCTTGGCTTCTAAAATCAGCATCTCCTCATCCATGGTGTCATCCTGGTGGAATGCTGTCTAAAAACCTCACTTTTGTCTCCGCCCAATTTCCACCCAGAAGCCGGTGGAGATTGACACATTAACTTGAATGGTTCTGATCAGCTGCGATCGGCAGATATGGCCTTTTCATAGATGTTCCAGATGCAAAGGAAATTGGGGGTCACTGTTCTATCTTTGGACCACTTTTGCTAAGTACTGACATCACAGTTTGGCCATTGACAAAATCCCAGATTGACCTGCTTCAAACACATCAGCCCATCAACTTAAACATTTCATTGTGCATTGATTATCAATGCTATTTCCTCCCCCTGTAAATGATCATAATGCTACGGCTGATATAAGTATAGAAGTATTTACCCTGAGCATAGAGGGAATCCTTTCCCTTCTTGTACTGGGTTACTTTGTGGGGTTGGTGCTTCTTGCACTTCTTGCAGTAAGTCCTGCGGGTCTTCGGGACGTTCACCTAGAAAACAAGGAGATTGCACCATGAAAACAGTCTCTAACATCTGGACGTATATCGTTGAAAACCAGCCTGACAGAACCGAGAATAATCCTAATAACTAAAGACAGGCCATAAACTTCAGGCCACTATCGACGTGTGTCAATGTGAGGATGTACTATAGTCTTAGAACTTTCACTCACTATAAAATATATCTATGTCAAAACATCGACAGATTGCAAAGTTATACATTTTCATAATAAACTGAATCAATTGACAAACTTAAGGGACAATCACGAGATTCTAGTGTCGAGCTTCTTCACTACACTGCTGCGAGGGTATAGGAAGCGTACGTTAGCAACACAGCTAGCATGTTAACATTATCACGAACAAATGGTGAAAGACATTTGGCGTGAATACTTTAAAGTCCCAACACAGACAGAAACCTTCTCTTCACGAATAGAAAGACTATAAAATATCAAGTCTGAGTTATTCCTCCTGAAAGAGGCCGACTGTAATGTCAGCGCGGCTACCAGCGGCGTTTCAATGCTAACACATCAGGTACAATTTCGGGTCAATCTAACAGCGAAAAACAAACAAAAGACAGACAATAATGCGGCAACAGCGTGGATTAGATCGTGTTATACTAATCTGAGTTAAAAAGACACAGTATTAAGTCTTCAATGGGCAAGATTGAGTTTGATTCTGGAAAATTGTTTCGTGTGATGGTTTCATACCATGGCTCCGACCCGATGCAGAGGAAAAGAGGAAGGCCAGGAGCGGAAGCAGTCCTTAATGTAGACCTCAGCTGTGGGGACATGATATAGTCTGCCCCCTACTGGCGGGACACGATTGGAGGACCAGAACTAAAGGCAAAATAAACCAAAGCTCAAATTTGAACAAAAAAAAAAAAATCACTTCTGAGCATTGAGAAAACAGTTTCTGCACTTTACATGAAGATTTTTCAGCTTGAAGTTAAAAACAGTGAATTGAATACTGATGCCTAATAATGCAGCCAGGCGGTATGTCTGAATTCCTGTATGCACATTACCAAAACAAGCATTTTTAGGCTTTATAAAAACAGACTGAGGTTACACTTCTTAAACATGACAAGGCAAAATCAGCAAACACATAAGAGGTACAGCTTTCTGTCAAAACACATGAGCTTTAAGTTATCAGCATTTCATTTTTCTAACCCTACAAGAATGAACTCTGCAATATGCTTTAATACCCTTGAAATAAGAGCTGGAGTACGAACGTGTTAATGTTTAGCCTGCTGTTACTTATCACCAAAACTGTCCAGAGGGGTGATATGAAAATGAGCAGGAAGAAAAAGGGGAAGTAAAGCAGAGCTGATTCCTCTCTGTGGGTGTGTTTGAGTTTCTTGCATCACAAACTAACACACATTAAATGACAGTCAAGCAACTGAGGCAAAGGTTCATGCTACTACTTCAAGCCTGAGCATCTGCAAATTGAAAGTCTGCAAACTTTGACTGGTCCTTGGCTTTTTTTGAATGTCTGGGTAAGTGAAAATTTGAAAGTATTTTCTATTATTTGTTTATTTACAGCTTATGGATTAAAAAAGGTGATGAGTGACATGTGGATCAATGGAAAAAAATGACTTTACAGCTGTAAATATTTTTTCTTTTATGGTAAATACAGAGCATACCTGTCACAAAATTAAAACTTAAAATTTAACTTATAGTGACACTGGGTTCTAACATGAAACTGCTTCTAGATGTTACATACTGCTACATAAATACAGCCCGTTTACCACATCTTGCTTCACCAGAGCGTCTTAGACAAATGGATAATTATAGCTTCATGTGGTTAGGCTCCATGTGGTTAAATTGATAAACTATGCATGAAAAAAAAAAAATGAAAATCAGTTTTTAAGTTATTCAGCCAGCACTTTTACAAGAAGTTTAGGGAACTCTTTTTTAGACACATTACAGGAACTTTGTGTGTTCTAAAAACTGACCCCTACAGGACACCACAGTTCGACAAATATAAGCAGTGTTTTACATGTGTGGGAGTCCCTTTCAAGTGGTTAGTTATACTCTCTGAGTAAGATCTTGTCGCTCGCTTGGTCTTACACTGTCACATACACATGTTCTTGCACTATCACTTATCAGTCAGGAAACATTAAGGAGGACAGCATCATGGCAGGTTCCTGTTAAAAGAAAATTGCATACTTATGTTTGCTGTGTCATACCAAACGGACATTGCACAACATAATTCATCAGTTTATTGACTCATTTTGAACTGTGTGATTATGCTGGGTTTGTAAAGTAGTTTGCAAGATTTTAAGATGCATTACTTTTGATTTAAATTAGTTTAACATATTACATAATTGGCATTTTTTTAAAAAGATGCATTCCAGCTATTATTGAAGTTTGAGGTGCTGAGAAGTTGTTTTTGTTAATCTCATTTTGTAACAGATAAAGTCAAATAAGAAGCAAAAAGGATTTCACAACCAAAGATTTGACTAGAAACTGCAAGGCTATACCTGTAAAACTAAAAGAAACTGCCTTTAAAATGTAAAAAAATATGTGTTATATTGTGCAGAAACAGGGTGGAAATCTGCAAGATCTAAAAAAGCCTGAAGCGCACATAGTCTTCAGCACAGAAGTCCTAAAGTGATACAGCTAATGAAGAAAAGATAATGTTAGGTTTGAGAGCTGCAGTGCTCTGAGTTCTTCTGTCTTCATGTTGCAGTACAACACTGATGCAACTTCCCTATGAGTTTGTCTGCGTCAGCCACCGTGAGTCAACTCCCCTAAAAAAAGACAAAAAATATCTATACTTTGTATGTAGGGAAACATAGATGTACAGTTTCAGTCAATAAGGAGGAACAGAGATGAGCTTGTGCATCTGGGTTTCGATTGCTCGCCTCAATTAAAGGTAATTATGTCAGAATACATAAACCCTAACCCTTCAAATGAGGAATGAACAAACAATGTTTGCTGGAATAGGGAACAATGCCTTCTGTTCATGCAAGCACCGACAAAACTATAGGTATCATCAGTCTAGTGTGAAGAAATGTCTCACTCCTGGTTGACGGCAGGGAGTGACAGAAGCTTCTGGTAGTGTCACAGTTACGGTTCAGATGATAGAAGGAAGTGCTGTGGGGCTGAAAATAGGCTGAGCACAAGTGCTAACACAGTTTGACAGAAACTCACAGACTATGAGCACTCAGCTGTAAAAAGGGTGAGTTTGAGAATCCAATGATATAATGTTTCAGGTCACTTGACCTTTGTTGCACTTGTACTTTTGTCGTATTTTAGAAGAGAAAGTGCTCTTTGCACCTTAATGGGTCATTCAGGTTGAAAATACAGTGTGTATTTCTCTAAAAGTATTGGTTTTATGTGATCTAACTGTATCTCTGAATTTATCAGTTCAGTTTGACCTGGTTTTAATTTTCCTATGAGTAAGAAGGCCTAAACACAGGCCAGTGACATGTTTGTTGACATTAAATTGAGATAAAAGCAGTGTCCTTTTTAAAATATTATTAGTATTAAAGAGGATTTGCTTTCCTTCGTATATTTTCATATTATTCTTACAGTTACAGTTGAGGGGGTCCTCTATCAAACATCAGAGCTACTTTGCCCCACTCTGCTCTCATCTGATAACTTCGGCCTGTCTTTGAGATGCATGTTTGTATTTGGCACAGCTGGTCAGCAGGTGTTAAAGATGAAGCACAGTAATAGCCATGAACTAAGATATGACTGCCCTTTTGTCAGCCTGCTTGATCTTATGATGTAGGTTAAACGTAACGCTGTGAGTGTGAAGGCTTGCTCTCATCAGCGATATGAAACTGTGATTTCAGAGGGTTTTCGTGTGAACTCGTGACACTAACTGGTTGTTTCTTTTTCAGTGGAGACACAGGAATTATTCAGATAGTATCATAAATTCTGATGGATTTGAATATATGTTTCTATGGAATGTAAGAGCTGGTTGTAGGGCAGCTGCTTTGAATATCCAGTCTATTACTTCTGTTCTTGTGTTAAGCATATTTCTGTGTAATTCTTTTGAATGTCACTGATGGACATTATTTTGCAGTTGCACGTAATCAACCACACCCTATATGTATAGAATTATAAATAGAGCCTTGTTTGTTTGATGGTTCATTGTTTAATTTAAGTCCAAATTTATTTTGGTCAAGTACAAGATATTTAATTTGAAAATCAAACATTTAAATATGTTAAATCAGCATAAAATTGTTCTGGTTTTGCTTTGCTAAAAAATGCTCTTAGGTTTCTAAAAGTAGTAATGTGTGTACATTTGTGTCTACCAGTCAATCAAACACATCAGGCACCATGACAAAAGTGGGGATAAGATTGATTCAAACAACTTCTTGCACCAAAATGATCCCAGAAATATTTAATGGCATTAGAGTTTATAGTAGACATACAGGAGTTTTAGAGGATGTATTCATCCATATCTGCTTTCACAGCTTCCCATCATAAACATATATGGTGCACAGAGCTGATATGAGCTGATATGATGATGGTCAGGTGGGGAATTGTAGACACAGAGGATAAGGCTGTCAGTAAAAGCAGGCTCATGCAAACTACAGCTAATCACACGGTGATGTGTGAAAGTTCTCATGCCGCCTCATCTCTGTCCTTATCTCTCCTCCTATAGCAGCTACAGTAGTATTTCTCTCCATCTACGAAGAGTGGCACATGCAAACTTACATTAAGTTTAAATAAACTTTTCAACTGGATTGCAGACTTCAAATAATAAGGGTGAAGAGCCACATGAAACAAGAGTTCTAGTTAAGCCATTGATGAGGGGTGAGCCAGTCACACTTCTCAACAAAATAACTGACGCCTGAGCCAAGGCGCGTATTTCTAGCTTTTCGGCTGCAAAGGAAGAAGCCAAGTGTTGTGCCTCTGTATTGTGCTGCTAAAAATCTATATTCTATCTTTGATTTTTATCTTTTCTTTCCTGTAGACTAATCCTGACTGAATCATGTCGGAGAGTATAATGGAAGAAATCTTCATTAAACGCTCTCAGCAAAAGAAGAAAACCTCACCCTTGAATTACAAAGAGAGATGGTTTGTTCTCACCCAGGAGAAAATAGCCTACTATGATTTTGATCCTGAAAAAGGGGTATGTATGTATGTATGTATGTATATAATGACTAAAAGTAATGCTTTCACCAGAATGTTTTCTACCTTTCACTTTAAAGCTACATTTGTCGGTCATTACTTGAGCTGTTTCCTCATCTGTTAAGCAGAAGCGAAAAGGTCTGAGAGGATCAGTTGACCTTGAGAAGATCAAGTGTGTTGAGACTGTTCAGCCAGAGCCCAACGCCCCACAAGAGCGCACGTATGCATTCCAGGTAGACATATTTAATCAATATACTGGATAAAACCACCCAAAGACATATACAGATGTTACAGAAAAAGCTGCGACAAAAGTGTTTTATTTCAAGCAAAAAGGTTTTTCTTTCACTCTGGGATGAATGAGGTGATCAAACTTAATGATAAAATGAGACTCGTGATCTCACACAAGCTATTACAGATAATAAAAAAGGCACTCACAACACAGATTTGATCAGATCCATTCTCCTACTGTTGATAAATGTGAAAGTTCAGTGTCAAGAAGTGAAACCATCTCTTATCCTCAAGTAAACCAGGGGCTTTCAGTGACCCTGCAGCTGTTATCTTTGCAAATGTGTAACCTCACATGACGAGGTGGTGTGAAAAAGGTGTTTACCTGTAATTGAAAGCCCCTAAAATTTACATTATAGGAGTTTCTGTCCAGGTCTACTTTGAATATGATGGCACACTAGCACTCAGTTTTGTTGCTCTTAACTCTGTCTTTTCTGGTGATGCAGAAAATATCTTTTAATCATTGTGAACGGTGCAAAACGTCTGATTGTTTTTTTGTGTGTTTGTGTGTATTTCCACTTTGGTTATAGATCGTTTATGATGAGGGGCCGCTGTATGTCTATGCAAAGAATGAGGATGTCCGGGATCAGTGGATAAAAAAGCTGAAAGAAAGTCAGTATATGCATATAACTAAGTCCACACACCTGCATGTTACTGTGTCTTGTCAGACTTAAAATCTTATAATCTCTGAATCTGTAATATTTGACGTTATCATAATGTCGCCCAGAAAGAGTTGGTGTCAATGCAAATGCCAGGCTTGATTCAATGTAAATGTTCTGCGTATGTGCTTGTCTGTCTGTGTGTGTGTGTGTGTGTGTGTGTGTGTGTCAATGCACAAAGTGGTGCGCTTCAACAAGGACCTCATGCAGAAGTATCATCCTTGTTCCTGGATGGATGGGTTGTGGCTGTGCTGCCATCAGGAAGTCAAACAAGCCATGGGCTGCAAAGTGCTGGATAACAAAAACGGTGAGGGTTCCTTTAGTTTGAAGTCGACAACTTCAAACTATAACTCTCGTTCACTTTAAATTCATCACTCGAATAATGTCATCAACAGGCTTTACATCCAAACAATCCCGGCGAAGAGGATCCAGGAAACCTCTTCCTCCTACGCCAACAGAGGTACATGCATTGCCCCTTTAAATCATTATTATCAAGTGTGTTTTTGAAATAATTCATACAATAACCCTGCATATTGTTGCAGGAAAAGCCCAGTCGGCCCTTACCTCCACAGCCGCCAGAACCGGCGGGCCCCTCTGTGGGTATGACTGTCATAGCAGAGTATAACTACACACCCATGACGCCTCAAGACCTGGAGCTGAGAAAGGACGAAGAGTACACCATCCTGGAGATGTCTGATGCCAACTGGTGGAGAGCACAGGACAAATATGGGTGAGTTAGACAACCACAAACAACTTATTCAACCTGAAACAAAAAATCCATGATGGTTAAAACTCTGATTCTACTGATTATCTTATAAATTTGAGTACCAAGGACACGTACATTAATGGTGTTTGCAGCCATGATTGCAGTATGAATAACTTAATACATTTAAAAGGCTCATGCAATCTTTCCTATGCACCATCCCTATAAGCTGTTAGCTTATGTTTAACATCGGTTTGAATTCTTTTTCAGCAATGAAGGATATATACCAAGTAATTATGTTGTGGAAGCAGAGAGTGGCCTCGAGAGATTTGAGTGAGTATTAGTTTTAATTCAGCTTCTAAATGGGGCAATTGGTGTTTAATAAGTGGTTTTATTTCGAGTTTGCAGTGGAGTTCCTTGTTTGTGTAAAATGTAACTTTGATATTGAAGGCAGAAATTTCTGTTTACAGCTGGTACTGCAAGAATATGAATCGTAGTCAAGCGGAAAAGCAGTTAAGAACCGAGGTAAACTCCATGACTTCTGCACAGCTATAGCACTATAACTTTTGACATATTTCAGCAGCTAGAAATAAGGAAGAGCTAAAAAAAAAACTAATTTAATATGCTTGTGCATCACTCCCCAGAACAAAGATGGAGGCTTCTTGGTGCGCGACTCAAGCAAGGCCGGGAAATACACAGTGTCTTTGTTCAGTAAGGGTGGAGGGTGAGTAAGCTCAGTGGTGTTAAACACCACACTGTGGTGTACCATTTACAGTATATCCTCTATCCGCTGGCTCCAGTCATGTGTGAACGTATGAAAAGCAGAACTGTTTGTAATGAAAGCGGAAACAGTGGGCCACAGTGGGAGAAAGATGTAAATTATCATGCAAAACATGGACTAATCTGCCTGCAGGAGTTTTTTATGGCAGAGCTCTGGGACTGAGCTGTATTGTGGATGATCCTGAGGAGATATAACCTGCTTATGCATAGGTGGTGAAAGATAGCTTCCTGTGTTGACGAATCACTTAATCTTTTTTAAGTCACTCTTCATACTGTCTCTACAGGGAAACTGGAGGAAGCTGCAGACATTACAACATCTGTACCACCGCACAGGGACAGTTTTACCTGGCAGAGAAGCATAATTTCAGCAGCATCCCAGAGCTCATCAACTATCACCAGCACAACGCAGCAGGTTAATCCAGCAGCTGATATTAAATAGAAGACTTATGAAGTGATTTTATTGGATTTGAACACTCTGCCATGCAAAAAGAAACTGATTATGAAGAAAACAGCAAACACAAGCACATAAAACCTGTTAGCTTTAAAGGTAATATTGGTTTTTTTTCATCACCCTCTGTAGGCATGGTTAGCAGGCTGAAATACATTGTCACCAACCGGCCACGGCCCCCATCAACAGCAGGTCTGGGCTATGGTAAGAGTATTTTAATATGACTGCTACCTCTGGACACAGAGCTAAGATACACCTGCCTTTTTGCTTGTTTTTAAGAAAAAAACACCTTTGTTTCATTTTCTGTTGAAGAAGTACAACATAAGTTTAAAAAGAAAAAGTTAGTTAGTTCAGCAGCTTGGTATGCTAATAATGGGCACAGTCTGATTAGCTGTCTCCATCAGCTCAAATGGCTGCTTCTCAGAGCTCCACATATGACACTGAGACACTCAAACCTAACTCTCTGCAAGAAAACAAAATGACATTTTCTGCTTGTTGATGTTTCCTCCAGGTGTTTGGGAGATAGATCCCCATCACCTGACCTTCATCAAGGAGCTCGGCACCGGTCAGTTTGGAGTGGTCAAGTACGGAAAGTGGCAGGGCCAGCATGATGTCGCTATCAAAATGATCAAAGAGGGCTCAATGTCTGAAGATGACTTCATAGAAGAAGCCAAAATCATGATGTAAGAAAAAAACACGAGTTTATGTGTGTGAGTTTAAACTAACTTGTACTTTTCTGCCATAGAGATGTTATGACAGACTTAATGACGGTCACCATTAGAATTGATGTGTCACGCTGAAACTTCTGTGACGATAGCCAATGCCTAATATTCACAATAACTTCCCTCTAATTTCGCTCAAACCAGGAAGCTTCGTCACGAGAACCTGGTCCAGCTCTATGGCGTGTGCACCAAACAAAGACCTATTTATATAGTGACTGAGTTTCTTTCCAATGGCTGCCTGCTGACGTACCTCAGGGAGGGCCTGAAGCAACATCCTACGGCTGTCCAGCTCCTCGAGATGTGTAAAGACGTCTCAGAGGGCATGGCCTACCTCGAGTCACAGCAGTACATCCATCGAGACCTTGTGAGAGATTTAAACTATAATATGAGCAACTGCAAAAACATATCCATGTAAAATTTTAATCACAATAATACACCTTGGGATGAAGTATTTAAAAAAAACACCATACATGAGTAATGTTCATTTTCCCCAGGCTGCCAGGAACTGTTTAGTCGATGGTAACGGCACCATCAAGGTGACTGACTTTGGCCTGTCAAGGTAAAACACAACATTTAGCGGCAGGACAAGGCAAAACACACAAGTACTAAAACTGTAGAAAACGATTATCCTTTTTTGCTTCTTTGGCTGTTAATGACAGCAGATAACTTTTTAAATCAGTAAAGTTACATTCTTTGTACTAAATTTGTCTTTATTTAAGATTTTAACTCCTGGTTTTACTACAAAAGTGTTGAATCTTGTTACTCCATTACATTAACATTACAAAGTAAGTTCCCTCCTACTATGGCCTTTAATTATGTACAGAAAAAGATGGTCTGAAATATAGAAATGCATAAACCTACTACAACTAGCTCAACCTAATTCAACTGAACACTTCTAATTGATGCAGAAGTATGAAATATCCCATTACATGTTGGTTGATAATGTTACACTCCCACTAGACTACCTCTATTTATTTCAAAATACATTTACTTTTTGGGAATACATAAATCTTAGTATTTAAACAGTTTTATCATGTGTCCATTGACAGTTTGTGTTAAATATTCAGTATCAATATTCTTTTTACCACACCACAGGTATGTTTTAGATGATGAGTACACAAGCTCAGCAGGTTCCAAGTTTCCTGTTCGCTGGTCACCTCCTGAAGTCCTCCTCTACTGCAAGTTCAGCAGCAAGTCAGACATTTGGGCATACGGTGAGTAAACCTAGTGTATGTGTACAATAGTGTGTGTTTTGGAACCTAAAGGCCTCTAGTTACTCTAGATTCAGATCTGTGTTAAAGTTTCACAGAGGTTCATCTGTTTCTGTAAATACACAGGGGTTCTTATGTGGGAAGTGTACACTCTGGGTCGTCTTCCGTATGAGCGCCTCAACAACACAGAAATAGTGGATCAGGTGTCCAGAGGCCATCGCCTCTACCGCCCCCAGCTGGCCAACGAAAGGGTCTACAGCATTATGACAAGATGCTGGCTTGAGGTAAATATATATTGTTTTGTAAGTACTGAACCAGAATATTCTGAATGCTAAATTCACAGGTTCTCTTTGTTCTATTTTTTCAGAAAGCTGATGAGAGGCCAGCCTTTGAGGAGTTGGCTGTTACTGTTCAAGATTTGTTGTATGAGTTACAATAGACTTCAAAATAAACCATGGACTCACAAAGTTATACCCTGTTTGGCTTGAGCATAAAATGCAGAGTCACTCTGAGGTCTTCTGTAATGTAAATATACATAAAGTGAGAGTCACTTTAGCTCACTGGTTGTGATAGCTCTCCAACAACACTGTTCTGGGTATAACACCTCATCTAAGATGTGTATATTTTATTGAAAGTTATTGCATTAAAATAAATTGTGTTTGTCTTCATTGTGTACGGTGTGATATCATTTTAAAATATGAACACTTTCACTTTCAGTAAACACATCAACTTAAGTGATTAATTCAAATCCTTAAATTAATTTTAAATAGTGAGGTTTAAGTCAGTCTACAATGACAGTTGACGTTATGTATGATGACGGACGCCGCCAGAGGAACCCGCTTGAACGATTGGTTCATTTACTTCCTGTTTCCCGTCGTTCATACATACATGCACGTGAAGGTCAGTAAAAGAGCTTCACTAGATCGTTTTTTTAGAAAGTAGTCCATCAACTCACACTCTTTAGAGGACAATGGACGGTCAGGGAGCGACAGCTGACCCGCAACTCCAACAGTTCATCGAAGTCGAGTCTCAAAAACAGAGATTTCAGCAGCTGGTGCACCAGATGACTGAGGTTTGCTGGGTAAGATTAGCTTCGAGCTAAAGCTAACGTCGCATCTCATGGATAAACTCTTACCTTCTGCTGACAGCTGGTGTTGCTGGAAAAGCTGCGGATCCATTTGTCATTTGCTTTTGTATAATAACTGATTTAACGCTTACAGTAACTTGTCTAATGTAACGTCTTTGCTTTAGGTCACTTTTAAATGAAGTGCGGCTGTGGATTGCCAATGACTAACTGTTTCACTTTAACGTCTCTTGTAATATCTGAGGTGTCTATTCTCCGCAAGAGACCTTAAATAGTACCGTTTATATCTTGTTTTTTTTTTACACTGCCACTCAGGACATAGCTGCATGTTGGAGGTCACAGCTGGGGCAAGCCCACGTTAACGTCCACACTTTGTAAACATACACATCTATCCATCTTGTGACTTTATTGACTTTAAAAAGCTTTTTATCTATTCAAAGCTCTACTCTCATTTGTAGGTATTGTAACGAAAGATATTCACAACGTTTGTCTCGAATAAATTGTGTGACAGATTACATTTAGTTGTTGACTTAGTTTTTAAATGTGCACTTTTACTCAGTTATTTTCCAGCAATTATTTTGTCACTGTCTGTTATACAATGTGGGTATAAATGATATCATTGTGGTTATCTGAAATTCTCATTTTGACAAGCAAGAGCTACAAAACAAACATCCAACATTCAGTCCAGCATTTCGGTGTTAAAGGGATATTCAGGTGTAAAGTAAAGTTAGTGTCAAACACACCGTAGAAACACTGAGTTAGACACCCCCTCGAGAGATGAATGTTGCAACCGCTTGCTTCTCTAGTTCTATCAATTTTAGTAACGACACTAGTAACACCACTCTATAGCCTCAAATAATGCTCAGAACAGCACCTAACTTCATCAACAGTACATAAAGGGTCCAAGCCACAGCACTAGCCACCAAACATCTTTTTAGCTTTGCCTGTTTTCTTTAGCAAAAACTACTCACTCTCTCTTCCAGCAGCCACTTGTTTGTACGGAGACCTCCGGGAGAGTCCATCGACTGCAGTGGGGTGACGCAGCTCAAGAAGGAACATTTATGATCATTACTTTATCATTTCCTTGAAGTAATAATCATCATGTTAATCAATTTGCACTGCAGACGCCATAGTTCTTCTGCCTTAGCATCTTGGTCTGATGGCATTTCCATGAAGAAATGATCATAAATGTTCTTCCTTGAGCTGCGTCACCCTGCTGCAGTCGATGGATTCGCCCGGAGGTCTCTGTACAAACAAGCGACCGCTGGAAGGGAGGGTAGTGTTTGCTAAAGAAATTAGGCAAAGCTAAAAAGATGTTTGGTGGCTAGTGCTATGGCTAGGACCCTATATGTACTGTTGATGAAGTTAGGTGCTGCTCTTAGCATTATTTGTGGCTATAGAGTGGCTTTTTGGTTGAGCATGTGGCTCTCTGTATTGTTATCATGCGGTCGTTACAAAAGTTGGTATAACTAGAGAAGCAAGCAGTCGGCAACATTCATCTCTCAATGGGGTGTCTAACTCGGTGTTTCTACGGTGTGTTTGACCCTAACTTAACTTTACGCCGGAATATCCCTTTAAAACCTCTGGTCATACAAAGACTATCATGATAAAAGTATTTTCTTCAACATCTCTGATTTCAACAGACCAACTGTTTTTGCTGAATTTGATGTACTGCGTCTTTTAGCTGCCTCATTGGTCTGTCTCTGTCTGCAGGAGAAATGCATGGATAAACCCGGGCCAAAGATGGATTCAAGGACAGAAATGTGCTTTGTTAACTGTGTGGAGAGATTTATTGACTCGAGCCAGTTCATCCTAAACAGACTGGAACAGACCCAGAGGGGCAGGGGCTCATTCTCTGAAACCATGGCAGACTAAATATTATCTCAGAAAAGACTGATGATACACAAGGCACACAGCAGCCGCTCTAAGAGGACGCTATTGGGTCTTGATGCAGCTGGCTGTATGTCAGTGAACTGTCCCTACATCTGGAAAAAAAAGGAACATCATCAAGTGTTGCTTTTGATACAAGTGCCTGAGATAAACATCATGTAAGGAGGAATGAAAAAGTCTTGTTTGTCCCCCGTTTAGCAGGATATAAGTGTTAAAATGCTTTTATTGTAGTCTTCTGCCGTGTTGGTTTTGTCATGGGTACATGGAAATCAAATCTGTTAAGAGGTCACACTAGAAGCTCAAATGGTCGACAACCACTGCTTCAACTACCGAGCCAAGCGTTGGCACCCACAGAAAGATGATTGCACCGAGGTCATTCAGCCGACCAGCTTTTTTTCGACAGCCACATGGACATCACCATCTACTCCATAATAGCTGAAGTGAAAAGATGATCATGTCATTACAGAGGAGGCGAAAAATGGACTGTGTGTATGCAATAAACAATATGCCAAATAATTCTGTAATCTTTTGTACAATTATTGTCAATAAGTCATATTTTAATCAGCATTATCAAACACACAAAAAGTCTCTGTTAATGTCAGAGGCGTGTTGCAGCCTGACACGTTTGTAATAATTGTATACAGAGAAAGAACATTCTTTGGTGCTGTTTTTATATAACACTGAGGTATAACAGAAACACATCAAAGGTTATTATCCTGAACACATGATTGAATTACATAGTGGCAATTTTTTACACTGGTCGTAAAATAATACACTATACTATATACACTAAGATTTTAAGTGCAAAACTAAGAGTGAGGTTGTTTTTAGTAACATAAGGCACAATCTGGTTTATGCAGGCATGTAACTGAAAACAAAATATAAATAACTTTTTAAATACTGAGCAGTTTTGGGGGGGATTTTAAATCTGGTTCAGTGTAATACTTGTGTTTTTACATGACCCAGAAAAAAGCTTTCTAGACCAAAAGGGAGTTAAATTTTCTATGTGGTTATTCTTTTATAAATGGCACTGCTGCTACAGGTGCATGACTTAATAAATCAATATAAAGCCAGCAGATTAAAGCCTTTTGAATCACTTTTCCACACTATGTTATCTGGTTAAAATACAGTAGAACAGGTATTTTGGTTTAAGAAACTACACATTTGCAAACAGGACAAAAATGGAAAAGAGAGAAGACATCCATGGGGTGGAAAACTAAAGTTTCTCACAGCTGCTTTCTGATTACATCTCTGTCCTCTCTTTTCTTAACTATTTCCTCCACATAAAATCCAGTGTATTGGAAGAGACAATTTTTCCTCTTAAGCAACTTTGCTGCTGTGTTGTGTAAACCACATTTGACTTCACTTGTGATACTAGGATACTTTTAAAGCTAGGAATTGCTATCACATTTTTTTTTTTTAATTGTTGAGAAGACAACCAGCCCTCCTTAAGAAGTTCTCTGGTGCATACCCCACCCCCCCTTTGAGCCTCCTTCTCTGGGTAACTTTGTCTCGTCCTCCGCTTGGGTGTCAAAGGTAGGGAGAGCCACGTAAGGCTGGTTCCCACCAGGGAACCCTTGAGGACCCTTCCTCAGGTAAAGTGGGAGGGAATCCCAGCTGAACGTGATGTCCTTGAAGGCATGGAGGAGGAAGATCCCCAAAATGATGGTCAGGAACCCGCTTATGGTTCCCACAATCCCATCAGTGGTCATACTCAGCCATTCTTTGAAGAGGATGGCTGAGCAGGCCATGACAGAGGTGGTGAAGAAGACGTAGTAGATGGGAGTGACTAAGGAGGTGTTATAGATGTCGAGGGCTTTGTTCAGGTAACTGATTTGAACGCTGACGCAGATTACCAGGCAGATGACTAAGGACCAGAACAAGGGTTCCTTCAGCACTGCTGTACCAGCAAACAGCTCCTTAATGCCAATGCCCAGGCCCTTTACACAAGACACAGAGAGGGAGCCAATCACAGAGCAGATCAGGATGTAGACCAGGACATTCTTCTGTCCAAACCTCGGAGCCACAGCAAAGATAAGAACCAGGCTGCTCCCCACAACGCACACAGCATACACAATGAAACCTAATGGGAGTATTCAAGAAGGAGTTAGTACCCTGACAGATACTCATTCAACCCTTGTCTGGGATTCAGTTTTTGCGGCATGGTTAATCAGATCACGCTGATTAAGAACTAGTCCCACCTGGGTCTTTGAGCTTTTCTGCCATGGCAGCGAGAGACGCAACCTCCTCCTCCTGCGGAGCATGGATCACCATCACTGTGGAGCCCATGACACAAAGCAGACAGCCGATCTTCCCGTGCACATTTAGTCTCTCATTCAGAAAGTAAGAGGACAGCACAGCACTGGAAAGAAAGATTGGCACAGCGAGTTGGCAGTTTTATCAATACTATATCACAAGCATCTAGCAAGTGGGGCGTTGTTGGCCTAAACAGTCCCCATATATGGAGGTTGGGGAGTTTTCTATACCAGATTGTCTTTAAACCTATCTTTTTATCTTTTTTGAATTTTTAAGTGATTTATAATCATTGCTGTTTTTGTTAAATATTTTTTGAAAAGGAGGTTAACAGTTTTGGTGAAATGTTGACCCTGTTTGGCCCTCAGGTTCGACCTAAATCCAGATTATGGCCCTTGCTGTGGTTGAGTTTGACACCTCTGATCTACATAAAGGCATGAAAATACCCCAAAATAAAATTTAAAGTAGTAGTATAAATATAATTTTTGTTTTTGGTGGAATACTTGACACATGGTGAGAGCTGCTGTGATAATATTAAGAACATTTGGACCTGAAGTGTAACATTATTTCTATACAAAAGTTTAAAGGTAGTAAACATTAATGAGCAACAACAGGGCCTTTTTTTTATTTTGGTCTCCCAGCATTATATGGGAATCAGTAAACCACTGCATCAGATACATGCGATTTAAGAGTACCAGCTTTATCTGCTCAGACAAAGACCACTGATTTTAAAAACAACTAACACAAAAACATGGTGAATATATGCTGTGAAAAGTCTAAGAGCTGTTGTTGTCTATGTTAATATCATTGAATGCCTCTTGCCAATTAAATAAATGGTTAAATCTGATCGTTTTGTTAATTGTAAACAGCCTGTAGTGCAGAAAAGGTCAAGTTTATTACTCTTCTAACTCTAGTTTAACTGAAGAAATTAAAAAAGACAATACCTTACAAGCACACTTAGTGCTCCAAGAGGAGTTACCAGTGTGGCTGGTGCGAATGCATATGCAGCAAAATTAGCCGCTTCCCCAGCTCCCACTGAAATGAAAACATGACCGACAGTTGACATTCACTTATTAGTTTAGCCGCTGATCAAACAAAGGAAAACAGTTCTCTTTCAAGCCTTGTGTGCAAATGTGCTCTTTGTAAGGAATGTGTGCTTCAAAGAGATGGTGTGCCTGCTGCACCCACTGCCATGTCACTAGCATAAATACCAAACCCACAAGAGCCCCATTGCCCTCTTGGGAACAAAGACCACAATGTTTTCCAGTATGGTTGGCAAGCTGCATTTCCAAGTGTAATAAAAACAGCTGTCCATGACACTAGTTACATTGAAATCAATAAAGGGTCTACTTACTTGAAATCAGTCCTGCCCACCAGAGCCATTCTTTCAGGTAAGCATACCCCCCTTGACCTGTGAAGTGCATAAAACAACATATCCTGTATTAAACTGTACTACTATGATACCTTTATTTCAACACCATGCAGTACACTTCTTTCTTTCTTTTTTTTTAAACATATTTCAACATGTAAAATGGTTTGATACGTGTTACCAAGCATTGTTTTGTCCTCTATCAATAACTATTCAATCAGCTGATCAGGTTTAAATGCTCTTCCTACCTGCTCGCATTGATCCCTTGCTGGCCAATCGCAGCAGGCCTTTCTTTTTCAGGATAAAACTACCGCCGATAAAAACACTGGAGCTCACAGCCAAAGCGAGACCGATGTAGAAGTCTGTACGGTTCACTTCCATCTGAAACAGTGGGTAAAACAGAGGTGAATTTCCGACATCTGCTGTGAAATTAACTAACTTTCGTAACTTTCGGGAGGAGTCCTTCAACAGGCACCCGCTGTTTAACATCACATGATAGGCTGACTGCGACTACCGCTACAAAGTTTGAACAAGCTTTAACGGTAAGATATGTTAGGAAATTGGAAATAAATTCTCTCTAATACCTCAAAGTTTAGTTGGGTCACTTATTTTTCATGAGATGCCGTTTAAATATAAAGTTTTTAAAATCTTTACCTCCGTTATCACGTCAACCCCATTCGTCGAACTGTCTAACTGCAGGAAGTGGAGCAGCTGATTGGCTAGCTGTCATCACGGTACTTCCTGGTGGTTGCCTCGGAAACGACAGGGAGGGAGGAGGCTCTTCCGCAAGATTTTTTTGTAAACGTTTTATTATTCGTCAAAATACAAACATTAAGGCACATTGGTGATATTTACAGTATAAAGTATAGAACCAGCTGTATAGATTAACAAAAGAACATGAAAAAAAGAGAAAAGAGAATGTGAGGGTCTTATTCTGGGATATTAAATAAGTCGAGTAAAGAAAACAGTTTTAGGGCATTTTTGTTTTTCATGTCTTTCAAAGATTTTTTGTATATTCTTAGTTCGTTTATCCATCTATTAAGTTGGGCTTCATCTTGAGGTTATTATAATAATAATTATATTAACAACAACAACAACAACAACAACAACAGCAACAACAACAACAACAACAACAACGATAATAATAATAATAATAATAATAACTACATTTTTATAACACTTTTAAAAAGGAAATCTTTCCTGCCAGTGGTCATGAGACTTTTAACTCGTCCCTCAGAGTCTCTGACACCCTCAGTCAGAAGTTTTTACCTGGACTCTGCTCACTGTTTCACAAGCATACGTTTTTACTATTTTGTGTTGTATATAGTGTAAATACTTGTATATTATCTCTATATTTTTACTTATCACATCTATTATTTATCTCCTCTTATACTGTATTTGCACTGGAGTACTGTGACAGAGCAATTTTCCCCAGGGGATTATTAAAGTATTGCTGATTCTGATTTTGCTTTATGAGGGATTGGATGAGACAAGATCGTTTCCTTCTCGTTCTTGCTTCAACAACACCATAATCTCTCAGAACATACTTATCAACATACTATCATAGTTGATAAGTGAAGTACTGTGCAGTCAAAACATTTCTAATAAACTTATTAGAGAATACTTTGCTACTCAAGATTGTACCTGTGTAATTCATAAATCAATAATCCTGCTCAGTCAGAGAGTATCTTTATTCATACCATTGGTGCTTTTACAGAAAATTCCTCTTTAAAGTGTATCTAATAAGTTATCAGAAAGTCTTTCTCCACCGTATTGTAAAGAGTTTACTGTATTTTCACGCCATTTCACCACAGTAAGTGTTGTTTCAATGTTTGTAACTTGTCCCTGAAGGACCCCCAAAAGTCAACAAATCTGCTCTGTTGGCCAAGAGGACTACTCACAATCTGATTGGTTGATAACACCTGACGCGCACTACCCCGCGTTTTGATTGGTTTCCTGATCCCGGAAGAAGAGCTAACCTTGACAAGTGAGCGTAACACATGGAAGCTGCAACAGGAAAAAAAGCATCAATTTGGACAATAAACATCAGCGAAATTGGAGTGAACAACCAGGATTGATGCCCGTTCTTCATTGTTCTTGTGTTGTGGTTTCTACTCGAAAATTTGAAACCGTTTACTTGGCTGCATGAATGGCTAGCACTGATATTGCTGCTACATGAACTAGTGTTTGGTGTAATTTCATGTTCATCTGCTCCCCAATGATGAAGAATCCTTTGCTGTCCGTCGTCAGAAGCTGTAAATCGGTGCAAAGACTTCTACAAAGCCCAGCATCTTCTCCACTTTCAGCCTTGTTAACAAAAAGGAGGATTATTATATCGAGATCTACGAGCTCACATGTCTGCAAAGATGACAAGATTCACTACATAACTACTCCTATCTTCTATGTGAATGCCTCTCCTCACCTGGGACACCTATACTCAGCAGTGATAGCTGACTGCCTACACAGATATAAACTACTGAGGGGCTTCAACTCAAAGTTTGCGACAGGTAATTCTTTCATTCAGTAACTTTGTCAGCCAAAACATGGATTTAAAGTAGGGGAGAGTGGGGTAAGATGAGCCAAAGGCTAAATTGAGCCACCCCCTGTTGATTGGAAATGGTAAAAGAAATCAATCATGTGACCAAATATTTAGGAGATGGGCATCAATTCATGGAGTCTGTGAAGGTTAGAAGCACATGGGTGACGGGGTTAGACATTTATTTTCAAACCAAAATGACCAATGGTCAACTTACCCCACAGACGGGGTAAGTTGACCATAGGAGACCACTTTTTTTTGCATTTTTTATTATCAAGACAGTTATGTTTACACTCATTCTGTTGGTTTGCAGGGATGAACAACATCCTGAAAAATATACAGATACACTAAATAGAGACAAAACTATGATTGCCTTGATGTAGTGATCCGAAATATGAAAAATGGCTCATCTTACCCCACTTTCTCCTACTAGAGGCACTGAGGAATTTGAGCGAGATCATAATAATCATACACTTCATGTTACAGGTACAGATGAACATGGCTTGAAAATTCAACAAGCTGCCGAAGCTGCAGGAAAAGATCCCCTGACGTTCTGCACCGATGTCTCTCAGAGTTTCAAACACCTCTTCAGCACCTGCAATATATCATATACAGATTTCATCAGAACCACAGAGCAGAGACACCGAGAGGCAGTGGAGCATTTCTGGTCAGTGCTCTGGAACAAAGGGCTCATCTACAAGGGGAGCTATGAAGGCTGGTACTCCACTCAAGATGAAAGCTTCCTCACGCCATCACAGGTGGGGGATGCTTTGGACTCATCAGGCAAGGAGATCAAAGTGTCACTGGAGAGTGGACACAAGGTAAGATAAGATAATCGTAACAAAATGTGTTACAATAGTGACCTCGGGTAGATTTAATACTGATAGGTCCACCCCAATTTTCCCCTATGGCTAGGGGTGGGCAATATGGGAAAAAGTTTATCACAATATTTTTTTTTTCATATCAGTTGATATCGGTATATATCACTATGTAAAAAATGAAATTTGACAGTGCTTATTGGTAGCATGTTGTTAGCTATACAATAAGCTACTGCATCTGTGAGGTCTTTGTGTCTCTTCGACATTTTGTCGTAAGGTGTCGCATTAGAGAAAGTCGACTGAATGGTCGGCTGTTTCGGCTGCGCAGGCACCATAGGCTCCTTGCTCCGCTTGGGGTTTGTAACCTTTTGCATTGCGCGTGCTCTGCCGCGTGGCACTGCTTCAGGTGGGGAAAAAAATTTGAGGTATACCTCGACTTTGCGAGAACATGTACTTGACATAATTTGCAGTGCACATTACTCTGCTTCATGTTCAACCTCAAAAAACCAAAATACCTCCACACCACAGATGTTTTTTTTTTCCAGTGTTGTCAACGATATCATCATCTGTTGAGCCTTCAGCACATGATTAGTTCAGCGCAGAGCGGACCCGGGGCAACTCTCCTTTTTATTGGTTATTTGTATAGTCTACCAAAATATGCCAGAATGTCGACTATCTACAAGGATATTGACCATGTTTTATATTGATATTGAGGGAAATTAATTCTATATATATATCATTTTATCGCCCAGCCCTACCTATGGCTATACAAAATTTGCACAGCAGCACACAGCATTTGATATCAGTTATTTGTCTATCCCTTGTTGGGGGATGAATCAGTGACTTCCCACAATGTTTCAAACAAATTTCAGTCAATATCCAATCATTTCTATATCTTTTTTGATCATATAAACAAAACCTCAACCTCCTCTTCTTGGTCTTCTTGTAGGTGGAGTGGATGAAAGAGGAAAACTACATGTTCCGCCTGTCCGCATTTCAGTCTCAGCTTCTCAACTGGCTGAGAGGAAATCCTGCTGCCATACAGCCGGAGCGTTTCTACCAGACTGTTCTCCAATGGCTGCAGGAAGACCTTCCTGATCTCTCAGTGTCCCGTCAGAGAAGCCGCCTCCAATGGGGCATCCCAGTGCCAGGCTACCCTGAACAAACCATCTACGTGTGGCTGGATGCCCTGGTGAACTACCTCACCGTAGCTGGCTATCCAGAAAAACACAGTAGGTGGTGGAACGCTGCCCATCATATTGTTGGAAAAGACATCTTAAAGTTTCATGCCATCTACTGGCCGTCTTTTCTTCTTGGAGCTGAGCTGCCACTGCCACAGACGATTTATGTCCACTCTCATTGGACAGTTGGGGGAAAGAAGATGTCTAAAAGTCTGGGTAATGTGGTTGATCCTCTTGAACGATCACAGACTTTCACAACCGACGGTATGAGGTACTTTCTCCTGCGCCAGGGAGTCCCAGACACAGACTGTGACTACACTGAGGACAAAGTTTTCAAGCTCCTTAATTCAGAGCTCGCCGACTCTCTCGGTGGTCTGCTCAACCGCTGCACAGCTTTGGCTCTTAACCCAGCTCAGGTCTACCCTGCTTTCTGTTGTCAGTCCTTCTCACGTGATGAGGGAGGCAGGGCTGTGGCTGAAGACTACCACATGTTGGATGCGGTGAAGAATCTCCCTGCTGTAGTTGAGGAGCACTACGAGAGCATGCATGTGTACAAAGCTCTGGAAGCCATCAGCGCCTGTGTGAGGCAGACCAATGGGTTCGTACAGCGGCACAAACCCTGGAAACTTGATCAGAAGGACAGCAAAGACCTACGGTGGCTGGACACCATCATCCATGTGACACTCGAATGCCTCAGAGTTTATGCCATGCTCCTCCAGCCGGTGGTGCCAGAGATTTCTAACAAATTGCTGACAAGACTTGGGGTGCAACCAGCGGAGAGAAGCTGGGCAAATATGAACTTCCTGCCAAGGTACCAAGAGAAGGACTGTCCATTTGAAGGAAGAAAGCTAGGATCTGACTCGGGAGTGCTTTTTAATCGCTTGGAGAGTCGGAATGTGGATAAACAAAAACCAAAGAAGACAAAAAAGGCAACGAAATCTAGATAAATAGAAATTAAGACATGTTTTTCATTCCCTGTCCACAGACGCAGTTGATATAACAAATAAAAATCTGGATTTACCACTTAAACTTCTCTTGACTCATTAACATCTTGTCTGTTGGTTGCTGTGAATAACCGAGCCTGACAACTTGCTCCTTAAAAAGGTTGTTTGAGTCTGTTGACTTGACATTTCATGCTTTTTTACAGTAAAAACTGACCTTTTCAAGACAAGCAAGGGCTGATGCTGTTCATAATAGATGTTAGATATTTCAGCTAGTTTATCGGGGCTAAAAATTCTCACAGCTGATGTCTTTTTCTCTAAAGGAAGTCGCTTTTTGATCGACCTCTCGACTTCTTTGTGAGACTGATCACTCAATGGTTCTACAAAACATCTCACATGTTTTATAGTACCATTACTTTCATCCCTTCTTATTATGAAGTACTTGATTGCCAATAAACACAGCATACAGACCGCTAACACAAGCACAACACATAAAAACTGACATGATTTTTTAATGAGAAATACACGAAACTGAAAAAATTGTACAAATTGAAATAAAATAAAAAATTGCATTATTCTTATAATTTCTGGTACTTTTTTACATAGACTCTTCCATTATTAACCATTATCTGTTTACTTCGGAGCAGGATCCATCATCTGAAAAATCCATAATTATACGACTGAAGTCAAGATATTTCTGATCGTAGCCACGGTGGACGACATAAGACAAGGTTGTCCTGCGTAGTGGTCTTATGTGCCTTAGACAGCATACTTTATACTAAATGCATCTCATCTGCAGAGCTGGAACTTTCCACATAATTAGAGCCTTTTTGTCTGCACATGACTATGATCAAGCACGATCAGTAATATGAATTGGTGCCTTGTCCTGGTTGTGAATCTGAAAAGAGAACAGTTTTATTATAGACACAAACTCTTCATTTTTACATGTAAAAAGACAAATGTATGAACGCATGTTAATAGTCAAGGACGGGTGTTTTGACTTACTCGAGAGTTGCTGTTGGAGCTGTCTGACGAGAGCTGCAGTTTGCTGCTGCTGTTGAGTTTGCTGCATACCCTGTCGTTGAAACTAGAGACACACACACACACACACACACACACACACACACACACACACACACACACACACACACACACACACACACACACACACACACACACACACACACACACACAGAGTAATTTCATTTCGTATCATTTGTATGGGAGCCAGCAGTTTACAGATAACAAGTTATAACAGTGTCGGGCACAGATAACATTATTTTTTTTCACCAGGGACAACAAAGCATCTTTTCTTGAGGCTCCCGGTTCATTCATCTCAAGATAATGGGGTTTGTCTTTGCATGAAGAATTGACTTCAAAATAAGTTTCTGGTTTATTTGAACAGACAAAGATCGGCCTTCTGAGTCATTCTCATGTTACTGAGATGCCATTCAAGCGAACTAGGATGGCACTGCTGGCTTGTGATAAGCGTACAAAATTAGACAAAATGATCTTTTGTTTTCTGGTGACAACAGCTCCATAAACTTGTGACCAAAAAGTTTGAATGATGATAAAGTTATCTCCAAACGAAAATGAATTCTGATTCAGTTAATTTTGAAGAATTCAGCGTATTTAGATTCTTTTTTTTTTTTTTTAAACAAAACAAACTTGCAGGTCAACAACTGTGACCCAAACCCCTTGGGACTCATTGAAAGGAGGCAGCATTCCAACTGCAAGAGTTGGCAAGCAAAATGAACCTTTTTACAAGCTGTATATAGAGCCAGGAGTTATTTGCCAAAAACAGAGATGTGATTGTCAAAGGTCAAAAAAGCAGGAAAGTATGCAAAGCACATATCAAATTGAAACTGCAGAGATATTTTGTCTACATGTGTAACAGTATGTACAACCTCAGCCCTGTCTGTTTGCTAAATCCGATGAAAGACAGCCCACTTTATCAAACTGATCGAGGGTTTTGAGGTACTCTTCTGTGACATTTTGAGTTTAAAAGCTTTATTTCCAACATTTTAGCAAGTATAGGCCCTGCTTAAGTTCCTAAGATATTTTCTGATGTTAATTTACTCGTTTTTCTCCTCGTGTCCTGTTTTTCAGATGACACCTCTTGAATCAGGCATTGGCTGAGTTTGAGTTGAGTAATGGTTGAAACACTAACTTGATCAAGTAAAACCCATGCAGTTTTTTCTTCTTATACACAAAATGTATGAAAATATCTGTGACAGATTACACCTCAAAACTCTGAAAGTATGTCTCTTTACACTTTTAACCTACTAACAGCTGAACTACCTTGATAAGACCTACCAGAGGTTGCTGAGGTGGCAGTGGCTGCATGCCCAGGCCCTGGTTCTGGGCCTGGCCGGGTGGAGGCACCGCTGACACTTGCTGCTGCTGTTGCTGCTGCTGAGGAACCTGCTGTTGAGGAGGAACCTGCTGGGGTTGGACCTGCTGTTGCTGCTGCTGTTGCTGTTGTTGCTGTTGCTGAACCTGTTGGGCCTGCTGCTGCTGCTGTTGTGATATCTAGAAGTTAGGAAAGTAATGTTTAAGTCAGCTCTGTGTCTGATCTTCGCTCTACAGCACTCAATCCCAAAACAATCCCATTGACACTCTGTATTAGATAGAGTTGGCATAAAGTCCTGTATAAACGATGATGGTCTTTTGACTTACTCTGAGCGCTTGTTGTCTGAGGTACTGCTGCTGTTGCTGTTGTTGTGCTGCCTGCTGTTGCTGCTGTTGCTGCTGCTGTTGTTCTGCAAGCATTTGATTGGGCCTCATGCCTGAATGGACACCCTGGCCTCCCATGTGACTTAGGCCGTGCATGATGGGATTCTGCTGAAGGGGCTGGTGGGCAAACCTGAGATACACAGGGCGCAAAGAAGAAATATAAGGACAGTGAGCCCAGTAGAGAAGTGACAGTACTCCCATAACACTACTGCAGAAAAGCATGACTGCAGAGCATCACTGACCTCTGTGTGTTCTGCATATTGTGTGCGTAGCCTGGAGCCTGCTGGTGAACGTAACCACTGGGCCTCTGCTGCATTTGTCTCAGAGGATCCACCACAGCTGGGTTACCTCCAGGATGGGTGGCCTGGAAGTTTTGGTTCCCATAGGAGGGAGGAACTATACCACCAGCTTGGGAGGGATGTGGCTGCATCCCTATGTGTGATCCGTATGTGGTATAGCCCGGAGAAATGTTCTGAAATGTTTATAATTAAAAAGAGAAGGAGGACATTATGGACTTAATGACTGACATTGTCCAAGCCCAGGTAGGTTAACGTGGACATAGTAAGATAAGAATTTACAGAAAAATCTGAAAATGTCCTAACATGATGATTTTAAACAGCTTTTACCACTTTTAGTATTCTATGTGCAAATAAAGGTTCAAGAGTGCAAATAATGTAAGAGCGAGATGACTCATTTATAATCAGCAAAAATGATCAAACAAGAGCAACAAAGAAAGATTTACCTGAGATGCCTGAATTGGAGTATATTGGTTGGGTGTTATTTGTCTGATCTGCTGTCCTATCATGCCCTGATTCTGAAAACACAGACAACAATTCAGCAAAACAGCAGATTTCATGGTGAAAGAGTCGTACTAATGTAAGCACAGAAATGTTTTCCACAAGAATTGTTTATTTTAGACAGGAAAGGCTGTTTTAAAGCTGCGATGAAACTGACTGATCATAAGGAGGAACTTGACCAAGTCAATCAGGACTGACTCACCAGTCTGACCTGGAGCTGCTGTCGTAACATCTGGCCCTGAGGCATGCTAGGCTGGGGCTTGTAACCCATCGGGTACTGCTTATCCAGTCCCATCATGCCAGGCATGTTGCCCTGCATCCCAGGCATCATGCCTGGGTAGCTGGGACGAGTGGGCATCATCTTATTCATCTGTGGGTTGCGGTTAGGTCTGTATGGAGGTTCTAAACCTGGACCCCCTTTATAACAAGAAAAAAAACACAATTTCATATGTTCGTTTGTTGTTGGTGCTTGTGAGGAGTTTTAAAGGGATATTCCGGTGTAAAATTAAGTTAGGGTCAAACACACCGTAACATAGAGTTAGACACCCCCGTCGAGAGATGCATGTTGCTGACTGCTTGCAGTGGGGGTGCACAGCTCAAGGAACAACATTTGTGGTAATTTCTTCATGTAAATGCAATCAGACCGAGACGCTAAGGCAGAAGAACTACCTTGTCTGCAGTGCAAATTGATTCATATGATGATTATTACTTCAGTGAAATGATAAAGTAATGATCATAAATGTTCTTCCTTGAGCTGCGCACCCCCACTGCATTAGATGGACTAGCTGGAATAGAGTGAGTGAGTCGTGTTTAGTCTCCTTACTAAAGAAATCGGGCAAATCTAAAAAGATGTTTGGTGGCTGGTGCTATGGCTGGGACCCTATATGTACTGTTGATGAAGTTAGGTGGTTGAGCACATGTCTCTCTGTATTGCTATCGTGCCGTTGTTACTAAAGTTCGTATAACTAGAGAAGCAAGCGGTCGGCAACATTCATCTCTTGACGGGGTGCCTTACTTGGTGTTATGGTGTGTTTGACCATAACTTAATTTTACGCCGGAATATCCCTTTAAGCAAGAGAGACTGTGCATTAGACTGACCTGGGGGTAGAGGCTGGTTCTGTGTGTACATGCCCATGGTTGGCTGGCTGTATAAGCGGCCATATGGATGGTTCTGCATCAGCTCAGGCATATTAGACCCATAGGACACTCCACCTTGTGTTCGGTTCACATAGTCCTAGAGGCAAAAAAGGGTTGAAATTAATTTATTCAAAAAATAACTCAATATGAACATCTGAAAAACAAGACCCTTGACCAAAACCAACCTCATTTTTCGTTGTTGTTGTCTTCTTCTTCTTACTGGGTTTCTTCTTGTTGGTGTCAGAGGGCACAGCAGGAACACTCTTCTCTGGCTTCACTGGCTCCATCATCTTCTTCTCCGATTCCTGGGACACCGGGGTCAAGGGCTCCTCTTCTTCAGGGGGGAGCGGGAGCGGCTCCAGGTAATAGCTACGAGGTTTGGGCTTTAAGTGGGTGTGGTAAAGCAAAAATCGCTGCTGCTCCTCGAATTTGGTAACCTTTCGGTCCACGCGCACTGTACCGAACCAACCCCAGGAGAGAGGGGCAGAGTGTTTGAGACCTTCGAAGACGTCCCAGGGAGAAATCTTCTGTTTGGTTGATACTTGAAGGCCCTGGTGGAAAAGAGACACAGGGTTGGCATGCATTTCATTTTACTTTGAAACAAATTATGGTGTGGTATTTTCTATTTCCTGTATCTGCTTTTGAGGATTAATTGTGAAAAATATCAAATAATACAGTTGAGTAACTTACTAGTTTGACTTAGCAAATTTAATTTTGCAGGTTAAGTTTGTGTTGAATCAGTATTTGATTAAAGTTAATACCTCCTTTTCAAATCCAGCGATCTTGTTACCCTTCGTGTCGATTAGTGAACCCTGGGGTTCACATGTTATGACATCACGGGTTTGCTTGGGCAGCGGCAGCAGCTGGCGAACCTTTTCCAAACTCTCTGACTGCCGGTCTCCGAGCTCTTTCTGTGGACACAGGTTGACAGAGCGTGTATGTTTTAGAAAAAGGCATTTATAGAAGAGACTTCATGCAGTTACTGAGTTTAACATGACATTTGCAGGAAGAGTTGATCAAAACAGCTTTGTGGAAGCCTTTTGTACACTGGATGACAGGGCCATTGTTACACTTCTATTTTTCTGCAGAGGAAATTTTCATTTTCGTTTTTGACTTTTTTGTTCCTGACTTTTATATTTGCCATTTCTATCCTCAATGCCCCTCTCTTACTTACCAGAAGAGAAAGAGAAAGAGAAAAACACTGTGTTCCTTGACTTCAAACACTACAAAAACAATTTAACAATCACATTAAGAGCTTCCACCTTGACGCAAAAATCTATCATCAGGAACTTGTTTTGGTTGAATAATGTGTTTTTTTCTTACCCTGAGTTTCTTCACCAGGTTCATGTAGGCTCTTTTATTCTCCTCCATGCTGCCCTGAGAGATACTAGACATATCAGCAGCCAGTGTGCCGTTTATCAACACACTCAACATGTCCAGTACTGTTGTGAAGAGCTCACTGTTGAAGAGAGGCAAACATATAGATTTAGAGGCTGATGACTGAACTGAAGACAGGGGTTCATGTTTTTAGATTACTCGACTAAAGAGCGAATGGTTTTTTTTCACGAGTCAAAATACTCACTTATTGGACTGCATGTCCACTGTGCCGCTGCTGATGATGTCAAGGAGGAGTACTGCCCACTCTGTGGTCTGCTGGGTGCTGCGCTGCACAGTGTCAAACATGCCACCCACCTTATAAAGAGGAGAAAAAAGTCAAATATGTTGGATCCAAGACAGCAGAGATTAAATAAAAGGCTTTTGAGTTTAAGGATTAGCTTAATGAATTTGTGAAGTGAGGCTTATTTTCTTTTGCTTGTCCTCTTTGAATATCTTGAACTTCATGTCAACATACACTGGGACTTTAAATCAAGATTAAGAAGTTGAGATCAAGAAGTTCTTACGAGATTCAGTCGTAGTTTCAGGGCCTCATGCATCATTTGCTTTGCTTTGCAGTCGTCCTGGTACTGGTCTTCCCTCCAGTTAGTAACAATCTGCTGCACTTGGCTGTAGAGGGAGGTGAGGAGACCTTCCCTCTGTTCATCCTGTCCCTTCAGGCACGTCAACACCAGGGACAAGAATGGCTGCTGGCTCAGCAGAGACATACTGAAGAGAAGGGAACAAAACTGAACAGTTAGAAACTGTGTTCAGACTGCTAGATGACTTAATTTTGGTATCTTTAATGTCATCAGTAAATCAGACATGACAAAAGACAGGTATGTTTGTCTTTTACCTTTTCTGCTTCTGTCTGTCCCTCTCTTTTCGTGAGGAGGAGCCCAGGTGTTGTCCTTTCTCCAGCTCCTCTCCTGCTGCTTTCAGAACATGGCCCTGGACTGTGGTGGGAAGCTTGGCTATTAGTGGTGCCACCAGCCACACACCTGACCGTTCTGACGAGCTGCAGAAAACAGAGAGCATAAGAAATTAGCTATCTACACAACTCAGAGCAAAACAACAATCACAAAACAGGGAGTCCACAGACCTTAAAATTGGCTTTATCTTGCTGGTGGTGCTGTTGTTAGATGCTGAGCCGCCTTGAGCTGCTGCCCCATTCCCTGAGGAATTATTGGAGTTCATCTCAGCTGATTTCTGAAACACTTCGATGGTTGCCTTGGCTATGTTCTCCAAGAGCGAGTAGAGCTCCTGTTGGAAAGTAAATAAGAATTTTTCTGATTAATATGACAAAGACTGCAGATTCTTAATTTGTGCTTAATAGTTAAAGCTCTCTGAAAACTTACATTATTTGAGCTCTGTTTGATCATCAGCTGCAGCTCCAGGGATGACTGTCTCATCGTCCACTGATCCATGTTCTACATTGGAAAAAAAAACAGAGTAATGAGTATGTTTTCTTTTCCTTGCTGAGGAGTTGCACAGTTCTAATGCTGATAATACAATCCCTGATTTAGCCAGCAGAGGGCAGTTTGACCTCACAGTTCTGATTGAGAAAAGGCGACTTCAAAGCAGGTTTTATAGAAATCATTTTGATTTTCAAGAGGATTTCAGGATCAAAATGGTCCACACTCTGGCTCTGATAACGTTTTCAAGTTTCTCAGAATTTGCATAAAATCTCATTGACTTTAAAACAGACGATTCTCAAAAGACTGTTTATTTGAATACAATGCATGTCTCTGTGTATTCTCTACCTGAAGGATGCGTTTGATTCGCTGCCTCTGTGGGTTGTCACCATCATCACTGTCCAGCTGGCGGTGTGGGTAGCAGATAAGCTGCAGTAGGCGTTGAGCCTGAATGTTGACCAGCACTGGGTCCTGAAGGGCGCTGCTGTCCTCAGACAGAGACTTCAGGCAGCGTTCTCCAACCCATTCCTGCAAGAAATGAAGAAAGGAAGAAGTGAGAGAACTTCAGTGATCCTAAAGCTTGAGGAAAGAGGTAGTAGGTTTTAAAATCAATCATTTGGGGTTTTGAAGATGTCCATCTGCCTGGGATACCACTATCTCCGCCTCTGTTACCGTTAGTGATATCTGCTATATTTAAAACAAAAGAAATCCCATATCCTGAATTTTGCACAGAAAGATAATTTCAGATTTTTATTTTCGCACCATTATTTTCATCTTTTCCATTTTTCATGAACTAACTGAACCACAGGTGTGCGTGTCACTGATTTTACATCGTTCCCCCTTCATGTCATCTCATCTCCTCACCTGCTGGCAGATCGTCTTCAGAACATACTTTGCATACACGTCCAAACTGGCCGTTTCTATGGAGACATTCCGCCCCTCGGATATGTCATTGAGGCCAGCAGGGTGTGACAGCCCTGAGCCTCTCAGCTCTGCGTCGCCTGAGAAGTATCAGAGCAGAAAAATCATCAGTGAACTGATCAGTGACGTCATCCCCACAAATCCCTTTTAATAGATAGACAACGCATTTAGCCTTTAATCATCGTAGCTCTTACCTAGCATAAAAACGGCTTTGAGGACAGCAAAAACTGCTCCAACAACTATACTGTTCTGAGAAGCAGCGAGAAGATGGCGATCACAAGATGACCTGATACCAACTGGAGATTTATCTGCAAAGAGAATACGAGAACCAGTATGAGACAAAATACAGTCACAGATTTACAAATTGATAAACAAAAGTGAGTTGAAATGATCGTAGGAGGGTTTTTGGTTGTTTACTACCTGACTTCACACCATCTTGAGGGACAGGGTTGCGCTGTGGCGTCTTGAAAAGGTGCAGCAGAATCCTGCAGGTGAGTCTGGCCCCGGGCTCGGAGTCTTGCTCACTACAAGCTAGAGATTTTGAGAAACATGCGAGTTTGTTTAGAGTTGAATTACTTTGCATCCTAATTTTGTGCTGCACATGCTGCCAACACCAGGAACCCCTCTCCGGTCTGTGCCCTTGATCAATCAGGTGATGAGAGTTTTCCCAGAGCTGCTGCCACACACAAGGGCAGAGAAAACAAAGCCTCAACATCGAGCCAGGGCTGCTGGCATTTGGCAAGAGTCGCAGTGTTATTAAGTGAGCCAGACCCGACCAAACAGCCTGGCTGAATGAAGCTTTGTCTCTAAGCTAGGAGCAAAAAATGATTAACAGCAGGGAGAGAGAGAGAGAGAGGAACAAAACCAAGAGCACCAAGGACTTATGGATCCACATCAAACATGCAGTGTTTACCCTCTGTTCTGATTCAAGCAATGCACTGAACAGCAGGACAGGCTATTACTGTTCATTTCCTGGTGAAAAGCCTAAAGACTGTGATAGTAAGGCACATAAAGATGCTCGAGAGGGGGCTGGCAGAGAAAACTCTGATAGAGCTGTTTGACAGACAGAAACAAGTTAAAACCTGGCTACAGCCCTAGCTGCATCTAACATAGGATGAGTGTACTTCAATCTATCTGCACATTTGGTAAATAGTATTGATCTGGAATATTGTGCTTTATTTATATGAAGGTCTTTCTTATTTGATTTTCTTACCTTTTATTTCAATTTAATTTGTATTTCTCTTTCTGGACCCTGTTTATTTTATTTTATTTTATTTTTGCAATATCCTTTCTTTACATTGTATATTCAGGATAACTTTGCACTTTAAATTATTACTATTTATTTATTTATTTTCTTCTTCACTTTATACTCCTTTTAGAGGATCTGGGAACATTGGGTGGTGAGGGAGGGCCTGGGGGGATTTACTATGTACATTTATTCAACATGTGGTTTGTTAATGTTCAAACTGAAAACACCAATAAACAGATTAAAAAATAAATATATTTTAAAAAAGTGAAAAATTACCGTATTTTTCGCACTATAAGGCACACTTAAAATCGTTTTGGCTTGTCGGAGCACTGCAGCTACCGTAGCCTCGCAGAGTTATTGAATGAGTTCAATAAAGTTTGACTTATCTGACTGTTTTTGTTTTGTATGAAAAAAGACGTGAATAGACGCGTTCACTGATGGTGCGCCTTACAGTGCGAAAAATTCAGTACTTGCAGTAGGTAGTTGTAAATTAAATGACTGACACCAAATTTTGACCACAACCAATGGAAGCAATATAAACAAATACTGAAAACAATCTTTCTTTGTTGTAACAATATCCGTCTTTATAATTTTGTTATATAACATTAAAATGTAACCAAGTCAAATTTCTAGAGAAACCACCAACATAATGCACAAAGATCTAATAACCTTTCATGCGTGAAAATATCCTCACCTGCATTCAGGAGGGAAGGAATGGCCACACACCGGACCAAGTCCTCTAGGAGCAGGCACTGTCTCGCAATGAGGATGGCTACAAAGGTTGCCAGGGAATCATGGAAGGACAGATCGCTAACCTGAAGAAGAAGAGTACAAAGATAAACATTATAATCACTGCTGGAAGCGTATGTGTGTCATAAATGTATCTAGAGTAAGAGGAGATGCAACACAGGTTCCTGCAAGTTAGCACTTAGGATGTTAAAGAAAACCTCTCCAAATTTCAATACCCTGTATATCAAGCGACAGAGGTATGCAAACACAACTTACATCTACATTACAGAGCAAGTCATTGAAGCCGCAGTTGCCGTTGTTCGAGGAACAGCAGAGAGCTTTGAGGATCCCGAGCCACTCAGCGCTGAGGGAGCGGCAGTATGCCGTCAGCTCGGCACACAGGATTCCAATATCGTTCACCCTGAAAGCACATCACAAAATGAAACAACTGAACAGCAAAAGCAGAAAACCGTAGCGTGAGACATCCAAATATAACAACATAATAACTGTCAAAGTTAACACACCTCTCAGGGTCTCTGTGATCGACACACACATCCATGAGCACGTTACAAACGAAGCTGTAGCGGTTCGCTGGGCTGTCGTTGAGGATCCTGCCCACCATGGAGTGGTTGAAGTTGCTGGCCAAAGGGTTAGCTATGGCCTCCATCATGAAGACGGGGTCCCAGAGCATGTTGGAGTCAGACGGGTCGATGTTACAGTAGATGGAATTTTTCACTTTGGAGCAGAACTCACTGAGGGAGAAACAAGGAGAGAAGGAGAGGAGTGTTAATGTGGACAACCAAAGGATCAACTTTAACTTACATGCAAAAAAACATGGGTGGAGATAGGAACTATTCAACTTGACAAAAGACAGAAACTCAAGTTTTTTTAGAGATTTATCTCACCTGAAAATTTCTCCAAACTTGTTCTTGAGGTGACTGCAGGATGTGTAGAGGTCATACAGGTAGGCTAAGATACAGCGCTCAGCTGAAGAACAGTCTGCCGGGTTCACACCTGATTTCACCACAATCCGCAACCTGGAGATATGATTGTACATGTTCACTCAGAACAAAGTCCTATCGATACAGTTGTTTGGTTTTTAGCTCTCTGATGTGAAGGGGAGCGGTCTCTAAATGTTATTATTTAGCTCAAGGCTGGAAAAGATACCTTCTCTCTGTGCTAAATCACCTTTAAAGCTCGCTGACATTTATCTCATATGTTTATTTGTTTCAAAAAGCTGAACCATGATGCCAGGGGCAGGAACATCCTGACAAAGAAGTCTGGCACATAATCCACAATAAAACTAATTATCTGCTTTTAGAAACAAGAAAAACTGTGTTCAGATGAGAGCGCTTTAACGGTGCACCTGAGCACCTTTTGTTACCGGGACAACCTCTTTGCTAACCTCGAGTGCTGAAGTATATTGACTTAATGGTAATGGTATCAACTTTCCCATCTCGAGGAGAAGGTGAATGCGTCTATTTCCCAAAGTGCTGATCCATTCCTTTAACAGTATTTTCTGTAGAAGCACTGCTCTTATATTAATTACCTTTCTTTAATTAGAGGCTTTACATAAGCTATCTTTAAGCTTTACTTATCTCCAACACTTGAGGCATTCAGCTAATGCTTTAATCCAAAATGACTTTCAACCACTGCAAGAGCAGAATCAGCTGAAATTTTTAAATTAAAAGCATCACAAACAACCACTAATAGTGTGGTGCATAGGAAGTTCCCTGTGGAAGCCGTGGCAGTAAAAAAATCTCATTATAGGTGGTAAAATAGGGCTGAGCATGACAAAATCAATTTTTTCACCTGCATTAACAACCTGAAACATCCTTTTAACTACTTCAATTATAGCTTCCCAAACCTGCAAACAAACCCTGGGTAGAAGAGCCAGGTTTGGACCTCCAAAATAACCCAAGAAATTGCATCAGACTGAGATTTAAGAGGACGATTGTTGAATGTGAAGGTAGCTTGGACGTGACGTACCCATCAAAAACTTGTGCTGTCTGCTCAGGGTTGAGAATGAGGCAAGAGTGGTACCTCCTCAGTACAGCTACGATACACAGACACAGGCTGGTGGTGTAGCTGCCCACCAGGCTGGACGACTTCAGCAGCAGCTCGGCTTCCACCAGACTCAGCTCATTCAGAAGCTGCGAAACAAAACATAAAAAGGTGAATCAGCAATTATGATCGGCAGAAAAAGGGATTCATCTGGGTTTGGTGTAAATGAAGAGGATGTCTGTACCTGAATAGCAAAATCTATGAGGCCACTAATGTTAAGGGAGTACTCCATGAGGTCAAAGATGAACTGAATGTGCTGGACGAGAGGCAGGTGATAAGACATCCCTGAGGCAAAGCTGGTGATCTGTTCCAGCACATTTCGAGACACCTGTGCACAAAACAAAAACATCACACACTGTTAACATGAGGAAACAAGACTGAGACGAAACACGACAAGAAGCTAGTCAGCAGAACCCCAGGTATTACAGTCTACAGGTCCTTTTTCACACCGGGAGTGTTTTTTTCCGTGCGATTATTTCGGACGTCAATATTTTTTTCGAACCCGTATCCTGTCAATACAAGCGTTCACATCAGCGACGTTTTCCCCTCCGGCGATATTGCAGCATTTATTTTTTTGTATCACGGTCAATTTTTCCAAAGTTTCGCATACTGTGTGTCCACTTCTGACCAATCAGATTTCGTGTTGTTGCGACGTCAGATTCACTGGTAAATCCAACATGGCCGACCGCCTGATTGTTGATGATCGTTTACACAAACATTACTAAGATAACGACCTGAAGGACAACTTGTGGAGAGACATGGCGTCGGATTTCACATATGACGATGGTTTGTGTGCTTTAACAGTTTGCTAAATGCCTTTGCTAAACTTCCATCTGTGCTAACGTAAGATAACGGTTGTTACCATAGTTTCATGTGCTTATCTTATCGCCTCTGATTGGCTAAAAGTGCTGATTGTTTGGCTTGAGTGCGGGACTTTCCCCGGGAAAAGTCTTTCCCCCTCGGAAAGTCGCAAAATCGCATCGGGCTTGATTTGTATAGACAGGCATGTCAAAATTCGCCTCTGAATATTTTGTAATTTCGCGTTCTTTATTCGTCGGCCCCGGTCTATAAGGACCTTACATTTGAAACAAAAGGAAATACTCAGATGTTGCAAAAACAAACAAAAGTTGATTAAAATTTAGAGAATAAGTGCAAATCACACATTTGCAAGGACACAACTTTAAAATATACGTCTGCTTTTACTCTGTAAACTAAGATCACAGATTCGCTTCACTTCCATGGGTCTGGTCATAAGCAAAATGTTTATTTACTGAATGTTTGATGGTCTTGCATTTTTGTCAGGGGAAATCTGTGAAATATGAAGCTGCAGCCAGAATGCACAGAATAAAAAACTGATGAAATCTATTTAGCACACGCTCTTTAAAATCGACTGCTCTCTCTCCCCACACGCTCTGTACCACAGAGATATCTAAGTACATTATGTTTTGCTGTAGTCTTAAGTTTCCTGATTGCATTACCTATTCAAATCATATTCATCCATCCCACATGGGGAATCAAAATGAATTCAAATTCGATTTTAAATTTAAATGAGTCACCTTGGGGGTCTTCTGTTTCGGGCTGCTGAGTCATTTGCATTCAGAAATCTTGTGGTTAGCCCACAAACAATCAAGCGGATCCTCTTATTTGCTTTAGGACACATAAGACCGAGTTTCTTTGGTCTAACCTGGGAGGTGACTTGGTGCTGGTCAAAGTGGGAGAGGTGCTGGAATTTGGAGAAGATATCTTCGGCTGTGGGGAAGGCCTCCGGCTTACTCCTCTTCCTCTTCTGTCCCTCCTCTCCTCCTTCATGAGAGAAAGAGGAAAAAATAAGAGATGGAGCAGCCGCTCGTAAATGGTCAGCGGTGTTCGTCCCAGTCTGCTGAACAGTCCAGCCGTGAAATTGAGTGAAACTAATGGTCTGTTATCGTATATCCTCTTTTGATCTAAAAGTGGAGTGCTGCGACGCTGCTACACCAACACTAAAGGAAGAGAAAACGGTGCTTTTAATGTAAAATAAATATAATTTCCAGCTGAAGGTCACCGTCAGCTTAAAAGAACGTGATAAGGTGACACAGAAAGATCTAATCAATGCCGTAATAACTTTGAAAACCTTAAATCACCTTAATAAGGTCACATGTATCGGAGATAAAGTAGCTGCGAACAGATGAGAGCTATTAGCATAGAAATAGGGTGGAAGGAAAATTGAGCAATGCAACACCCTGAGGGTCGATAAAGAAAGGAAAAGGGCTTGTCCTCTTTAGGGAAGAAGAAAGAATACAAATGAAATGTATTTAAAGAGCCAGAGTTATCAGCTGTAATGGCCATTGTGGGGACAGGCAGAAATCAGCCTGCATGTAAACACTGTTTAACAAAACCCCAGCATACACCAAGAGGAAAAACAAAATACAAATCCAAACGTCACAGCAATTTCACAGGCTCCATTTTCATCTTTGAGACAAACTGAACGCCGGCGGCTTTGGTAATGCAACACATAAGATATGAAACGCGGCGTGGCAAGCTATTAGCAAGAGGCCGATAAAACACATTTACCTGTTTCTGCTGTGCTTTTGCGGTTGAGCACCTTCAAGATGTCTTTGGTGATTTTCTTGATGGTGTGTCGCGCCTCATCTCTCAGTTTGCCCACTCCATACAAGACCACTAATCGCTGGTTGCACTCATGGCTGGCACTCTCCTCCTGTAAGTGATGAAAAAAAAAACACAAAAGAACATCCTCAGAAACTTTAGAGAGGACAATGTTCGGTGAAGAAATAGAACAAACTTGTCCAACATGAGAAAAACACCTTCCTAAATACCATTCAGGAATCTTTATTCTTAATCTAATGAGCTGAATCTAACATGAAGACGCAACAGTTGAAATGAAACAGAGACCAGTTTTTAAATACCAGCCTTAAGTTTGTTGGGGTCATGATGCATTCAGGTACAGGTTTATGTATAGTTTACCTTGGCCTGGCATTACACCGAGCCGAGATCTTTATCACTGTAGCTACCAGGGTTGCACCAATCACAATTTTCTGGCCAATCACCGATCACCAATCTTTACAAAGCTTGACCTACAGATTTTGGCCGATACATTTTTCCTTCAAATAACTGACAACGTACACCTTTGATGCCCCAATCTTACAAACTAAAAAAATATTGAACAAAACAATACAAACCTTTTTGTGTTTGTTTTAACTGCACATGATGAAGTTTTCTCAAACAGAAATCAAAAGTTCAGAATATTACTGTCCAAACTACTAAATTATCAGTTCTTTTAGTCTTTTATTTCCACATTTATAAAATGAACAATACTTGCGCAACAGGTCAGACTGCAGGCCTGTTTTGAGCCTCTTACCAAAATTAAGTGCCCAGCAGTATTTTGCTTTTACAAATAAAGGAAATCACAAGGTTTGAGGAACAAACTAAACTGATGGGTGGGTCTATCATTCTGGCGAAAGCAAAAAGCTATAACAGCTGACTTTCAGACCTTTGCTGAGGTAGATAAGATTGGTGGATAAAATTAGTTTGATGTTTAAGGATCAGCCGATCACTGATCCCCCAAAATTGAGGAAATCAGCACCAATCGATCGGCCGATTTATCTGTGCATGTTTAGTAGCTACATATGTTGGACTGGAAAATAGTCCAGAAACATTACAAACTCGGGTGACTGTTAGCAGCCGTTAAACAGAAATGTAAGTATGTGGCTCATGCATTCCAACTGTGTGCACACCACTATGTTTTTAGAGAAGTTTAGTTTACACTAACCCGTGTATATATGCCGTCAAGAGCATGCCAAACCTGTATTTGGAAGTGTAGCGAGAAGCTCAAACCCATATTAGCCAATCAGAATCCCGCAAAGCAGCAAAAACAACAATGTAACCTCCTTCTTTTGGAAAAGATGCAAACGCAAACAAATATAAAGGGATTGCACCAGCATAAATGTGATTGCTGTTCTGCATGCACTGCAGACTGTGGATTGTAAACAACATCGCATTCAACGCAGTTCCTGGCACACAATCTGCTGTTGGCTACCCAAATCTCTGTTTATCACAGTTTCTCTACTTTTTTCTCCGTTTACCTGCAATCTGAGTTTTCCAAAATCTCCACTCTGGACGGAGTTTTTAAAAAGCATCGTTTTCAGGGGCGAATTCTCCGTTTGCATCCAAACGAAGGGTGCAAACGATGGTTAATGTCTCTGTTTTTTTAAATAAACAGGTACGTATAAATGGGGGCCTCTGTCAAAAATAAGTGCATCTGTTCAGAAGCATGGAAATAGAGAATTGATGAATTGGCTGAATTGGCTTAGCTGTAGATCAAAATGCCATGTAGCGATTTCTTCAGATAGATAAGTACTCAGTGATGTATTTTTCTATGATTTCTTCTTAATGTCAGGCTGTGCAGTCTCTCACCTGAGGGATGGGGAAGTGAGTAGCATACTGAATATGGCGCGGTTGCTCGTACAGCTGAGGGAAAGCCGGGTCCATGCCTTTATCCTTGCAGCCGGCCTTGCTATCCTGGTCGGGAGCTGACTTCTCAGGAGAGGGGCTCCCTTTGGACTCGCAGTGCATCGGAGGAGAGAACATCTGCAGGGCGAAAACAGACCGTAATAACTCCCATATGGACACATGAGGGATTCCATATAAACAGTTTAAAGGGGGAGTTATGTCTTAAAATTATGAAAAATGGCTTAAAAGGTTAAAATATTTCAAAAACCACTAAATTTATGTGATGGAGGTAAATAAAAAAGGCTGAGTGTTGTGCGTACCTCGTCAAAATTAGCGCTAGAGTTGTGATCGATTTCCATGGACTCTGATAATCCGGTATCCTGTTGAACAAAAACAACCTCAGGTCACCTTTCAACAACACGCTGCAACAAAAATGACTCATCATACTCCACAATAGAAGCCCCCCCAACATGCCTCCATCTTGCCACCGCCGCCTGCCTCCTGCTCCTTGCGCTCTGACTCATCGGAGGGCTCGTCGCTGGGGGAACGTGGGCGCGGCAGGTGGGAGTCAGACGCCAAGTCACCACGGGAGATAAGAGTACACATGTAGATGTTGTGGGAAAAGACGTCGTGACGGATGAGCTCGCAGAAGAGCAGGACGAGGTTAGAAAACTCCACGCGTTCACTTTCATTTCCAGGCTCGGCTATGAAGGGGGAAAAGAGGGTTTGAATAATTTAATAACAAGTTTCTGTTGCCAGATCATTTATAATAAATACGCACTGGGTGATGAAATAAGAGGCAAGTCAAACGGATATGAAGTTTCTTCAACATGAAACAGATTGACAGCTTTAAGAATCATGGCTGCAGGAAATGTAACGGAAAAATAACAAGGGACCGAGAGACTCACTCAGTGTGGGGGCCTGAGTGTCGAGGAACTGCAGCAGCACATCCTGAAAGACTGGAAGTGTAGCAGCTGAGAGGGAGCCGGATGACACAGAGCCCTTCTCATCCACCACCTCTGACTCACCACACCTCTGCAAGCAAACACACACCAAACAGACAACACACAAGGAACACTTCATAAGTGTGGAGAAGACCGATCAACGAGCTTTCTTTATTTGGCCGAAGTGTCTACAGATGCCGCAGACTTTGAAAAAATTAGTCAGATAATCACAGGTTTCACTATTTTTGGAGTCAAGATGGAAGAAGGGCCACCCCAGCATTTAGACACCGAACAAAGAGCAACAGTTATGAAATAATAATAATGGATTGGAGTAACGCCAATCTATTTCATAACACGCCTAACAGGTGTTTCTATGGGCCGTTTGGTTATCTGTTGGCTTGCAGCACCCAAATTTAATTACTAACTAAATGAAGTTGACACTGAGCGCTATTGTCAAGACCACTGCAGTTAAAGTCTTTTTAACCTCGTAAATTCAACTATAACATTTTTCATCTTCTGCGTATTCATGGCTGGAGCCAGGTGATCACTTCAGGCAAGTCGCACTTTCAAACTGCTTTTTTTACTTATGTTTTTTTTACTTATATTTTAATCTTATGTATGAGTTCTGGTTCTGCTTACTGACCTCGAACCGATTTTATGTGGTACACAGCGCTCAAAAATCTGTCAAAATGTTTTATTATGACTTCGGTAAGCTACAAAGCCGCACAGCCTGATGGCTTGTCGGAGCACTGCAGCTACCGTAGCCTCGCAGAGTTATTGAATGAGTTAAATAAAGTTTGACTTATCTAACTGTTTTGTTTGTCTTAATGCGCTTTATAATCCAGTGCGCCTTATGTATGAAAATAGATGCATTAATTTATGGTGCGCCTTTATGGTGCGCCTTATAGTGCGAAAAATATGGTAACTTTGCAATTCCTATGAAGTTTTTAATTTAATAAGCATGCTTTAAAATGTAATGTTTTGCAATAACTACTGCATGACGAACATCACACTCTAAGGAAAATGCACAAATAATCTGCTGAAACCACTGAAGTAAATACTGCCGGCCTTTTTTGACAGTAAAAATTTTACCAATATGAACATCAGTATGCATAAAAATTTGGTAGCAATTTTAAGCATCTATGAATATCTTATGGATTCCCTATAGAAACACAGAATGGGTACATGGTCCAGCCAGCTTTTATGATACCCGACCACTCAGCTTATAAAATGTATGTAAATTGCTTCATGTGGTTTAGCAGCTACTGAAAACTATGTCTACTTAACATCCGAGCGAGCTGCTCTTGCAGGCTCAAGTGTTCTTGTTTGTGTAAAAGTGATGTTTGTGGTTCCCTCAGCATGAATTATGTTGCCATTACACATTTTGATTACAGAAAGAAAGTGTTGTGACACTTCTTACAGGGTGGAACAAGAGAGGAGGGAGGGTGACAGCCAAAACAAGAACACAGTAATAACAAGGAGCCATTCGGCCCGCCAGTTTATATTGTCAAACATGACAGCGCATAGTTAGCGAATGAGTCGACTGGACACCAGAGCTGAGGAGGTGTAATTAGTTTGAGTAACATTAAAACAGTCTTTTGCAGCTGTGACAGGGACAGGAATGTGTGGTATCCACTGACAGCGGGCGCTGTGTCTCTCTCTTACCTCTGCTTCAATTTCAGCTTGTCTCTTCTCCAGCAGCTTGGCCACCACCATGGCCCTGTGTCTGCCAGAGCGCTTACAGCACACTGCCCATTCACAAAGCAAGGTCACCACCGCGTCATCGTCTGGTGACATCTGCACACAAAACATGCCTTCTGATGAGACAATACGGCTAAAAATAGAAGCGCTTGTCATATTTTATAATCTGGAAATCACATGGTATCTGAAAAGACGCTAGATGTTTCATGGGTTATTGCCCCTACTCCTGTTTCAGGTTTAAAGCTGGGTGAAAATAGAGAGGTGAGTGGAAGCTTCTCCTACCTCATGACCATCTTTACTTTGTCCCGACCCAAATATTCGGTTGTAAAGAAAATCCAGTGAGTTGTTAAAGTCAGACTTCTCAAAGCTGTGGTTGTCCAACACCTCCAGCGTGTGCAGAACCCTACCGATGGTGAAACCTAAAAAAACAAGTCCCAGAATTAATCTCAATCACAAAACTGCACCCCTGACATGTTGACAAATGTACGCTGGGTGGAAAAAGGAAGAGCCTTCTGACCTGCTGTGGTCTCCTGACACTTGTCAAATGACCACCTGAACTCAACCGCCTGGCCGCGCTCCTTAATCTGCTCCTCGATTTCCCTCAACTTTGTGCGGACCTGCAAAGAGAGCAAATGAGGGAGTACATCACCTTCAACAGATAAAACACTAGAAGGTATTTGTGCAAAAGGCTTGTGTGGATATTGGTGATTTAAGTAACTAGTTTCAAATCTAATTTTGTGAGCAGATATGCAATTTGGAAGTAGTGTTTCTGCCAGCTCACATATACATATAAGGGTTTTTTTTAAGTGTAGGAGTAGATTATATGTGCGTATTTTCTCTTTGACTTTTTTCATAGTGAAAGTGGACGCAGTCAGAAGTACCTGTTGTGTAAAGGCAGTGTTTCTCCCAGGCATTGGTAGGCTGGACGGGGCGATTGGCAGGAGGTCCAAAGGTGAACCAGTTTTGTTTCTACTGTCTGTGAGAGAGTAATGCCACACCAGAGCACTGGGACAACACAACACTATGCTCTAGTGTGACGATATCAAAGAGAGAAAACACGAGAAAAAGTCTGTCAGTGAATTTCGAGTCTTATTGTAGAGGAGAAACAATTACACTGTATGTCAAAATAGACAGGCCACCTGTAACATGCAACTGAGGCCGAACACCAGAGGCCTGTGCTGAGGGCAGATGTAAAAGTCTGTGAAAGGAGTCTGCGGCTGGTTCCCGCCTGCTGGCTGTGAGGTCGGGGTGGGGGGCAGGGCGTTTCCTTGCTGCGCCAACATGCCATGAGGCGGATGCCCTCCTGAGCTGGGGCCCAGGCTCCCGTCGCTAAGCAACAAGTTGAGGCGCCGTGTGCAGAAGTAAGCCAGTCTCCGTGACAAGTAAGCCGACTGTACAAATTCCCCTGAGTACTGCAGGACGAAGGAGAGACACACAGCGTTAGCCACGGCATTCAGCGACCATTACCATCAGTCTGCTTTGGAGACAGAAACAAAATGGAAGACTGTGCCCCCCAGTGAACATCTGCCAGTAAAGGTCAACACGAAGTCAGCGCTTTGGATGGAGACGCACATGAAAACTGAAGAGATGCAAAAGCCAGACAGCTAGTGTGTCTGTGTATGGTGATGTATGAATGTTATAAATGAATGCTTTCATCTTAAAGAAACGTCTCAGTAATGATATGATGATGGTAAATAGATAGATGGACTCACTTGTAGTAAAAGGGGCAGCAGGAGTCTGAGAAGCTCATCTTCACCTGGTCGGACCTTCTCAAAACACTCAAGCACCCACGTCAGGAACTCGTGTCTGTCCAACATGCCGTCCTGAATATGAGAAAACAAACACACACGCATCACAGGCTTTATCAGATCTGAAAAGGTGTATGGTTACTGTCAATATGTAAATCTTACTACCGTTAAGCAGCAGTCAATACAGACAACTGAAATGACTGACCTGAAACATGAACATGGCGAGCTTCTCGTTGTACTCCCACTGCTTCATGGCCGTCTCAACATCAGCTGGCGTGGCTGGTAGCGGAGAGCTGCAGCCTTGACTGGGACACTGTCTGTAAAACTCGGCCACCTTCTGAAGCTGCTCCCACAGGTACTTAGTGATTATCTGAGTCCATTCTACACAGAAACACACAAAAATTAACCCCAAAGCAACACAAATGTAATATATGACAGATTGTATTCTAGTGAAAGATATTATCCATGAAGTAAAGTGTGTATCTTGTATAAGAAATTCAAGAGAAAGGGGTCTATAAATGTGACTCTTAACATCAGATCACAAACAATGGGCAAAAATATCAACACTCTGCTGCATTTGAGTTGAAAATGTTACTTTCTTACCTATACAGGGGTCAATCACATGCCTCTTCTTGACTTTAGTTTCTGTGATGGCTGCGTGATATGCACAGGTCATCTTGATCATCCACGCTGAACGCATGACAGGGACAGAGTATTTGGCCAAGTATCCAAAAACCTCCTCCTTTTTGCTAAAGATGGGAACCTGTAACAACACAATACAAAAAAACCCTTCAACTTCACAACTTACCAAAGTTATCAAGTACATTTCTATTCATAATTTTGTGCCTATAAGTTTTGACAGTTACACAAACTCAAGGATGAAACTGCAATTGACCAACGTGCTTTACAAAACCACAGCATGGTACTTAAATACAAGCTTCATAAATCCTTTTCTGCTACAGCGACATGAATATATTCAAAAATTAACACAGGAGGACCCGCAAAATTTAACTCTACAAATGTAATCTTATCAAACTTCCTATAAAGTCTAATAACCACAATTTTAATAACTCTGGTTCAAAATGGTGGTCCACAAATCCCTAATAATATCACATGGCTAAATCCACTTACATACAGTTTATGCCCTGCCAGGCAGACTGTGAAGCAATAACCAAGACCAAGATAGGAATCCTCAGACCAGCAGCAAACTCAGGGCAACATTTTAACACTTGATAAACTGTCTTCAGTCTAACTAGATTTCAGCGATGATTTCAAAATCTTCAAAATTAAAAAGCTTTCAAGAAAATTTCTATTCAGATTACAATTAAATACATGACAACTGATGAAAGTGAAAATCCTTTCTAAGTTAAGATGATAGAAATACACAGGGGTGCATGTTATCAGTGTTGGTTAATCTTGGTGGATAAATGGTTAAGCCTGGTGGAAGGAGTTTTTAACAGCCTTTGCATTTTTACAAAGTGACTGCTTTAACTCCATCTTGAGAATCATTATCTTTTTAAAGGAAACTGGTGATAAATACTGGATTGATAACAGATGAATATCTTTATACTGGTCTTCCAAAAATGTAAAAAATAACAGAAAACAGCTGAGCATAATACAAGAGCAATCAGTCATTTCTTTTCTGTCTTTTCATGCATACAAAGTTCCTCCAGTGACACAAATACAACTAAAAACACCACGACGAAGGAGCATTCAGTCGAGCAGGCTTACAGAGTCTCACACCAGGGTCTTACCTTTTTAGCCAGTTGTGTTAGGGGTTTAGTCCCGGCTAAATCCGTGAACCAATTATTGATGGAGCTCTGTGACCTCGCTGTGACGAGCCAGAAATTATCCTTCTGGTTGACCTGTGGCTTACGTTTCCCTGTGTCCTGGAACGTGTTGTATCGCAGCTTCTCTGCAATGATGCTGCTGAAGTTTGAGCTAATCTGGAGAGAAATACAGAAAGCGTGTTTGATGGCTGCTATTCTTTGATAACACTGAGGCAAAAATGCAATAAAGCCAGCATGCAGGGTAGAAGCTGAAGGAGTTACCTTTGAAGGGTTAAAATTGACATTTTTTGCACTGCCATGTTCATCACCAGATACAGCTGGCTGGTTGTTGAATCCTTGCTTCACATTCAGGGCAGTCAACTCATCCTGAAAAAACAAACACATTTCTGTGTGTGAGTTTACGGCATTCATGCAAAATAACTTGTGATCAACACTGTTTAAAAATAACCGATCAAAGGCTGGCTATCAGTCGTGCAGACTATGATTATTTGGGACTATTGATACTGGAGAAACTGTCGACCCATGAGGAATAATCTCAAATCAACAAAAATGAGAAATTTCATCAACTTAAAAATCAGAACCAACTGTTCCCATCCCTGCATAAATGTGAAGCTTTCTATTTCATTATTTCTGCATGGATTTTTGCGTTTCATACACCAATGAGACATGACTTTGACCACCTACAGTGCCTTGAAAAAGTCTTCATACCCCTTGAACTTTTTCACATTTTGTCACTTTACAACCACAAACTTAAAAGTATTTTATTGAGATTTTTTGTCATAGACCAACACAAAGTAGCACATAATTGTGAAGTGGAACAAAAACGAAACACGGTTTTCAAAAATCTGAAAAGTGAGGTGTGCATTTGTATTCAGCCCCCTGTGTCGATACTTTGTAGAGCCACCTTTCGCTGCAATTACAGCTGCAAGTCTTTTGGGGGTATGTCTCTACAAGCTTTGCACATCTAGAGACTGAAATTTTTGCCCATTCTTCTTCGCAAAATAGCTCAAACTCAGCCAGATTGGATGGAGAGCATCTGTGAACAGCAATTTTCAAGTCTTGACACAGATGCTCAATGGGATTTAGGTCTGGACTTTGACTTGGCCTTTCTAACACATGAATATTCTTTGATCTAAACCTTTCCATTGTAGCTCTGGCTGTAGTTTAGGGTCATTGTCTTGCTGGAAGGTGAATCTCTTTCCCAGTCTCAAGTCTTTTGCAGCCTTCATCAGGTTTTCTTCCAGGATTGCCCTGTATTTGGCTCCATCCATCCCCCCATCAACTCTGACCAGCTTCCCTGTCCCTGCTGAAGAAAAGCATCCCCACAGTATGAGGCTGCCACCCCCATGTTTCACAGTGGGGATGATGAAAAGTTCAACTTTGGTCTCATCTGACCAGAGCACCTTCTTCCACATGTTTGCTGTGTCCCCTACATGGCTTGCGGCAAACTGCAAACGGGACTTTTTATGTCTTTCAGATTCTCCTCCAGAGTGACCATGGGCCTCTTGGCTGCTTCTCTCACCAGTGCTCTCCTTGCTCGATCTGCCAGTTTAGGTGGACGGCCATGTCTTGGTAGGTTACCAGCTGTGGCATACTTCTTCCATTTTTGAATGATGGATTGAACAGTGCTCCTTGAGATTTTCAAAGCTTTTGGTTATTTTTTATAACCTAACCCTACTTTAAACTTCTCCACAACTTTTTCCCTGACCTGTCTGGTGAGTTCCTTGGTCTTCATGATGCTCTTTGCTGACTAGTGTTCTCTAACAAAGCACTGTGAGGCCTTCAGAGAACAGTTATATTTATGCTAATACTAAATTACACACAGGTGGACTCTATTAAGTAATTAGGTGACTTCTGATTGCACTGCATTTTTTTTAGGAGCATCAGAGTACAGGGGGGCTGAATACAAACGCATACCACACTTTTCTGATTTTTATTTGTTCAAACTTCTGAAAACCACGTTTCATTTTCATTCCACTTCACAATTGTGTGCTACTTTGTGTTGGTCTATGACAAAAAATCTCAATAAAATACTTTAAAGTTTGTGGTTGTAGAGTGACAAAATGTAAAAAAGTTCAAGGGGTATGAATACTTTTTCGAGGTACTGTAGGTAATCTCCTGCAATCTAACAACAGCTATACAACAACTCCTTGTTTCGGGAAGTTGTGTCCATTCGGTCTCATAGTGACCATCCTCTCTGCTCAGAATACAATCTGTTACCTGCTGGCCATCGGCTGTGAGTTCCTACAGCCACAAAAAAACAGGTAAAAAAAAAAATTCCTTCAACTCAGGCACTATCAGAGTCCTGAATGATTTCTGCAGGAAGAGATAACTGCTTCTGATATTAGATGGTGGATATTACTATTATTATTATTATTACTACTATCGATCAAGCTTCATCTAGGGGTTCTTTTATTGGTACACTTCTAATTTTCTTTTTTTGTAGATTTTATTAAATAGGTGATTATTTCACTTTTATATTTATTTCTCTAGACAGAGTGGAGCAGTTTTTGTTGGTGGTTTATAGGAGTTTATAATACTTGAGGATGTTTCTTGTACTTTGACCCCAATAATAACCAATGGAGAGGTACAAAATATAAGGAGCACCTTTTAAATAGTACACAGCAAACACCACCTCTTACTACTTTAACTGTTAACCTTAAGGACAATTACCACCTGTCTGATCCTAACAACAAACCTGAAAATGTCCAGCTTCATCAAAGTTGATATTGTACTTGATTACCATTAGTCCACTTTGGTGTGTACTACTTAACCCTTTCCTGATTTTTGACCCATGTTTTGCCAACATTTGGTCTTAAGTTTTGCTATTTCTTGTTTTCTTTAAAGCACCATGTGTTTCATATGATTTGCACGAAGGGTGCTACATATGTAAAGCTTAACTAAATGATTATTTTGGCATCAAAACCACCGAGATAAACGCTTTTAACTACTTCGCACAAACCTGGGTCTGATTCCTAAACCAACAACACAATACCCTACAGGTACAGCAGCCAGTTTTTCAATCACCAACAGATTATCTTAGAAGCTAACAGCATTATCAAGCTGGGACAGTCTTTTATTCTTCCTAAAATAGACAATTTACCTTTAGTTTTAGCATTCATGGCATGAAGGTTAGCCCTGCAGGTTTAGCCACCGTTAACTCGTTGAACCAAAACATCACGCACAATTCAATAAACCATCGCATTAGTTTCCCAACCTCGAATAAAAACACTCCTTATTAATAAAACCAATGTAGCTCGCTTCCATTAAGCGATTAGCGAGTTTATTTAGACAAACTCTGGTATCTCTGAACTGGTTGTTTTCCAAGTAAGCTGGAGAGCTAGCTAACAGACTGACAACTAGGTGCAGTTCATTGTTATTGCTAGGCCCCAAACGTCTACAGGGTTAGCTACACAGGCTCGCTGCTCATAGCTTTGCACAGCTTCTCGGCTTAAAGAAACCTTCGCAAAACAACATTTCTGGGCTCTATGATTAAACAAATTCATATCTGACCTCTTTTTGCTTTGGGTCTTGAGGATAAACGTCCGGAGGGCCGAGTCTGGGCCGCTTTAATGGCCGGTGTTCGTAACTTAGGATCCCGAAAGCAGCCATCATCCAGCGGCATCACAGCCAGAGCTTTCCACCTCCTCCTCCTCCTGCAGCGAGAAGAACTACAACTCGCAAAGTCACTTCTCGCGAGATTTCACCCCCAAACTGGCCGTTTTTCTCCCTTATTTATCAATCATGTGTAATATTTACACATACTTGTTTTTGTTTATATAATATTTTCCTAGACTTATATAATTTTTTACCAAAACTCATTATTCTTATTGTCGACGAGAAACATCCTTTTGAGAGAATTGTTTTATCTATATATATTCTAATAAAGCCACATTTAACTTCCATATTCACCTCCGTCACAAAACTATTTAGAACAATCAAACTGGACTTGGGCTAACAATAACTATCTTGCTTTTGAGCCTATGTCAAAGTTTGTGTTTGTGTGTACAATATTTAAAGCTGTGTAACATGTTGATTTGATAATAACACCAGAACAAAATCATTTCAATTATTGGGTTTTAAAGGTACTTTATGAGTTAAAATTTTCTAAGACCATCTTATGTTTGCCACTCTGTGAATTTATGAGTAGGGGAGAGTGGGGTAAGATGAGTTATTTTTCAAGTTTTGGATCACTACATCAAGGCAATCATAGTTTTGTCTCAAAGTAGTGTATCTGCATATATTTCAAGATGTTGTGCATCCCTGCAAACCAACAGAATGAGAGTAAATATCTCTGTCTTGATAATATAGCATGCCAAAACAAAAGGGCATGCCTTTAAGTGATTCAAAACATTCACAGCTGTATTTTGGAAAAGAAAAAGTAACACATTTCAACAATCTGATCTGAAACTCTGATCCTCTCATCAGACTCCTTTACTTTCTCAGTTGAGCCACTGGTTCAACTTACCCCAGAACTACTATGATGACTTTATTAGTCCTCTAAGCTAAAATGGTGAACTTATGACAGATTAAATTCACTTTCAAGAGTGAAAAATGTTTTAAACCCCCCTTCACCCATGTGCTTCTAACCTTCACAGACTCCATGAATTGATGTCCATCTCCTAAATATTTGGTCACATGATCAATTTCTTTTACCATTTCCAAGCAACAAGGGGTGGCTCAACTTACCCTTTGGCTCAACTTACCCCACTCTCTCCTACAATATTTAAAGTGGTGTAACACAAAAAAATCATTTCAATTATTGGGGTACAAAAGCACTTTTTGTGTGAACATTTGCCAAGAGCATCTTATGTTTGCAATTCTGTGAATTTATGAGTACACTGAACTCCTAGTTTTGAGTAGTGCTGTTAATAAAAAAGTTATATTTAAAGTGACTCTGTATATTTGTTGATAAAATAATTTTACAAACTCTAACTGTCTTGAGCCTGGTTGAAGAGAAGATCTAATCCAGTTAGAAGCAGAAATGATTGGATGATACAGGCTTCAAAATAGGTTCTGTTGTATTTTCTATTTTGTTCCTTACAGGTGTAAATGGTTCATATTATCTATCAAAATAATATATAGCTTTTGATGCTCGAACAATGGAAAACTCAACATTTTGTTCATAAAGTTAACAAAACTAGTTCTTATTGGTCATGGTGGTTTTTGCTGTCGCTCTGATGAACTCTTAATAATCACAGAGGGTCAGAACAGGTATGTGCAATAACCTGTCAAACAAAAACTCACTGTTACGATCAATAACTATTCATCATACATTCTTGTTATGTTTATGTCAATCCTATGTGCACCTATGCACATCATTATTGAATTTTGATAATGCGTAAACATCCCCCCATTAAAAAATTACACATCAGTATGTACTTAGTACACAGAACATATGCTGTTTCTACCATTCAGCATCTTATGCTTCCACAGCATTGCACTAGTGTCTTACATAGTCTTGAGTATGTTTAAGTTAAATATTAAATGTATAATATTGAATGTACTTATTCGGATCATATCACATAGAGCAAATTTACCAGAGTCAAATTCCTCGACTGGGTACACATACTTGACCGGTAAAGCGGATATTCTCATTCTTTTCCACTGAAAAAATAAACGACTGAATGGAGAATAGAAATTTTATATTTGGTTGTCTTTTCAATAAGACATTTTATGTCTGACTTTGTGGAGTCTGGTAGACTGTTGGTGAAATACAGAGTTCAGGCAAAGATCCCCAAACAATCAAAGCATACAGTAGACAGCCTGTAAACTCAAAGCTGCCAAGTTATGTGTTGTTGTTGTCGCAGCGCTGTCAACGTGTTCAACCCTGGACAGGAAAAGACTGGCTTTGAGCTGCTTGTTATCTGATATGAAGTCCTTATCTGTTTAGAATACTGATAGAGTCCAGCTGTTTGTGAGCTTGGTTGTTTGTCTCATCTCTCTGTCACATGAACAGGTACACATTACCCTCACGCAGAGCTCTGCAATCAAGATACAGTGTGACTTTTATGCTGTTGTACTGTGTGGCTCCAAGAATTCCAGTTATTTCCCACCTTGTGAAGGAATTTGTGTTATTTGCTAACAGCTCACCACACAGTGCACACATAATGTCCTGCTACAGCACACTGTCAGCTGCTGAACAGGTGTGTGAAGTAAGCACGTCTAAATTCAAACCATAACATACAGAATCAAAATATTTCATTAAAACTCACAGAATTATCAACTCAGTTTATATAGAAAACATTTTATTGGAAAAAAACAGATTCTTAATGACAAAAATTAAACATTTAAAAAATATCATTGCAGCATTAATACCTCAAGTATACAAAGGCAATCTTGAAAAAAATACTAATGCAATAAAAAGATATTGCACTCTTAATGATTGTTCAGCACGTACTTGATTATAAGGCAGAAGTTTACAATCCCCAGCTCTGTGCAAAAACAACACAACATTAAAGACACATCCTCATGTTGCTCTTTTCTTCTCAGCTTGCACAGTAAATATTGTGTACCATGGTTTTAGACTTTTCCTGCAGCTTTAATCGACAGTACTAACGTTACCATCAGTGTGAAATTCGCAGATTTTAAACTCCAGCATTTGGATTACGAGGAAACATTAGCTCACTCCAAAACACAGTACCTGCGTGTAGTTTAAAACAGTATGCTGAAATGGCTAACTCCATTACATGACCTGAAAGGTTTACAACTCTAGGCACATATTGCATCTGCTATAATATCCTGAAATGACTGCATTAAAACATTGAACTAAGTGCATAAAACATAAAAACAGTGACACATTTTAAGCACGTGTTTAAATCTCCTGTAGCAGGAATGGTTAATAAATGAGGGTTTAGATAAACAATGTTGAACAATCAACACTATCTTGTATCTTGACAGTTATTACCAGTATACTCCTGCACTGTGAGGTCTTAGATAAGTACATAAAATGACTCAAACTAACTCAGAGGCTCACTGATTCACTGACCTCCAAAGTAAGTGGAAGTATCTCGTCTTTCCATGTGTCCACATGAAACATAAAGTGCTATTGTCAGACTCATTGCTCTTTGTCATTTACAACTAACTTATTCTGCCTCCTGGGTTTAACTTTAGCGTCCGAGCAGGAGGCTGTTACATCTCTGTTTGCATAGTTAGGTTTGTGTGTCTTCATGTATGTGAGTGTGGTCCCTTGTTCTTTGGTTTGGAAATAAACAGACACTGTTACACAGAGTGGCCTCTGTGGTCCTCAGCACTTGAACACCATGGCAGAATGGGTTTTAATGTGTTTTTTTTTTGTGCACTTCAGGTGTTCCCCCTGAATATACCAGGGTGTCAACACTGACTTCCAGAGTTCAGCTCCAGCGTCTTTTATCTGCTTTGGTTTTCTGAGACTTCAATCATGGCTCTGAATCTTGATTTTTCATCTGCTAGCAAGGCAGCAGGGGTGTCAAACTCCAAAATCTATGAAATGGAAAGGACAGAACAGTGATCATCATCAGCATCTTAAATCAATCCACCAATCTGCAAAGAGGGAACAGAAATGTAGCATATCATTTTCTCTATAAATACTATAACCTCAGTTATATCCTGCAGGCAGCTTATGAAAGGAGTTTTGATGTCTGGAAAATACTTTCCTCAGACAGTCTTGTTATGCTTTGGTGGATGACACAAGTTTCTGCAACCAATACTAATTGATCCCTAAGGGTACTTTACACTCCGCTGTTGGTATTCAAATCATGGCATGTCTTAAATACAAGATTAGCTTTGCCAATTTTGCTGTATTGGATGTCTTACAAAAATGAGTTTGACCTTTTGACTGTTTCCATCTTGGGGGTTTTAGAGCTGAAATTTATCACAGCTGGGCCAGAAAGTGGATAAGCATTGCTTCACCTCTTTCACCGCTCATATGTTGCCTTGCAATCAACTTTTTGGTCACAAGATAGGTTCATGCCCTTCTTGTTTATTCTGATGTTATTGAGAAAGTAATAAAGAAAATGCACACATGCTTTATTGAGACTAGAGTTTGGAGTGTTAAAACCATCACGAGAAAGTTTACTGAAGGAATAATCAAGTGAAAAGTTTGGTCCATTTTCCACAGACTTTGGTCGATTCTTATCTCTTCTGCAACCAGTGCTGTTGCCCCCTGCTGGCCAACAGCAAAAGTGACTCTTGAAACAAGAGACAGTTGCCCAATCTCTAAGGGCTGTCCCACTACAAAATCATAAAATGCGTGAGGGATATCTGACAGACATTCTGAGTCTATGCACCCTTTTCATAAGTGAACATCTCTGCAGACCAGGAATTACCCAGAGTTCGTACCCATAGTGATGTGACCACGGGATTCTCAAGGGATGTGCTGTCCCATTCTTGTTATATCATGTCGGTCCCCACAGCCTCATGCCCTTAATCAATTTCCAGGTGATGTTAATAGTCTCTAAGGGCTCGGGGCTTAGGGTTCAGGGAAGAGACTGAGATTCAGCCAGTCTCAGTTAATATTACTGAATGTTGTCTCAGAAAAATTAAAAGTTCAGTTGCCCTAGAATTGCTTTAAACACTACAGCAAACTTAGCTTCACAGCATCAGAAATGAATATGTGTGGTTTAATTAAGTTTTTAGAGAGTGCCAGATGATCAGGAGTTACCTAAAGGAAAACACTTATTTAATGTTTGTACATAAACTGCTCATTTGCATCGCAGGGAGGTCATAGAGCACACCATAAATCTGAGGTCTTTCCTCTTGGGAGTGAGATTTGACCACACAGTCATGTTGAGTCATGTTGTTGTCTACATACGCACCTGCCCGTTGTCCAGGACCAGGACTCTGCTGCAGCTCATCACCGTGTTCAGACGGTGGGCTATGATGAGTGTGGTGCAGCTGCCAAACGCAGAGCTAATGGTCTCTTGGATGAGACGATCTGTCTCAGTGTCGATAGCTGCAGTTGCTTCATCTAATATTAGGACCTAAATTAAAAACACAAATAAAAAAAGACAAGAAATATAAGAGCCAGGACATGACATCATCCAAACAAATAACCGTTTTGTCATCTCCTCTTATTGTTTAAAAAAAGACTAATTCTATAAGAAAAAAACAACACTGTCTATCAAGTGCATGCATGCAGTAGCAGTTTTGAGATGACATTCAAATGCGCTCCACTGGGTGGCAGTATTATCTCATGCAGAGTTACATACAGACTGACAGTGCTGTGATATGGGACAGTTCTGTTTTTCTATGATAAAACCTGCTGCTGTCATAACCCATGCCTTACAGGGCTGCACATATAAATTTAAAGTAGCAGTATTATACAATCAGCACCTTGCTGTTTCGAAGCATAGCTCTGGCCACACACAGAAGCTGTCGTTCCCCCACCGAGAAGTTCTCCCCGTTCTCTGTCACCTCTGATTGCAGCGAATGAGGCAGCTGGCTGACCTGGGGAAGGCATGAGGGCAGATAATGGGTGGTTTCTTCTCATCCAGATATGGATTTTCTTACTTAATCTTACTGTCTGTTGTCACTTACCATCTCTTTGATATGTGTCTCCTCCAGAGCCTCCCATATCTGGGAATCCGAGTATTGATCCCACGGGTCTAAATTACTCCTGTTGGAGAGGAGAGGAGGGAATTGTTGTACCCATTAACTGGATTAAATGTTATGACCACATCACATTAAGATATGAGGTTCAGTATTCTGCTGATTCAACTCTGCTACCCCTCTGCTGACCAAGGTCAAATCTCGCCTGAGGCAATGAGCATTCATAAAACAACTGACTGCTCGCTTTGGAAAAAGGCAGGGTTGATGTTTTATTTTTGACTCACTCTTGCCTGTCAAATGTATCATACATGTTCTTCCTGCCCTGTGGGGTTTTTTATTTTATTGCTGCTTCACATTTCCATTAACGCTGTGCCAAAATATACTCTTAAAAAAAAAACTGTTCTTTGACAGTAAATTCAGTCGACTGTGATATTGGTTGGATCGCTAACACAGACATAGAATAACTTCGACTCAGTTTTGGTACTAAACCATACACTTCAGCTTTACACATGAAGTTGACTGAAGACATGTGACTGTTTCCTGCAGCGAGCAGTCACTATACAGGAAGGAAGTGTTGACAGATGACACGGTGTTGCAGCAGTGGACACGCAGGGATTTTCCATTTAGTTGTTCAAGGACAAATTAAGGTTTGAGGGGCATGTGACCCTCATCCATCATCTGCTTTGCTTTTTCAGATTTTACAAAAAAAATGTCTGTCACAAACACAAACACACACAATTTTATCTGTTTTATTACCTGACAGTCCCGATGAAGAGCACTGGCTCCTGAGGAATGATTGCTAGCTTGCTCCTCAGGTCATTCAGACCAATCTGTGCAATATTGATCCCATCAATGATAATAGAGCCTCCAGTGAGCTCCACCAGTCTGAACAGAGCGACACCCAGAGAGGACTTTCCTGCAGAAAAAAAAGACACTGAATGAGGAATTGCACCTGCAAGTTGAAAAGGGACGTTGATGCATGCTGAAATAGCTTCTAGTCAGAGGACCAGAGGGTTAATTATCTACCTGATCCTGTGCGGCCAACAATGCCGATGGTCTCCCCGGGCAGGGTGGTGAAGGACAGATTCTTAAGCACGAGCGGCAGATCATCACGATAACGCATGTCTACATTGTTGAAGGTGATTCTTCCCTTCTGAGGCCAGGAGGGGGCAGGAGCGTCTCCCTCAGGACTCTGTCTGGGTGCTTCTCTCTCCAGACTCTGAGATTAGACAAGGTGATGGTATCAAGTATTAATCTCATAATCTCTGTAGAGGTGCAAACCCCCTGACTGATTTGCAGTGATTTTCTCGCCATGAGCTTTTCTTTGAACTTGAAACTGAACAGAAAAAGCTAAGTCTATATTCCCATCTGTGCAGTTTGACGGCTGCTGTGTGAAACAAACCCTGTCATGTGCTCTGGAGTGCACTTCCACATGACTTCCTGCTGTGTTCATCAAACATATCAAATCACATGCACACGAAAAAACACATGCCAGCGTCTCTAATTCTTCTGCTCACGGTCTTTGTGAGCATAAACGATACGTCTGAGTGGCGCATAATCCACACCTCTCCCTGCGCTAATCAATAAACTTACCTTTATGTAATGATCGATCCTCTCCACTGATGTAAACCGAGCTTCAGTCTCTGTGAGGAGCCGAACCGTGAACTGGAATAAGCCAGTCAGCTGGAGGTGAAATAAAAGTAAAGAGAGAGGGAAGCTCAAGTTATTCAGGCTGTCACACTGATCGTTTTGAGTCATTTGATATGTACTGGTACAACGTCCTTACTATAAATGAGAGGTTTGACCAATGACAGCTGTAAATAACACTCATGTATATATCTTTTTTTCTATCTTATATCTATTTCTCTCTTTTGTAATTATCACTGCTGTAAATTTGAAATTTCCCCTTATGGGACTAATAAAGGAATATCTAATCTTATCTCTCTCTTATCTTACAGTCAGATAGAAAGATTGGCTGTTTTTTCCCCTCGAATATTCTTTGTCTACTCTGAGCACCATGAACAACCTTTGGAAAGATGTATTGAATAACTATTGGTAAGTTTGACTGAGCACAATGCTCCTAATACTGTAGCAACTATGGTTTCAAAACTACTTCAACATCAATCTATATTAGGGTGACCATATTATGACTTCCCACAACACTGGACAGCCCCCAAAAAAGAGGACATGTCCAGGTAAAAGAGGACATATGGGCACCCTAACTATTTTTTATAAAGGGGCTGGACTGGATTTCGTCTCTGATTGACCTCTTTAAAGAAAAATCTGCTATTAAACAGTCAGGGTACTCTGTATGTTGTTAGTCATCATGTAAACAATGGCAATGCAGAGAATCAGACAGTGTTGGTTATGAGAACTTAGTTGTGAGTCACCCTGAGGAATTTGCAGAAACTTCCAGAGGTCTAAACAGCACCAGGTGATACCTTATGGGCTTGAAGCGAAACAAATACACAGCAAATTAAACCACTGAAAATAACAGTATAATTAAAACAAAGCCCCGCAAAACAATTAGCAACACCAGGCCGAGTAGAGCTTTAGTAGAAAAAAACACTTTAACAGTGGACATATAAACAAATGAATAAATGAGAAAGGCCTCAGGCTGGACCGGGCCACTTTAAATTTCTAACCAAAGGGTAATTTTGTCTTGTTATATTGGATCCTATCCCATCTGGATCTTCAAGCTATTCTTTTTTTGTCGCAGCGACAGGTGTCTCTACACCTTCTGTGTTAGTACATGTTTACAAACCTGCACTGCATACGATATGGCCAGGCCTGCGTAGGCTGGAGGTATCTGATTGTGCATGAAGATGATAAGAAGTGCTACAGCTGTAATAAGTGAGATGCTGATGAGGTCCAGACGGACAGCCATCCAGCGCATCGCACAACTGAAGAGGTAGTTGGAGGCCTGGTTGGTGTCGAGTAATTCCTGATATCTGGAAGAAAAGAAATAAACCTCCATCAGACGGAGCAGAAATAAGAGGACCTCGAGGGAAACGCTCGGATATGAGGTTTGGTTTATTTACCAGCCTTGGAGTACACTGAAAAACCACATCAAGAGATAGGATAAAATTAAACTTTAATGACCTCCATCTCCTGACAGACATCACTCTGCTCACCTTTGGAGGAAATCTTGCCCCCTTCCATAGGCGTGGATTGTGGAGAGTCCCTGCAGACTGCTGGTGATGTGAGAGGTGAACGGTGATTGGCTGATATTTTCCAGGCGCTTCAGCTCACGAATAAGAACTCTGCAAACAGAAAGGGAATATTTAACTCTGAACTTTCCTCTGTATTAATTTCATATGAATACATCAACTATTTGTATTACCCGGGAGAATGTTTGAACATTTTTGTTTCATTTTATTTCATTTAAATAAAATACACACAGTTTTTAAATATTTACAAACCACATATAGTGCTTACATAACTTAAATATGAACCTAACAATGGATATATTCACATTAATTCTGAATGTTTGGTTTGACACCTTTAAAAATGGTCAAACCAAACTTAATCCAGTAATGGTTTTACAACCCTGAGTTGTTTGTTTGAGCTCAGTATGATTGTAGAAATTTTAAGTTTACTTACAGCACCTTACAATTAGAAAACCTCAACTTATACATGCTTCACTTGAAAGAAAATGTCAGGATACAGGTGCAGACACATTTCAGTGAAGATACTTTCTAATAAGTTATACTGAGTAATGCTGAGCTGAACTATGTGAGAGGAGAAAGAACTTTAAGTCTTTTATGACATGAATTTTACGAAGGCCCTGGTTGAGAGAACTTCCCAGACACAGCACTAGTCCTGTCTCTCCGTCTGATTCATATTGTGTATTATTATGAGCATCCTCACACGCTGACAACCAGACGACTGGTAGCCTGGGACCAGACTCGCCAACTACGTGGCAGTATGAGCGAGAGAGGTTTATTGACAAAGGCTGGAGTTTCTTTCTGCTTTTAGACAGGAGGCTGGAATGGATGGTGCCTGTGAATTACAAGTCTCCCATGATTCATTTGGTTTTCTCATAAAAAGCACAGAGAGAAGAGGGAAAGGGAGAGAGACGGAGAGAACATGACACTTCCTTACTTCAGGGCTGTGATCCAGACAAACATGTTTATGCCCTGGGCGTTTCATTTCAGACTTCAATAAAGTCGGCTTTAGAAGACGGTAATTTTAACTGGAGATCCAGTTTGATGTAACATACATATTCTGAGATGTCATAGCTCTGAAAGTAAAGTTTTTTTTAACCTTTTTAAGTGTTGCCAAGGGTGATCACCACAGATGAGAGCCATCTACTTCCCTTTGGTTTCTCAAGTGCTAAATACTTCAACTTTAATTCAACATGAATTGCCTGCAAATCAAGAGTCGCTGAAAGGTAGGTGTAGATATTTTGAAGTTAAATTCACCCCGTAAGAGACAAACTGGAATCAGAATGCATTTAAGACATAAAAATGCCGGTTTATACAGAGACGGGAATGAAGTGATCCATATCAACGGACAGGGAGGGAAAGCAGCGTGTGGTTTGTGGACTGAGACTCCACTTCTTTACCCCTCAAAAGAAATCAGCTTTCCAAGATAAATATGTTTTCAGATCACAATTTTCATGCACTTTGGAATTGCCTCTGATATAAAGCCACAAACCACATTTTTTTGTTTTTGTTTTTTATATTTTTTGATCAACACCAGCAGAAACAAAAAGCTTGAGATTCACATCCTTCATTTTCTCTCAGAAAGAGGAAATAACACGATACTGTGATTATTTCTCATGACACCAGGAAGCTGTTTTCCTCCTCAGCAGATTCCCATTTGTTGAACATTGTGGGCAAAACCGCAGATAATGAGCAAAGCAGTGTCTGTAGGTCAAACTGACTTCTCCTTAAAGATTCAACAAAGTGACGGGGATAAAAATGAGGTCAGTGACTGATCACAAAGATCATCTCTGAACTGCTTTACTGTAATTAACCTGTACATTTTTTCTGTTACAATCCAAAACAGAATAAATTTGCAATTTGTGGACAAAGCGATACCTCTTCTCTTCACGGTAGCTTTACTTCACAAGCTATTTAAACTCAGAACATGAGAGTCTTTTTGATACACTCTTTTGTTCTTACACTTTTTTGGTTTAATATTTAATCAACTATAAATATTATGCTGTACAAAACATCTAACCTGCGCACAGAAATCAGACAGAAAAGTGAAAAACAGAAAGAAAATAACTCTCCGACCTTGCAGCTATTTAGAGACTTCAAGCCTGTAACAGGTGAATATTTTATGACATTACATTTGCTTTATACTCTCTGTAGACTATTATCCCTTCAAACAGGATGCTGTGAAATTTTAAAACGGTATAAAAAAATAAGATAAGAAATGAACAATTTTGTCTTTGTTTCTGTTTTGTATGTATGTAGAGCTTAACTGTCTCCATTACTAACTCTATTAATATTTCCACATGCACATGGCACTATGCTTTGCATCGCCGCTAGATAAAAGCAATAAAGGTTTTATTACTTTATATATTATTATTATTATTATTATGCTGCGTTCCAGTTGTACTGGGAAGTCAGAATTTCCGAGCTTTCCGAGTTGGTAATTCATCTGGAACGCACCCCTGAGGTCAGATTTCCAACTCAGAAAGTCGGACGATCCTCACCAATGCTGCGTTCCAGTTAGCTCGGAAGTTGGATGTCGGAGCAGGGTATGACGTTACACCCGAGTTGACGGCGTTCCAGTAAACAAGTCGGAAAACCAAGATTGACGACTGCAGTTACCCGTTGTTAGCTAGCCAGGCTAGTTGAAAGCTGCTGTTAACAACTGTCTGTTGTTAGCGGTTGTCAGCGGTCGTTCGTTCTTGATAGCTATACCGGTTGTAAACAACGCATAACGCCAGTATTTTACTCTACCTACACCATGGCACCGTGTTCACAGTTAGACGTTGGGCAGTACCACATCTATACCACTTATTTGATTTCACAAAAACAAAACAGAAGTGCTAACATTACGACAGCATTCACCGTTACTATTTACTGTTGATGCACTGCACTACCATCTTAAATTATGACGTTGTCGTCAAATCGGGGTTGGTCAGGATCGTCAGACTTTTCGAGTCGGAAATCCGACTTCAGGGGGGCGTTACAGATACATTTTGGACTCGGAGCTCGGAAATCCCGATTTCCGAGTACAACTGGAACGCAGCACAACTCCGACTCGACGACAACGTCTCCGAGATAACAGTTGAGTGACAGTGAAAGCTCTCGCAGTGTATTATTTATTAGCACTTCGGTTTTCTTTTTGTAAATTTACATAAATAAAATACTGTAAGAAAACACTGTGTTATGCGTTGTTTACAACTGGTATCGCAAACAACCGCTGACAACGGCTAACAACAGCTGACAACTTGTAACAGCGACTGACAATGGCTAACGACAGCTGACAAATGTTAACAGCCAACAACGAGTAACTGTAGGCGTCCATCTTGGTTCTCCGGCTTGTTTACTGGAACGCCGTTATCTCGGGTGTAGCATCATTCCCAGCTCTGACATCCAACTTCTGAGGTAGGCTAACTGAGTCATGCTAAAATTCAGCATTAAAACCTGTTAGTTCTTGTGGAGTTAAATGTCTCAGTTATTGAACATTAATATGATGACATTTTCAATTTTGATATGTTTTGTGTCTGCTGTTTTGTGCTTTGAGTGTTTGCAAGACAGAGACTCAATAAGGAACTAATGCAGACTAAGTGCTTACTTTGCTGCAACTCTGAAGGAATGCAAATATTGCTCCATGTCTGCAGGCAATTGTTAACTGCCATGCTACCCATGTTTACCCAAAAGCCAGGTGTATCTACTGGTTTGTTAGGATGTTTCTTTGTCACCTAATGTAGTGATCAGTTTCCTAAAGGGATATAAACATGTGTTGCTTATCTGTAGTTTGGAGAATGGTGTGCAATGTGCACACAAGCTTTTATAAGTTTCAAGAGTAAAGAGAGTCTGACCTTGAGACTCGGTTGACGACACAGAGGAAGACTCCCAGTGGAAAGATGGAGATCAGAAACCAGGGGAAGACGATGCCCACCATCCCCAAGCAAAACAACACTAGAGTCAGGTTCTGCAGCAGCATTTCAGCTTGCATAGTGAGACGCACGTCAACTGTGGAAACAAGACATATTTAACATCAGAAACCCTGTATAGCTCGGATCTAACTGTCTATGTGTCTGTGAGGAAAATATTCTCTTTGTGCGCCCCAAAGTATTGTTTTTTTAGCCCCAAAAGAGAGAGAGAGCAACAAAGGCGCATACAGAAATAGAACTCAAAGAAACAAAAAGCAACCATCCAGAAAAAAAAACACAGCAAACCACAAATCAACTTGTCAAACAAAGACACCAGTGAAGTGGATAACACAAGGCCACTCCCTCAGGCAACAAACTCCATGTAAAAACACTCCGTTTTCCAGCACTACACCTTGTCAAACGTGGTGACTTCACTGACTGAGAGCTCTCTTGGGGGAAAGAATCTCAGTCAACACGAATCAAGCCTCACCCTCGTCCATGTCTCTGGAGAAGCGGGTCAGGATGCGGCCCAGAGGTGTTGTATCAAAGAAGTGCATGGGGCTGAGCAGGAGCCGGCGGAACAGCTTGTCGTGGAGCACAGAGGCGGCCTTCACCGTGGACTGTCAACACAAACAACAGCCGTGTTTGAACATGAGACGTGACGCATGTAAACAAACAACTTGGAGAAACATAGGGAAAGAGTCAAGGCACGGATAAACACACAGCTTTGGAAGAAAAAGTCTGTCAGAGCGCTCAGACTGAAAGCAGGAAGACACAGAATAGATAAAAACAGCAGCGTCTGCAGGGCAGTAAATGCTACTATACCATATGCTTCACTGTGGAAAATTCTTTTATCATTTCCACACGAGACAAACTGTCAAAATTTCATTTGTAATGAGTTTCTGGAAGGCTGACATAAAGGTCATGACCTAATGAGCAAGTGACATTTCTCAAATTGAACAGAAATTACATGTGGCAGCAGAGGACAAATTAATTTTATTAATGGAATATTCAACACTCCCAGAGATCTCCTCACAGCAAGGGGTAAAAAAAGATCAGCCATCTTTGAAAAAATTTGCAATTTCAAGTGGCACACATTATCGTGGGGACCTGACCTCTGCATTGCCTCATGTCAGGGTGGGTTAGCTTTAAAAAAAGAGGAGCCAAAGGGGCACTGACATGCCCACGCTCACACACACGTACACACAAATCTTCTCTTTCGCTTTTTTTCTCTCTGGTTCTTCTGCACACACATACACAAACACAGCGTGCGATGGATTAAAAGCTGTGAGACATGGCTAAGGACAGATAAATGGATTTGGCCCACAGGCATTTTCAATTAGAGCATAAAACCATGAGAGCATGAACAAATGACAATAAAGGCAATTAGGCAGGGTCACTGCTCGACTGTACAGAGTTTATACATCAAGTTTTTACGTTCCCTCAAAACACCCCGACCCCTTTTAAAGTTCATTAAGATTAGGGAGACAGAACATGTGAGAGGGAGATAGAGAGGGCAGGGTTTCCTGAGGTGAGGAGTAAAGGAGGCTTACCTTAATAAACACTAGGCCTCTCATTGTCTTCAGCAGTAAAGCAGCTCCCATGGAACCGATGTAAACAGCAGAGTAGTACTGAATGTGCGGGTTGAGTCTCATGCTGTTGCTTGCCATTGTTTCGTTCACCGAGATTAATGATGTGTTCTGAGGGCAGATGGAGCAAACAAATTACAAAGACGGAGAGAAAAATCAAATCTTTCCCCCGATACAGATGAATTTCGCTTCTAATGAAACTGAGAAAAGCACACTTAGGCACACAAAGAGCACCAAAAATCAGTCAGCACGATGGTGTTTACTATTCCAGGCACATTTTTCAGCAGCAGCCAGCGCCTGCTTTGCTGCACATCTGTTTCTTCACTGCTTCTGCTTGTTTTTAATTAACTTTACCGTGGTGCCGTTACTTTTTTAATCATGCACACTCAAATTAATGATCAGCCGGCTCCAACAACTCACCGAAGAACAGGAGTTATAATTCTGCTGGGAGCCAAACACACCAAGAGCTGTCTATTATCAGTAGGATCATCTTTTAACTCACCCCACTGCCCTGCCTGATCCAATGGCTCAGCCACCAGTTACTAAAGGCTATACTGCCTGTGGTGGCGAGGAAGAGGAAGATGTTGATGATAAAGATGACTGGACCTCCTGCCGCTTTGATGTAGGCGCCATACACAGACCAGGCAACTGCACCAGAGCCTTTCTCTTCAGCTTTCATCAGTTGTTCTGAATAAAAGACGAGCCAAGAAGAAGTTGCTTGTGAACAGTTCTCAGAGAATCAAAGCGGTAAGCATTTATTTTAGATGTGAAGCATGAAAAGTAAAAGAGTCCCTCACTTCCTTTGGCGTTCTCCACCTTTGATACGAACTTGGCGACAGGCACGGCGGCGTCCGTCTTCTCTGTTCCCCCACTTTTCTGTTTGTTCTTTAAATTCTCTTTGACCATATTCTACACAAAAGAAGGAGAGAGAGAAAGAAGAAAGTGAAACGCATCGTCTCGCAGCAGCCGCAGCAACATCCTGCGAGGCATACAAACAGAGATATCTGTGACAGGGTCATCAGCGGCCCACCAGTAAATCAATGCACACTTAAATAATGAAAGGCCATGTATGCATTAACATTTCGAAGCCATTGGGCCTTCCTGTCGGGGCTGATGAATTATTCAGCTCGTAAAGCTCACTGTTATTGTGTAGAAGGGGTAAAGATGCCTTATTCAAATGAGCTGGCCTGGTGCCTTGTGCGCCCCAAGCTTACCTCCTGTTGCATGCTGTTGAAAACGGTGGCATAGTCACGCTCTTTGGCCATTAGCTGAGAATGAGTGCCGGACTCGGAAATCTGCCCATCCTTCATGAGAATTACATTGTCGCACTCTGGCAGATACTGAAAAGAAATAGACAAATAACTGAGTTGAAATAGTTCCGGACACTTAGCAGACATTAAGAGCGTTGAACTTCGATCGTGTTGCTTTAGGAGCGACTCTGTTTTTGTCGCTGAAGAGGTAAAATACTGACTGGAGTAAAGAGGCATTGAGGATTTCTAAATGTGCTTATGATTTATTATAAGAGGTGGGTTCACATTTAAGTGGAAACTAACAGACTCTTACCTGCAGCTGGTGGGTAACAAAGAGCACCGTCTTGCCCTTAGCGACACCTCTTATGGCTTTATGGAAGACATGGGAGCCCACACAAGCGTCAACAGCACTCAGAGGATCATCCAGGAGGAGTATGGGCCGCTCGCTGTAGAGAGCACGAGCCAGGCTCACTCTCTGACGCTGCCCTCCGCTCAGATTGGCACCCCTCTCTCCGATCTAAAAGAGATACAGAGATACTTTGGTTTCCCTCAGCAGCAAGAAATCAGTTACATAAACTTTTTCTTGGAGGAATAATATTCATGAGAAGCGGACTGACCCAGATTTTCTGTTTAATATTATTTGTAATTCAGTATTCAGTTGATGCTCTTCTTTTTTTCAGCGTTTCTGCATCATGCTGTCTCCATCAGAATAAGAAAACATGCTCAAATCACATAAATTACCGGTCTCCCGCAGCAGACACAGACTTTAACAGAGACTAAATGCAAAGCCTGCACAATTACCTACACAACCGGTTAAATGTGTTTGTGCTTTTATCTGATCCAAGATGTAGATACTTTGGCCTAGAATCTGACTCTCACATAAAAAACAACTCTGGCATGTGTACTATGCATGCAGGTATGCATTTAGTACAAATGTATCTGATAGGCATGTGTCGGTGAATGATGAAAACATCCCTCTGTGCTCAATCAAGTTAATTTTTTGCTCACGTACCTCAGTCATGTCTCCATATGGGAGCTCGGCCAGATCTGGAAGAAGACAGCAGGCCTCCAGGACAGTGTTGTATCTGTCAAGGGAACATAAAGAGGGGGAGGTGTTTAATCAGGGCATAATTCACCTCAAATGAATCAACCATAATTGCTTGTGTTTTTAATTATTCAGTATTTAATCCTACCTGTCTTGGTTGAACTCATTTCCAAAAAGGATGTTCTCTTTAAGTGAGTGATTGAGGATCCAGGCTTGTTGTGACACGTACGCGAAGCCGCCGCTAGCAGTAACATTTCCTTCCAGGAGGGTCATCTGCACAAAAAGAGGAAGTTTTTAAGCAGAATACACCTGGTTTTATCCTTTTCAATATGCTGCTTGGCTTTATGTATGAATGATAGGTCACAAAGGACTGAAGTTCTCCTAATTCATGTCTGTGCTGCATGAGAAGCCAACTTAAACTGAGAAATCTGGCTGAACATCCCCATTAAATCTCACCTGACCCAGTAGAGCAGACAGAAGAGAGCTTTTTCCACTCCCAACACCTCCACAGATTCCAACCAGTGAACCCTAGCAAAGCAGAAAGGGGTTGGGGGCTTAAAGCAAGCAACACCTTGAATAAAAGTCTCTTTGATCCGTTTAATGTATGCGTTTCTGTTGTTACCGTCTTGATCCGCAGGTCAATGCGGTGCAGGGTCTTGTGCAATGGAGGTCGTATGCTCTGTGTAGAGGAGATGGTGCTTTGTGGACTCTCCTGCTCCATATTTGTGAGAAGGCTTTGCGCCGTGGGACTTTCTTTGTTTCCTTTGCCATCGTCAGTGGAGATGTAAAGGCTGAGCTTTTCTCTACGCAGCACACGCTTCATTCCTCTTCCCTTTTTGGGGGCCTGGCTGGGCTTTGCAGCCGGGGTCCGAGCTTTTTCCCAGGCTAGCGTGGCGTCCTGAAATTCCACTGCATTGCTGGGGTCGTCCATTTTAGCCGAAACGACCTCTCTGTCATCCATCATGAAGAGCCTCTGTGGAGACAGATACTGTGGGTCAGTAAATGCATGTTTACTTTTAACGAAGTTTGATAATAAGCAACTTGACGAAATTCAGAAAAGTGGTTATTGTATGAAAAAAAAGATTTCCCTTTCTGTCCACTTATGCTGAAGCAACAGAAAACACTTTAAGCTGTGATATGTCATGACGTCTGCAGCAGTGCTAATGCACACACACCTCTGTATAAAGATAGACTCCAGTCTTAGATTATTATGTGCTGCATGAGGCAGAGAAACATGAAATATCTCCGGCCTTTTGGTGTACCCTTGGAGAGGTGCTTGCTTACTTAACCCCAGCTGGCTCTGTGAAACCGCCTCTCACGAGCATGTGACTTTTGCCATGTTTGTGAAATACATTGCGTCGATAATGTCACTATGTGGTTTGGACAGGTCTGTTTTAAGAAGCAGCAGGAGCAGGTTTTAATTGGCTCTGAGCCAGGTAAAACCTGCTGGGCCGGTGGCGTACTGTAAACATAGTCTCCTGCCTACTTTAGTACATATGATCTCACATACATACATACACAAATATACTGCTTATATAGGCTGACAGTTGGTCATAGATCCTTTTTTGTTGTGTGTCAAACTCGAGGTTTCTAAGGATGTAAAGTATCTTACTGAGGGTTTTTTTCTGTTACATAAGCTGTCTAAAAACGCCCATCTTTCATGACACACACAGAAAGTGAAAATCAAGCTTTAGTGATACTATTGCATGTCATGTTATTCTTTTGAAATAGCTGCAGTTGAAGTTCTTCCCTAAATCTGATGTATCATCTGAGGTTTTCTCTGTAATTAAAACTAATTGGTGCCTTGAGTTGAAATGAAATTCTCACTGGGTTTGGACATTGCTAGAAACATTTGAGACAACATCCAAATAAACACTTTAAAGCAGCGCTTCATGTTTGTCTCATAGTTTTTATACGTTTAATTGCAGAAATATCAACGTGAATCCTTTTGTTGTAATCACGAGAAGTTGATGTTCTCACCTGAAACCTTTTGACTGCGACAGCACCCTCTGACAGCGCCCTCACAGCCAGCGGTGTAACTTTTAGGGCAAAGGTCATAGAGTTGAAAACTGCAACCACGGTGAAAGCCTGAGGTAAGATGTGCAGAGGAGATAGTTAGAAACTTTCTTTCATCTGTGGCTACAAATAAAGATATATCCAAGCACCTAACAGCAAGAGGAGCTCTCAATTAACAGTAATCAACTGTAAAATATTACTTGATTCATATACTGTGTTTCTATTTCAAAAAAGTGCTCCCCGTGTTTATTAGAAAGGTTATAATGAAAATAAATACATTGTAATTTCAACTTAATTTAATAGACGTGTTCAAAGTGATCATAAACAAAATCTAAATTTAATACATTTGTACAGGTTCAAGTTTCTAAATACCTCAGCTGCAGTCAGGTCATAACCTAGAGCCATATGCAGGGTAAAAGTGCATGCGCTTGCTATCACCACAACAATGGGAGCCACGCCCACTGTGAGGCTCTGGACGACCCCGGCTTTCTCCAATATCCCCCTCTCTTCTGATCGCACCTCTGTTAAAGAGACACAAGAGAGGGACGGGTGATATAAAACACAAGTCAAAGATGAGCAGATACAGACAGAAAATAAAGTGAGGGTTCCCTGAGGGTCCTCTAGTCTAGTGAACATCCAATCAACAGCACCATAAGAGTCCATAACAAACACGCCAAGAGGGGACAGGAATAGATACCAGAGGCAGCACAAGGGGCCCCACAGCCATACATGGTATGAAAGAGGCTTGAAAACCTCCTGAACCTGATAACCGTCCAAGTGTAATGCACCAATCCTTGCCCTCTCCTTCCTCCACATTTGTATCTCATGCGTGCTGCTTTATTCATCAAGTTCACTGAGTGCAAGTACTGGAACAAAAAGGCTTGTGCATGTTTAATTTAGCCCCAGCAGCACTGTGTTTGAAATAAAAGGACCCCATCCTCCTTGCACATGTTATTCTCCATGGGAGTTTGCTCTGGATGGTACGCATGTTTCTGCCTGGATTACAAAGCTGAAGTGGCGTGCTTCAGGGCATAAAATCCTGCAGTTGTCAATTAAACAAGACTGCTAATTGAAGAGAAAGGCACTGTAACTCTCAAGACTCATTGGGCATTGAGTTGAATACCAATTAATTACCATTATAACAGGTAATCAAAGGGGTAGCAATGAGAATGAGCCCCGCCTGACTAATTTAAAGCATGATTAAAAGGGGAAAATGATCCTTATCCGCAACCTACAGATAGGCCCTTGTGAGAAAAAGTCATCACTAATTCATGGATAAGTTGAACAGCCTTGACAGCCATTCGAGGTATCATAAGGCCCCAAACACCTGGAAAATTAACCTTGAAGCTGAGGGATTCAAACTGGCCTTGATTATAAGGGATGGCACACGGACTTACTTTAATGCAGCGAGCTAATGAAAATGGATTTGAGGTCAGGGTTATCTTGCTAGTTCACCAAAAGGATAAGCCTAATGTCTGTTGATAAACTGACCAATTAGGAAGTCATTTGCAGCGGTGACAGGTATTCAAATGAGGTGACCCCTTAATTCTCATGCGTTGGAAATTAAAAGCTTAATAAGAGCATTTAGCATTAAGTCAGCATCTTGTTGAATTCAGCCTGTAATGAGCATCAACGTGAGCAGTTTTGTTGTATAAGACACTCACTATGAATATTCTGTGCAAACGCATCTTCCCAACAGTACATCTTGATGAACTTTATGCAGCCCAAGATCTCGTTCATCAGCCTCACGCGCCGGTCGGTCACCACCACGCACTTTTTGCGAAAATATGCAGTCAGCCTTGATGCCAGCATCTGTCCAGACGGGGAGACAGAGAGGAAATGATGACAAGAGGAATAAGTGGCATGAGAGGAAATGAAAGCAGACACAATCACATTAGGTTTGCTGCAGAGCCGTCCGGGGGAGCAGAGTGATAAATGCCTCTCACATCAACAGCAGGGTCCATGGCTGTCAGCCTCTCCATTAGACTGAGTGTAATTTGAAAATAACAGCGACAAAGCTGACAGGCGATTGATAGCTGAAGAGTTATGACGCCTTTAAAAAGTGCCGTTTGTATTCCTCAAAGATGTTTATGCAATAAGAGCTCATGTCTTTTTTTTAACAATGACTCAACAATCATCTCTTGAGTTATCAAGTTTGCACAAAACATTCAAAAAATTTCTACAGTATTAGCAGCTGCATAACTGAGTAAAACTTTAAACTATTAGTGTTATTTAATTACTTGTCACTACTATAAAGAGAATGATCATTATTCGGTATCAAACTGTAATTAAACGATGCCAGGGATTCTCACTTAAGGTTAATAAAAACACTGACAGTTCTGTGTCTTTGTGTGTGTTTTTTAATTAGCTTAATTTATCATTTTGTTACTTACTGTATATTTAAATATATATATTTTTAATATTACTGCTCAAAAGCCTGAGTAATTATGGTGGAATAGAGTTTAATCCTTCGCTCTGTTGTTTCAGATGTTGCTGGGGACGTACCATCACAGGGTAGAAGAGGATGAAAATGGTTGACCCCATCAGAGCAGTGGGGCCCAGGAAGAATGCAGTGTAGGACAGACCCAGTATTCCCACCAAAGGGCCGCCGGCCAGCAGGCAGCCCACAGACACAGCTTCATACAGCCGCTGGCCATCACCTGAGCAGATGTTGATCAGCTGGGGAGACATAATAGAGTTTATGTTTGAATCTGGGCCAAATATACTGAAACCTCACTTCTTAAATTATTGGAGCAAATTTAAATGTCTGTATTCCCCCATTACTTGTGGACAATTATTGCGTCTTTCCTAGTTCCTGTAAAAAGTCGCTTGAGGCAGAGACTAGGTCCTGTGTATTTGTGTGACACGCTGCTGCTGTTCCAAAGAAGCACCCACAGTTCATCGAAGTTTTTGGGGCTTTAATAACAGAAAAACGCTTCTATAATCGCCAGTGATTACACGCGCATATCCTCCTGTCATATGTGTACACATTGCGACGTGTATCAAGAAAAGTTATGGCTAACTAGCCTCACCTCTCCACCCCAGCGCAGGTGAGACCGCCCCTTATATCACTTACTGGCTTTCAAACACAATGCCCACGTGACCCAAACCCAGCGAAACCAACAGAGACCAGACAGAAGTAACTGAACACAGGATAACTGACAAGCAAAGCGACATTATGGCTCCTGCAACAATAATTCATCTTAATCTGTGTAATAACTAATCATATGCAGCCCCCCCACTATCAAGCATAGGGATTTACCAAGAGCTAAACAAGAGTGGTGTACCATCAGAGATTAAATCCATCTCAATTGTCTGCCTGTGGCTCCCTACAGTGGGGGATGATTTAGTTAATTTTGGGTTGAGTCCCCAAAGGGGTTACGTAACTTACCTCTCCTGGACTGATGTCTTTAGTGCTGCGTAGGCGGAGAATCTTATTGAAGGCAAAAGTAAGAGCGGCCCCTCTGAGGCGTGCTGCAGTGCGGTAGTTAACGGCCCACATGAGTGCCAGAGACCAGGAGCGCATCAACTCCATGAGGAAGATCCCCGCTACCAGGGAGAGGCCGTACAGCACATGGCTCTCTGGGGTTTGCGAATACTCCAGCAGGGCTCGCACCATGAGAGCCTGAGGAAGAGGAGAAATAGTAACAGAATGAAAACGAGCAGAGGAAAATATGAGGCAGAATGGGGGAGACAAACAAGGCGATGAAAGGGAGAGGGGTTCAGGAAATGCCAGTGATAGAGATCAGAACAGTAGTGATGGTGAGAAAAGGGAAAAGTGAAATGAGGGAGAAGCAGAAGAAGAAGTAAAAGATGAGAGGGTTTATTAAACTGCACAGCTCTGATGGTGATGAGATAGAGAAGCAAACATGTATAAAGTTCATTAAACTGCAGAGAGAGAACGTGCACATCACACCTTCCTCTGTGAATGTTGTCAATGAGTTGGCAGTGTGAGACTCATGCACTCTTGTGTAAGAACTAAATCCACTTAATGCTATTAGTTGAGGTCAGTAGCAGGCACACAGTCAACACAAAACATCACATGAAAATAAAAAGCTCAACGAACAATGGGACCGTATCATGAATATCAAATATCACATTTTGGCATCAAAGAAAGATTTAAAAAAGAGGTTTAGAAAAATCCTTTCAGATCTTTTTTGGCAAAGCAAAAACAAATCAGCAGGTTTCTTGACCAAAGCATGAGCAGGAACAAGCCACATAGCCCTCAGTATTAATAAGGGCTCCACTATCCAAAGCTGTGTAATCTCTCAGTTTGGTTTTATTTCAATTCCACACCAGCGTGAAACTGGATAAAGCGCTTTCCAGAGAATACACGCAGACTTTGGACTACAAGCCGGTGACTGTGCACAGAGGCATGTTAGCCTCATCAGCAGAATTAGGATAATAATAAAATGAGAGGAGGATTTGGACTGTACTCACGGGCCCAACAAAGCCTGCCACCATTGTAAGGAGGAGAGAAAAGATGGCCACCAGCATGCGGGTTTGGCAGAACCTCCAGAAGACTCTTGTCAGGGATGCTCCTTCACGCCCTCGTCTTTTCAGCTCACTGTGCCACAGAATTTCCAGCCTGTAAGCAGACACACCTAGAGCTCAGCACAGTAACGACGACCCATATCAAATGACAGCTGAACAAACATCATTACATTTTTAATTTGCTGTAAGATGAGCCCTAACAGTTGAAACTCAAACTGATTTTTTCCAGCTTGCTTCACACCGACATGAGTGCTACGCTGAGAGTGGTTTTAGTCCCAATTAAGAATATGTAAAAGTTGGCATTTTAGAAGGGCAAAATTATCATAGGGGGGGGGGGAAACTTGTATTATTATTCTTAAAACAACAGAGCTGCACTTCCAATTCATCAAGCTGCCAAAAAGCATAACAAGAGTTATATTTGCACAGTCTAGCAGCTGAAATACACAGGAGAAAAATTAAGGCTGTACGGTTGATAATATTGCAAAGGTGACCTACAGTGTATACAGCATGAATGATGTATTACATAATTAGATTGAGAAAGGTAATACCACACATGTATTAAAGATGTGCTAATGTCCTCTATTTCTGTATAATGTCTTTGAAAGACGGTAAAAAATCACATTGACCGAATGCATCAGTGCTAATGAGTCTATAATGCAGCAGCAGAGCAGCTGCAGAAAGTAATTTACGCCCTAATGACTTTATTAAAAAAAAAAAAAAAACTATCAGAGAGGACAGACAGAACATTAAACCAATTAGACTCTTCAACAGACAAATAATTACAACTGGAAGTCAAATGGTGCTAAATCTCAGAAAGTACAAAATAATTGTAACCTCAGAAGAAGAAAGGGCAAGTACAGAGTCGAAGAAATGAGACTTGAGAGTGAGTGTTGAAATTTGTTTGGCTAAATCTCATCAATGGACAATTAAAGTGGCAAAGACCTTTGAACACAGTAGCTACTGAAAATGCAGGATTAGAGATTTTTTCTTCATAAATAAGATGACAAATAGCATCTTAAGTCCTTTGAATTTTGGCCGATAACCGATTAGTCTCAAACGGGCTAAAATTGGCTGATAAATCGGTCAGGCCCTAATTTTAACCCTGAACAATCACCTTTAAGAACCTTAGAAATGTCAAAAATCAATCATATCAGCGCATCTCTAAATGTCTAACAAACAGAGGGGAACTGGGCAACGGTGTTGGATCGAAAAAGGCGTCATTTGTTTTCAAACACAGCTGAAATGTTCCAACCAGCCACTGTTCTACTTTGCCAAATGGCGAGGGAAGCTGAGGTTTTGAGAGTGTGTTGGCGAGGACTTTGCAGTCAAGGTTCGCACCTCACTGAGCACTAACAAGTGTCAACTCTCCCAGGGTGCTTTTCCCATTCCCTCACTCGCCGCCATCTCTGCTTTGCATGCCGGTTGCATAACTGTTCTTGCTAAGTAAACACAAAATAAAGACCCCCACCCCCCATCCCTCCAATCCCACCCCCACTCCATGCCCCTGTCTCCAGAGACTCTGCAGCTCTCATGCACACCATCGCCCACCCGTGCCAACGTGATAGCTTTGTGCCACTATGCTGCCTCCCTTCAGCAAGCTATTTAGCACACACAAAGCAGAAGCACTGAACCGCCAGGCCCACAGCCAGAGCCTTTAAAAGGAACCGGTCATTTACAACCCACACAGTTGTCACAAGATAATAGTGACCTTCCTCAAACAGTGACCCTCCTTTTTATTGCAGAATCATTGAGCATGACTCGACAGCATGTGAGTAATAGGAAAGGCATTGTTTTTTTCTTTTCTAAACACATGGTAGAAGCTAAATACCCTCTAATATCCTTATTGTAAGTCTATTGTTCATTCATAGTCTAAGTGCATTACTACAGGGTATTTCTCATGCTGCGGCTGGTAGAAAGCAATGATGTTTATCTCACGGTCAGTCTGTCGCAGGCTAGCTGCAGTCAATGACAGCTAATCAGTGTGACAGGAGACACCGTGTGTCCCAGGTAGAGGAGTTAATGACATAACCATCCAAGTCAGGCACTAACTCTCACTGTAATCTCTAATCCCTGCTATTCTTAGCAGCCATCCCTCCAGGCACAGTGTCCCTGTGTTTGGAAAGAGAGACTCGATGTTCATCAATGAAGTCACCTTGCAAAGAACCCCCACACCACAGCACAGACATAAAATCCTGGTCTGTTGTCCACGTGGCGGGGGAGTTACAGATTCCTACCTTGGACTCGCACCTGTTTCCTGTCTGCAGTATGTTTGACGATCACTACATTCAAAGGTTTTACGTTTCAGAAGAAACTACTCCAGTGCTCCAGCGGTGTGAGAGTGGAGCACTTTGTCCAGATCAGTTCACCTGAACACGAGCTAAAAACAACAAGCTCCACCGGGGCGCCTGAAACAAAAACACACGACTTTTCACCTCGAAGGATTATGTTTTGTTTCTTTAAGTTTTTTCCACATGACATAACAGCAGGACTAAATTTCCAAAATACCACTTCATATCAAGTGGAAAATTTATATCTAGTCTTACACTCCTGAAAACGGTGAAGCAATGTATCCCAACAAAGTGTAAAAACCCATTACTCATTCTATGTCATCTCTGAATTCTTATCTTATTTCTGGAAATATTACTCAAACAAAGACAAATAGAGTATTTAGTTAAAGTTGGTTGCCATGTTGGTGTGATTTAAGTCCGTACTGGTATCATGTACATTGGAACAGAATTGCCACAAATAAACTAAAGAGATCCCTTCCCTGTTTGTTGTTTATCAGTGTGTGGTCTATCAGGCTTCAGGTTTACAGCTCAGTTATAAGATTTATTCACAGGAAACTCAAAGTATTCCCAAATGTATTCTCTGAGGAAGAACATATCCATATGGAGCAGTTGAGGCTCTACTTGTCGTAGTATTTTTCAGAGAAATTCAACATGAACACCAATGAGTAGCATGCACTTTGCAGTATTTGGAGGTAGTGGCAAAGTGAAACCCCGAGCAGGACTAGAATCTTGGTGTATAGCCATCTGTCTTGAGAGCGGAATGGACAAAAAATGTCAGCATAATATTAACAAAGAGGATTTTTCTTTTTAGATTCAGCTCAGGTTAATCTCTCTAAGTGGGAAACTAAAAATGCATTGCTTGTTTACAGAACGGCTAATTATAAACTAGCCTTAACTTGACATAAAAACTCTGTAAGTAAAATAATGTGAACTGAAATGGACCTTCCAACATCTGTGACAGATTAATAGAGGAAATCTTAGGCCTACTCCTGTGATAAAGGCAGATTTCAAATGGAAAATCTCCAATCAAAGTCCACCTGGCTTTAAAGTTTCAGCTTGTAAACTTCACAGCCTTATGATGAAGTGCTCTACCATCAACATACAACAATGGCTGCACCCATTAAAGCCACTCAGTGAAAATGGGAAATCAACGAAGCCACACTGCACATAAACTAAGGTTTAAATAGCTGTTAAAGAACTGAAAGTCGTCTTCTTGGTATAAAGTTTTACAGTAAAACCTATACATTGCTAAGCAACACCAGCTAATGGCATATTGAGTTGTAAAAGCAAGTCATCTTCAATCACATTCAACCCTCTGTGCTTGGGATGCTTGATGGTGGACACTCAACAAAAGGAAATCTATCCTCTGATTGAAACTCGAACACAGCATCAGAATAGTATACTAACACTTCCCCACAACCACACACATCAAGAGCCTCTTGTAACAGAGCCTGGGGTTCAGCTACAATAAAGGGTGACCAGACAGAGTGACTCTCGAGGGGCCTTGAGAGGGCTTGTCATGACTGTCGAAGCTCCACCAGACTTTGTCTGAGTCTTTCCAGTGATGAAAAGTTGCTTCGTATGGTTAACTCTGACTAACAGGCTGTACACTACTTTCCAGATGAACAAAGAATCAGACAGTTTCTGTGTCACGTCTCTGAGATCTGATGTCTCGCAGGATCACACACAATGGAAAAAAAACAAGATGATCTCTCCAGCGGTACTAGCCCCCGCTGTCTTTTGTTGCATTTGTAAGGTGAGGTTTCTGAAAGTATTTGAGCAGAGGCGAGTTTTGATGGGGAAAGGCCAAGCAAAGCTGATGTTGCAAAACATTAGCAATACGTCAACGTAACACACCACATTTCACCCATGACAAATCCATCTGCAATCATTACACATTAGCTGATTCAATATTCCACAAGTATGATAGGTAGGAATAGATCTGGAGTCATCACAAACAAAAACAACACACGTTCACATGCAAAAACTCAATCAATAGATTGACATGTGAGCAATCAGTTGATAACCTGTCAGCTTTCTGTCAAAGGTTAAATGCTGATATTAGTGCATGTCTATAACTAGCTAACACAGGGTTATAAAAACAGTGTTTTGGACCTTAAGTCTTGTTTAGACCTTGAGAAGATTCGTTACTCGGTTGCAGGTAATGACAGAAAATTCAAAAAGATGTGGGGACCTTTTCTAGACTACATTCAGAAACTCTCATCATTTTGAATAAGCACTCTCCGTCTAGTTGTTTTCTTTTTGAAATATATATCTGTGAGGTTTTATAATCATACAATTCAAATTCTTATCTCTTATGGACTTTTTCAGTTCTTAGCGACTTGTCTACATATGTATTTCTCTTAACGTACAGTAGTTCATTTAACTTATTCTCTTTTTACTTTATATATATCTTTTTACTTATATATTTCAAGATCTACAAAACCCGAATTCCAGCACTTACTTGTTTTTTCTTTTCATTATTATTTTAGTTTTAGCTCCAGAATTTGTTATTGAAGCACAGTAATAGGAATATCCAGCAGTCGACAGGGTTTTGGGGGAAAGGGGGTGTTTGTAATGTGTTTCCTTTGTATAATTTGTATAAAACTAATAAAAACATTGTTGAGTAGAAGCTTTCTGTCAAAGGTTAAATGCTTATATTAGAGGAAAGCAGGTGCTTGCAAACTCAGCAAATGAGGCCTAACCACCCTATTTCAAACTTTTTATGTCATGTCTCACACTTTCTGCCGTTTTCTAGTGACACTGTGTCAAGGCCTCAAAACCGAGTTTTCCAAACACCAAGGTCACTTTCATCAGTTAAACCTCAGAAGCGCCACGGTTACCTCACCTTTGGCAGTTAGTTTCAGAGGCTTCGTGGCAAGACAGTCCCCACACATCATCTATGGACAAGCTGGACGCCTTGTAGGCCTTCCATGCCAGCGGGGAGAGCCAGTGAAGGGTCATAAATGAGAAGAGGCCGGCGTTATCGACTGGGTGCTGGTGCCTGGAAGAGAGTAAATAAGATGTGAAAATGGGTGAGATGTCTAAAAGTGCAGGCATACACGGAGGTGCTATGTTGGGGGAAAGAGTCAGCAAAGGCCTCCGAGCGAGACACGCCGCCTCGGCCTGCCAGAGTTGATGAAAGGTGAATCATGCCCTTAGTGTTTGAACAGCAATTTGCACACTCTTAACAGAAATCTGAGAGAGCAGCGAAAAAGAAAAAAAGAAGTTCAGGGGCAGTTTATCAGTTGGCTTATGTTCAAACACTGTGCTGTCTGTCCTTCGGGGATAAGCTCCCAGAGGTTCCCAGCCTTTATCGTACCCTCCTGCTCTTCTCTTACCCCTCGTACACAGCAAACACAACAAATGTAAACTTTTGTGTTTATGTATGTTTAAACTGATATCTGTCCTGCCTTACACTCACTTTTATCTAACAGACAGAGAAACCTTATTTGAACTTCAATAGTTTTGTTTACTTGTGTGTTATCCTAAAGGGCTTCAGAAGCTGCAGACTCTGCCGGTAGCGGCCTCTGCTCTTCAGCCCCCTCCCCGCCGATGCCTCTGCATCCTCTTCATCGAGCTCGGGAAGAGGTTGTGGAGAGGAGAGAGGCAGGCCCTCCACCCGCCCTGCTGCTTCCAAGGCATCAGGAAACATGGCAGACCTAATGGAGCAAAAACAGGAAAGCGGATTAATGACGAGTACATGTCAGACTCTTCCTGCAGATACACAATTACACAGGCATGTATGCACTGCTTCCTGGTAGCGCCGCGAAGAAACCTCATTGCTATTACTAATACAACTGACGATCAGACACATCCTCTCGTGGCTGAAAGGGTAATAAAAGCACAGATAACACTATCTAGTTACATCAAAAACTTCCGGAAGAATCGAATCAAAGGATCGGTAGTTGTTATCTTAAATATGATTGTAAAGCATTACAGCATGACTTCTGTTCCCATGCCCTCCTTATCTGACGGGGGAGACTTCATGCTGTTGAGATGTGTAAACAGCAGTCAGGAGAATTTCCAAGCGAGAGCTCCTGATATGTTCTTGAAATTTTCCATGATGCATGTTTGCAAAGGGCACATGATAGAGCGAGCACATTTGATCAAATATGGAGAGGAACCGTTGATTTTCTCGAGTGCTATTTTAAAAATGATTTCAGCAATTGCCCTATGTCAAGAACAGTTGCAGATTAATTCTCCACTCACTGTTCAAGCACTGCAAAAACATTTTACATTATCAAACGGATCCAAGACTCTATGAGAATCGTCTGGGATATGATGGACTCCAGCTTGTTTTCTTTTCTAGTTCTTAAAAAGCGACTTAGCGCTGACATTTATCTCGACTCTAAGCAAGAAAAATGACAAAAACACACAACCTTCCTGTTTTTATCTTTTTTCCTTCCACTGTGAGAGTTATCAGAGGACAGTCTTGTTTTGCTGAATCACCCTCTGAGACGCAGATAGACTTGCGAAATCACCTTGTTCAGGGGTCACGGCCCCTCGCTGGCACACAACTTAAGTGCTTATCTATTTAAAGACGACCTGCCAGCAGCCCCAAGAGCTTGAGAGCAGACATCTGAGCCGCCTGTGTATCCATACACTGTCACTGATCCCTGCCATAGCAAAGCTCTGTGACAAGGTCGACCAGGACTCTGTAAAGGGTGCAGATTGACTGCCCGGAGAATGGTCAATATTGAGATTCAATAGAGACTAGGCAGTCACACAAACAGAGCCGCATAATAGAAACCTGCACAATAAGGTTAGTCTCCTGCTAAGACATACACTGAAACAAACAAACATAGGGTACAACAGAGGTAGCTGTGCTGCAGGGGCACAAACAGAGACACATAACAGTAATCTGAACAACAGGTCCTGCTAAGACGTACACTGACACAAACAGATATAGAGTACAACCAAGGTAGTTGTGCTGCAGGGGCACAAACAGAGACACATAACAGAAATCTGCACAATAAGTTCCTCCAGAACATACACTACAACAAACAGGCTGTTTATGAGTATGCCACAATGTGACTGAAGCCCAACGCTGCAGTTTGAAATAAGTATGGAAGACATAAAGAAGGAAAGAAAGGAGGTTTTGTGCGTCTCCTACAGCCCCGGATACCCATATCATGTGAAGTTTGTCATATGGCTGTGAACTTTCAGTCTGCGAACCATACATTGAATGCGGGAGCGTAGAGCTCTGTATGCAAGAACAGTACAACTTGTACTCATCCTAATTAAAGCCATACCTTAGGGTTGAAACTTAACATGCAAGGCAGGAGTGGACATGATTAAAACATGCAAAGAAAAGAGGAAGTACTGGAGTGTTTTTTTAAGACAAGAGGCCCAGAGATGAGGAAAAAAAACAATGCAACAAAAAAACAAAAAAGTTAAGTAGACAACTGCATGTATTATTAGTCCACAAAACTGTCCCTGACTGAAAAAGGTAGACTTAATAGTCAACAATACAGCTATTTTAGGGGTTATAGTGATGCCTACTGATGGCTTGAAAAGGCCACAAAAACACAAACATCTCCATGTTTACAATAACTGGAGTTGCAGGGGTTTACTACTACTACTACTACTAATGGTAGTAATAATAATGATAATGAAAAACTACTTTTTGCCCCCCTATTTGCCCGTTTTTCTTATGTGACTATTGCTCCCTAATGATGACAGTTTGAGCATCAGCGTGATCTCACATTTCCCCATCATATCTCAAAGATTGAAAATAAACACAGGCTGGATTAATCACTAAAGACCACTACAGTCCTGAGCAGCAGTTATCTGTGTGTTAGTGTAATCCCCCCTCACTCACAGCACACACACTTACATTAAGTCGACCCTTTAGTGGCAGTACAGCTCTCAGATCTTGTGTTTATGAGCAGGAAATGCAGATGAAGATGCTATTCACCATGGTGTCTCTCGTCTTAGTTTGTTGTCATCAAACCCCTACTGTGGTGGTGGTGGTATCCCCCCACAAAGCCACGCGGACACTACTACTCCTCGCGCCGTGGACCAGGGCTCGGATGAAAACATGGGCAGGGAAAGCGACGGCAGAAACTTGACGGCTCACGTGTACACAGTACGTGATGCTTCTTCCCGGCAGTGTCAGAGAGGCTCGGGCTCGCCGTCACACCAAACGGGACCCTACAGGGAGAGGAATTCCCGATCTCGCTGTGACGTCACGGGAGATCGGCCAATCAGAGACGGTGCTGAGCGGTCACTGTAGTAACGGCTGAAAAAAAAAACGAGGAAGTACACGTTCCTGTCAGGGGCGTGGCTATCGTGGTGTCCATGGAGAGGGAAAATGCACCTCAGAGGAAACACACAAAACGAGGCTGAATGACTCCGCAATTTTTACATACAATTATAAAGTGTTTATTTTAAGTCAATATCTACATCATATATTATTTTTTCTTTGTGATTTTGCACCAACTTTTAACCCTCCTCCTGTGTTAGAGTCTGCATCAAGACTTTTGACTTTGTCAGGAACCTCTATTTCAACAAAATTAAAATAAAAAATCAAACTGACTAAATTTTAAAACGCTCTTCTTAAAATTATGGCACTTGCTGTGTTAGAGTCACTGTTGACCCGGTTAGATCAATATCTAATCTATCTATCTAAACAACATCAGGCATGTCCAGACATGTGGGATCAATTCAGTATAGATGTCTGTATGAGGTAGTGTTGTGCCGTTCGCGAACGATTCGTTCAAAAGAACCGGATCTTTTAACTGAACATACTGAACCGAATCCCTTCATCAAGTGATTTGTTTGTTTCTCTCTTCAGTTGAGCTGCCATAGCACACAGCATTGCCAGGTGAGCAGCCAGCGAGCAAGGGACTGCACGCACCGAGGCCTGAATCACTTGGTCAACAAATCACAAATCGAACTACACTCTCTGGAATCATTTTTTCAGGCAAAAGTAACTTTTAAAAAATTTTTTACTGCTAAATTGCCACCAGTATGTAAAAAGCAGCACATAAAAGCTGCAGCATTCTGTCACTGCAGTGGTTTGCGAGGGAATGGTGCCTGTTCAGTGTGAATTCTTCTAAATGTTTAGTGAATGAATCACATACTGAGCCCAGTTTACTGAGCAGACCTGATAAACGGCATACCATAAGACAGTACACTTAAAACATCATGACTTTTAAACTAGTTCATTTTTACAAACCTGTTTGCCTAAGCAACACAACCAAACATCTCCCGGTCCCAGAAGCAATGAACTGAACTGAATTCTGACCGTTCAGCTGTGTATCAATTCAGAAGGTCGGAGTCGCAGGCTCCTACTGCCAAGCGCTGAATGATTCGGTGATTCGTTGAACGCATCTTTTGATCGAATCTTTAGTAAACTGATTCTAGTGATTCAGTAGGACCACTCCGACTGACCTTATTCCCTACATGCAGCTATCAAATCCACCCAAACCTACTTTACCCTCTATGACCATTGCCAGGTGAAAATCACCTGAATACGTGCCTGTAGGAAAAAGCGGGTTTTGGATCAGGGAAACAAATATGCTTTCAAAGATGTCAAAGGCAATGCTGAAGCTACCCAGGGACCCATGATACTCAGACAAACGCAACATCATGAAAATCACTTAAACATGTTTGGTCGGGTGAAAATCACTCAGCGATAGTGTTCGAGGGTTAAATTGTTAAACTCAGAAGCCCAAATCAGTGGCGATTGCTCTAAGACTGCAAGGGAAGCTCGGCTTCCCTTAAAATGTCACCCCCCAAAAAAAGAAAAAGTGGTGAAATACGTACTACTGTGTGTACATTTCATTAACTAAATACGCATTAGAAAGCCTTCATCTTTTGTTCAGACACTGTGATAAGAAGCTGATAATCATAGGTAACCCGCATAACTTCGTTCTCATTCATCCTCGCAGCGCCTCAGCGCTTCACACAGCCGGACGCTGGGCTTCTGCTGACTTCAATGTGGAAGCTCAAAGTGGGTTGTTCCAGCAGCGAAACTAGACGCTCATTGGATAAATGCTGGGCTTTGTCCCGCCCATCGGAAGCCCAGCTTCACTGGAGTTCTATGGCGAGAGGGCGGTCCCGACTTTCTCCCAGACTCCGAGCTTCTGCATCCATGATTGGATGAGCTGTCTGAGGCGAAATCCTTTTTTGATTGACAGCTAAACAAGCGAATCAGCGATCTTGAAGAATAAAACATCTACCAGAGCATTTTCCAAGTTATTCATTCCGTTGTTCTTAACTGCTCCGGAGACTTTACCGATCCTCAGCGACTTTTGTCTTTGTTAAAAACGACTGCTCTGTTACATACTAATAAACAAACACAATTATGATGTAGGCCAGAAAAATGAGCTTCCCCTCCTTGAACGACCAGCAGCCGCCACTGGCCCAAATGTATGCAAGCTTAGCAATCCGTTTTATTTAATCATGTTTATTTAAACATGTTTGACACTTCTTAAAATTGCAAAATGCTTTATTATCATCTACAAGTATACGTTTAGTTCATTTCTAGTTTTTAATATGTATAAATATATGAGGGTCTGCACAACTCTACTTAATTTCTGTGTTACCAGCATCTAGGTTGTTGTCCCTGATATAACCATGAGTGGTCAGGGGTGTTACCTGGAATTCAGCCCCTGCTATCACCACCAGCCCATCCAGAGGAATAAAGAGCTTTAACTTTACATAACACCCTGAAAACTGGGGATAAATAGCAAGAAAGACAGCCAGAAAACAGAGGGTATAAATCAACACTAGTTTGAATATAATCTCTAATTTGGTTGAATTTGTCAAACTGATCTTCCAAATCCAAGGACAATCAATATAAAATCACAAACAGCTAAGACAAGCATGCACAACAACTTCAAGTCTGTGAAAAATCTAAATATGTGTGTCTTTAGTCGAGTAATCACCTCTATTACATATCCATACAGCTCTAGTTGTGAATTTCAAAGCTGCTTTATCATTGTGATGACAGGAGTACAGAGAACTAAGCCTACGAAATATGTGCCAAATCAATAACTAGTAAAACCTCTCCACAGTGATTCCAAGCTGTCCTCACTTAAATGATAAAGACCATAAGCCTAGCTGGCTCCACAAATAACAGCCACTCTGAGACCTCCTAATGGCCCACAGCAGTCAAACGAAGGCAATTTATAAGTCTCAGCTGTGCACAACATAACAGAGTCAGACATAAAGCTAATACCTAACAACCATACCTCTGCAGCTTGACAGCAAGAGAAAATTAATCCACTTAAGAACACAACACACATGCATGGAGGGAGGCTTGTTTATATTCAGCTATTTCTCATTATTGGACAAAAAAAGAGACACAAACATTATAAACATTATGAGATCCCAAAGTAATTACCAAAGCAATAATAACATAATCCTAAAAAAGGTAGAAGTGTAGCAACATTAAAAACTCTGGGTGCTGAGTTTGTCTTCCAGAGGGCGTCCTCTGGGGGATTTGGGAAAAGTTCCTCCTTGAGGCGATCTGACTGCAGCTGCTGCAGAGCAAAAATGTTTCCTCCTTGCTGCTGCACCATTTCTTTTCACAATTTCTTGAAAAGTAAATACACAATCGCCTCACCTTCACTGTGCCCAAAGTATTTTGGTTATTAAATATCAGTTAAAGGGCTATTCCAGCGTAAAATTAATTTAGGGTCAAACACACCATAACACAGAGTTAGACACCCCCTGGAGAGATGAATGTTGCAGACCACTTGCTTCTCTAGTTATACCAAATTTAGTAACGACCGCAAGATAGCAATACACAGTGGTCTGAGGAGCCATAAACAAACCTCAACCAAAACGTCACTCTATAGCCACAAATAATGCTCAGAACAGCACCTAACTTCATCAACAGCACATATAGGGTCCCAGCCACAGCACTAGCCACCAAACATCTTTTTATCTTTGCCTGATTTCTTTAGCGAAGAGACTAAACACAACTCACCGTCTCTCTTCCAGCAGCCGTTTGATTGTAGTGAGACCTCAGGCCAGTCCATCATGGACTACAGTGGGGTGACACAGCTCAGGGAAGAACATTTATGATCCTTTCTTTATCATTTCCTTGAAGTAATAATCACCATATTAATCATTTTGCACAGCAGACACAGAAGTACTTCTGCCTTAGCGTCTCGGTCTGATTGCATTCCCATGAAGAAATGATCATAAATGTTCTTCCTTGAGCTGCGTCACCCCATAGCAGTTCGTAGGTCTGAGGTCTCCCTACAAACAAGTGGCTGCTGGAAGAGAGACGGTGAGTTGTGTTTAGTCTCTTTGATAAAGTAATCAGGCAAAATTAAAAAGGTGTTTGGTGGCTAGTGTTGTGGCTGGGACCCTATATGTACTGTTGATGAAGTTAGGTGCTGTTCTGAGCATTATTTGTGGCTATAGAGTGGCGATTTGGTTGAGGTTTGTTGATGGCTCCTCAGACCGCTGTGTATCACTCTCGTGTGGTCGTTACTTAAGTTGGTATAACTGGAGAAGCAAGCGGTCAGCAACGTTCATCTCTCAAAGGGGTGTCTAACTCGGTGTTACGGTGCGTTTGACCCTAAATTAATTTTACGCCAGAATATCCCTTTAACTTCAAGGCTGGATGCATAGTTTGGGAAGTACCATATAAAAGGCACATGCTGTTTTTATTTTCTTCTATTTAAAAAAAAAAATTATGCAAATTGGAATATGATGTGTAAACCTTTAAAACACAGCACGGTCAGAGCTACAGCCTTGGCGATACGCAGGCTTGTTTGATGTATCCTAATAAATTAAAGGCCTCAAACTGAGGGTTGTTGCATTGTTATTGCCCCAGACATAAAGTATAATTTAACAAAAGCATGTACCTAAACTTTTGATTAGCTGTAAAGGACAAAACAGTTTTAAAACTTCAAATCAGTTGAGACTCCAACTGAAAAATAAAGAGTTGTTCAGTTTAGATATTCTGCTGCGGTTATCATGTCCATGCCAGGTTTGTAATGCGGCTCAATAACTTAAATTCACCATCCTTCCTGGGATAATATATGCAACAAAAACTCATTTTGTTAGAGCTTATTATACAAAAATCTGCTGAGTTTGTATCTCCTCTTCAGCCCTAATGCAATGACACAAAATGCAATTTCAGAGATGCATTGATAAGAGAAACTCTTATTAATATGATAATGCATGCTGCTTGGTACAAGCTTTATCCATCAATTGATAAGAGACACATGACTAATTAAGTTCCATCCAGCGCTTTCCTGCAGATGTGCCGTCAGCAAGTAAAAGGACAGTGGTAACAGTTTTTACACCCAGCCTGGGCACATTTCCTGCAGTATCATTTCTTTTCTCAGTGACTTCACACAGTGATGTAATCTCACTGACAGCCCTCTCTGCACTGCTGCTGGACGAAAATAGCAATTCATGAAATGCTGAAGAAAATCATCGACAGGTTCTCACTTTACTGGGCTGGGAAATTTGCTGAACTTCTGCAATCGATGCGCTGGATCTGGACTCTGCTATCAACCTCCTGGGACGTTTATGATAAGTGCCGGAGTTGGGACCAGGGCACAGTATGATCTTAGAACTTTTGTTTAGTTTTAGTATTTCAAGTATTAAGTATTTCATAATTCAAAAGTGTCGTGGAGAGAGCTGGCCGAAGAGGGATACAGACAAATTATACAAGTGATGACTTGTTTGCACTGATTGTAAACACAAAAAAATCAATGAGATGGAAAAGAAAGGTTCATTTTTATGCTAAGAAACAATGACATTAGAAGGATTTGATAGCAACAAAAAAGCTGCAGATTGCACCTTTTTAAAATAAATTTCACAATATAAAACACATTAATGGTGAGTAAAGCCACAGTTTAAAATATAAATTGATTTTCGGAAAAATGGAGATAAAACCACAAGAAAAAATATCGATGTAATGAAGAAGCAGGAAAGCTTATTCGGCTGATTCTGATACAATTCATGTTATATCAAAATACATAACAGTGGGAATGAACTGAGATGAACTATACAGTAAGGCAATACAATTCAATTTCATGCCTGGGATGACATCATGATATGTAATTTTTGTTAGAAAATTGAAAAGTCAAAAATTTATAAAAATGAACCTTATTATCTGGAGGGAATAATTTGTCAACTAAACGTCATAAATGTGTGTATTTTGGCTGTGCCATGTCTAACTACATTTTCAAGATTAACTTATATAATATGTTATATGCATAAACTATTAGATTAGATACAAATGTATTTATCCTTTTGGGAAGGTTCCTTCAAGGGAACTAAAATAACCCTAACCTAACCCTAACCATATTTTATCAAAGAGTATGATCTTTTCCCCTAAATAGTTTCAGAGCTTTGCATACGAGTTGTTTCCAACCTGCAGTGTGGGGACTTTGCCTCCCCCTACTGGCAGTGGTAATAATTACAACGTCAATGCCTGCTCAGACATCCCCTTTTCTTCACGTTTAAGTGTTCACTGTTTAGGGAAGCTAGATTAATAGTCTGTTTCTACTTCTTTTAGCTGTAATTCTCTGGTAATCGAGTATGGATGGTATAGTTTTGGATTGTAGGTTTTATCTTATTACTTAAAATACTGGGTTAAAAAATAAGAAAGACTCATTAATGTAAAGAAATTCAAAGCTGTCACTGATGGACTCTTTTGAAGCAACATTTAACAATGGCCACCTTTGTAGAAGTCCTCATACAAAGTCCATCTTCAGGTCATGAACTTCACTGTAAACATTTCTACTCTTTATGGTTTGAGAGTACTTCTGGTATCTCTGCCTCTGATTTGATTATCGCCATTTTTGAATGTTGTTGCAAAAAAATGCACCAAGTAAAAGAACCTGGTTTTGCTTTCTTAAGAGACAAAACAAAGCTTTAGAAGAAACACCAATATTGTCGATAGGAATTGGCAAAAACTGTTTGAATTATACGGCAAATCTGTCTGTTTTTCAGAGTTAAGCTCGCTGTTCTGTGCAAATCCTCATCCCCCTTGATGACACCTTCAGTGTTTCAGCCGAAAATGCAGAGCACAGCTTGTTTGTTTCTTTGTGAAGAGTTGTTAAATCTCATTAATATTCATAAACCAGTCAGAAGTATTGCACAGTCTAATTACTTGGCATTTATTCAGATGCAGGTTTTTCGTCATCTACATAATGCAGCTGAAGAGACGAGAGGTACATGTTGCAGGATCTGGGATATAAATCAGGTCTCTCACATGGTGAAACTTCAAGTAATCCTGCAGGAGCTGGCTGGGGCTCAAGTGAAACTAATTTGAAAGCATTATCGGTCAAGTCAAGTCAAGCATTTTTACCATTTTAGCAAGTCTGATGAAATCCAAAAAGGATGCTAAAATGGAGCCATGTCCATGAGCACATCTAAGAGGATAATTGCAAAAGTTGTTGAACCACTCGAGAGAAAACAGATTGGGCCAAAACAGTAAAATAAAGTTTCAAATGAATCGCAATGACACTGCCTGAAGAGAAAGGCAGCAACTGACATTTCGGTCATTTAACACTCTTATTTACACCATATAAAAAATAAGGTAAATGTATGCAGCTTGTTTTTGTCGTGGTTTTGTTCTCTTTACACCCCCTGTCGAAAACGATGCTGCTTCATTGGGGGAACTACAAAATCCCTGTCAGTAATCTGGAGACCAGGGCTCACAATTTGACAATCAGTCAGGTCTAATAAGGGTTCAGTCATGCACTGAGTGACAGCTCCAGGGCTCCAGGGCTGTCACTGTGGATTTTGAAATCATGTGTCCAGAGCTGGCCCAAGCCTCAATGGGGCCCTAAGCTTAATTTGATTTTGGGGCCTTCTATTTCTGCCAATAATATTGATTTTTGATCATTCACACACATACTACAGTATAAATTCAATGTGCCTGACGTGCCTGGGTAATAACATAAATAATACCAATGCAACCATACAAATAATACCAATGAATGACTGATTATTTATTTTATTTTTTAAAATAATATATATTTGATCATACAGAAAACATCACTTGTACATGCAAAAAATAAAAAATATAAAAATTTATTATTTTTTTTGATTGCTCTTGGGGGCCCCCTACTGGCTATGGGGCCCTAAGCAGAGGCTTAGTTCACTTATGCCTTGGGACGGCTCTGAGTGTGTCCCTTGGATCTTGATCAATCCATACAGCAAGATATCAGATGATGGTAACTGAAGGCTGATGTGGTTTTGACGACACTGACTAACTCAACTCTGCAGTTCATCCAGGGTGAGTGGATGAATTTCTTCTAAAATGCAAATAATCTCTAATTAAGAGCTGACGACTATATTAGGCACTGTTAACAGTTACATGGTGGTAGGAGAGTGAGAGTACAAACCGTTTCCCCACAGGCATCTGACTCATTATCATATACAGTGCTAGAGCTCGCAGTACCAGTGCTTTAAAGGCTTGTTCTTAAAGGATACTCATCGTGGAGGTTGCCCTGGTTTCTAAATTCTCATTAAGGTGTCAGGAGAAATTAAAAAAACATTAGACACACACAGTCCCATGATAAATCACATAGCTCGCATAATCCATTACAGCAAAAAATCCTCTTTGAATGCAGCTATTTGAAACGGAAGTATTCCTAGTTCTGTACCGTATCAACCACTATAGTTATATGCTGATTAAGAGATGTAAGATTAGCTTAAGCACGCTATCATTTGCTTATTTACTATCCTAGTATCCCTCAGGCAAGGCTAGTGTTGCTGTTTTAGAGGATCAGCTTTGAGGCTTTTGGTACAATTCGATTGAGTTTTTCCAAAACTTCAGAAAAATAACTCTTTTATGACCTCAGGTGTAGAGTAATAGTCAGTAAGTTAGCGTTAACCTGCTAAATCTTAGTGAGAATGATCAACATGGTGGATATGATACAAAACTGAACAGTTACCTGATCAGAATCTTACAGACTATCTACATTTTTCTCCCTTCCAGTCTTACCTGCTGCCAATAGAGGTAATTTTCTCTTGAGCTTATGCCGTCAAGATGGTAGCCTTTTTTTTAAAAGAGGAAGGTCGCCATGGTAACCAATGCTGCTCCTGGCTTGATGAGCAGCAGAGGCTAAACAGCTTAGCTAATCATATCCTGAAAAGAAAGAGCCAGAGGTACAGAGTAAACAGTGAATTACAGTGAAACGTATGGAGGCCCTTAAAAGGATTTACTGTATGTCTACCACGTAAAGAAACATCCAACAAGAAATGGAATTAAAGCGAAGCAGTAAGAGGTATGAAGGATGTGCTCCAATCAGGGCAAAGGAGGCTTCTCCTGGGCAAGTAGAACAAAAATGGTTGGAACCACTTCCCGAAGTAGCCTACTCTACACAGGGCCACATGAGTCTGTTTCCTGAAACCATAGACTGTATATAGAATGGACGCCGTCTGCCTCCTCGCTGGGTGAAGCCACTCCGAGAACAGCACCCTCTTTTTTCTGTACAGCTCCATTTTTAAAAGTAATTAAAAGTAATGTTTTCTATGATTGACACTTGATACAGCCTATGGGCGTATGAAGATTGAGTTATTACCGAGGGCTTTTCAGCTTCAAATCCGTATACTGGTGGAAGGCAGAACCAAGTTGTCCATAGTTCATACAGTCGATTGTTGAAACAGAAATAAATGACTAGAGAGTGAATTATTATGTCAGGAGACGTTTCTTTATGCTTATGGGTTTTAATTAACTACTTGACCTACTCCACTTTGTTAGAAAATCATCTTGTCCCCGTTTTTTGTTGGAGCTGCTGCGATGCAACTCACCTGTCTCTCTCCAACCCCTGGCTGTTCATCAAACACAGTCCCTCAGTGTGAATCAGGGTCCTGGTCCAGTGAGCACATTTCATATTCTGCCCCACGCCACATCCATCAGTCCTGGAGGAGTTGTCATCGCACCAAGTCATCATTCATACTGGTTTCATTTTTATTTTGCCTTTTTGGACATGGACATATATTGTTTTGTAACAGAGTAAATCCAAACCAACCTTTTCCACTTTTCATCCATTGTGTAGAAAGAACTGACATTTGGTTTATGCCTCTGAAGATGATTTTACATACACCCCATAAAGCAACTGAACAAATGGCAGAAGCACAACGTGTGAAAAGCAAATTCCACATTCGGAAATTTACCACCAGAACTTGGACAGTGTAAAAATAAAACTGTGCAAGCGAATCTTATATCTTCAGTTAGATCAGGCGAATTCAGCTGTTGAATTGCATCAGTACTGAACTTCTTAATGACTTCTGCATGAAAAGTGGGAATTTTGATTTTCTGCATTAACAATTTCCACTCTGTTTTGTGAGGCGTCATGATAACTATCTCCAACAACATATTCTAATCTGATCTCCCTAATCTTTCAAATCCTTTATTGACTTTAGAGATACAAACCTGGTGTTGTAAGCGTGAAATTGTCATCCCCGTGGGCTCCAGCAAACACCACCTCCGACGGTGCCAGACGTCCCTGCAGGCTCCGGGTGTTTGCAGTTAAACAAAACTTGATGAAAATCCTAGAAGCTCTTCACTGGGGAAAACCACAGAGGAACATATAAAGTATTTAAAGTCGAGGTAGAGAACTTTTATCGTGGGGAAACAAGGAGGAGAAGTAATACCTAAAAATAAACTTCTTCAAATAAGATTACCTCTGGGGCGGTAATTGCTGTCTGTGCATAGCGATTCTTCTCGAGTAAAGGTCATTCCATTTATAAGAGCTTGAAGAGTGGCCATCGCTCATTAGGGGAGTATGACTTTCCCCCATAACCTGGCATTTTAGATCAAACACAGTGATCAGACCAGTTGTTTTCACCGAATAATGGGTCTGAAATATCACTGCTTGACCTCTCAGCAGCCGAATCTTTGACTGAGACATTTCCTCCCCAAGAGAAGAGCAGTCGACACATTTTAAGAAGACTTTTTCCTCAAGAGAGACTCCCTCTTATTATGTCCTGGAGCATGCCTGGTAGGTGCAAACACCTCTTGGGTATCCACCGCTGTGCTTTTTCTACTTTGTATGTTGATCCATGAAGGAAGGAGACAAGTGAGATGCATTGTGCAGTTTAGTATCTTGTGCCCAGACGCCCCGGAGAGCAGTATAAAATAATTATTCCGGCACTTGCCATTCACTCAGCTGAAAGTGTGTGCAATTTTCTCAGCATGCTCAAAATCTGTAAACAAAAATCATTGTATGAAACATGATTTGCCAAAGTAATAACCTCCAAAGAAAAGTGGATCTCTTTAAGTCCACTTTTTGTTTTCTTAGGATGTCAAACCAAGTGAGTGTTTCTGCAGATGTGCTGCAGCTCTAGCACCGTGGAAATAGAGTGAATTTGGAGAGCTTTTATGCAGACATAAATTAATGAGCACAGCTGAGCTTTTAGTAAGAAAGAAAACCTTCACTAACATGTCCCCCAGCGCTGTGGGGATACACCCGCTGTCAATGCAAATCACCACAGGAGCAGGCGGGAAAACAGAACCGAGTTTGAGATGTAGCTGCTGTTGTGCTCAACAGGAGGAGCTGTTGACTTGACGAGCATTTTAAGCGTCATGTACTTAAGATCTACAGATACTTCATGATTTATCTGCTCCGAGTGTCCTAACTGTACTCCTACAAACCTGTTATCGTATTTCAGACCACGTCTGCTGCTCACACATCTAAGCTCCTCTGACCTACTCGCTCAGGGGAGGCCATAATCATAATGAAGCAGATGAGGAGGCCTTCAGGAAGCAACATGAGAGGGAAAAGTAATTAAGGGTATCCTGAGCATCATGATATCACCCAGAAGAACCTAGTTATCTCCCAGTGTCCAATTACACCTCTCATAAACGTGATCAGGGTGTGTAATAATGGATTTAAGGACAAATTCCTCCAAAATTGATATTAATACCCTTAAAATTCAAGCCCGGAATCCTCGGGGCTCAAAATCATCAGACACCCAAGGACATGTTTGAACATCCCCACAAACGCGGACATCTTTCTGCAGCAGCAGCTTCACCATGCGTGAGAAAAATCACACATCTGAATGGCTTTTTTCGCTCGCACACACCTTGAACCGAATTAATGGGGCTCCTCGCTGAGTCGCTGCAAAGAGAAGACAACAGTGTATGGAGATGGCGTTCACCGGGGGACTGCTGCTGGATTTAATTAGTCTGTGTTTACCTCTTCGTGTGACGCCCGAGAACCTGATGCACAAGCACAAGCACGCTCGCTCACACAGAGGCACGGCTGTGAAAGAGATGAATTGCAAGCGCCTCCGGTCAATCAGTGTGTAGGAATGGAAACTCTGTTGGGAGGAAACGCTAGATAGAGAGCAGTGTCTGAAAGGAAAGCATGCGCCGTGTTAGTGCTTTCTTTATGTCAGGAAGAGCGGGAGGGAAATCTAATGGGAGCTGGAGATCAGAGATGCTCCACTGTGTGCATTTTGAGTAGTGATGCACAGCTTTGAGAGTACAGATCTGGAGTTCTTCTTCTTTAAGTAACATCTTCATATAAGACATGTCCTTTAAGAGGAAAGACACAAGCCGCATATTTGCTCTTAAAGCATTACTGTGACAAAAAAACACATACCAGTCCTCATTCTCTCTCTTAATCATGTTCGACAGGAGCCAAAAACCTTGGTGGGCTGGGGGGGATACATATTTATCATGCAACCAACTCCACTCCCATGACAGATATCTTACTTTTACCCGTGAAATCCACTTTTCTGCTCGAACCAATAATGTTAATAATGAATTACAAGGAAGAAAAGCCTTGTAGAAGCATGTCGGCAGAACATACTCATTCTCCATTATTAATTCAGGTACAAGGACTCGTATGCTGACAAGTGCATGAACGCTAATTTTTCAAACACAGTGCCTGTAGGAGGCTGATGAGAGCAAATCATGTGTAATAATAAACCTTTGTTTCTCAGAGCGAGGGGGAGGAAGCACGCCGCCAAATAGCCCAGTGGAGGCGCATTAAGGATGCTTGACTGGGCTTCTGGGAGGAACCTTCAGTCCTGGCGGTGAGAGCTTTCTATCTGGCGAAGACGGAGGAGAAAACTCCCCTCTGTAGAGTGTTGTGTAATGACTTAATATATGGATCCAGGCAAGTGGCACACAAACACACACACACAAATATTTTGTGTATGCAGTATGCTCGCGACGGCACAGACTGCCTCACCAATTAAACATCATTAACATGATCCCTTAGGTGTGTTTCAAAGTTAAGCGGGGTGCTGCAGCGCTATGCCTTTAGACAGGCTGAGAGCCAGGACTAATTAGCTTTGGAGAGACGCGAGCGCCCTTATGTAAGGTTTGAAAAAGCTGCCCTGAAGCCTCGACTAAAAATATACAACTAGTTTTGGTGAGTTAAAGGTGGGGTAGGCAGGAAGCTGTTAAAGAAGCATCTTTTTTTGTGGTTTATATACAAAAAAGCTTTTATATCAGTCAATAGCTTTTAGTTATTGATAACATTTGGTAATATAACAATATTGCCGTGTTTTGTTATGTCTGTGTAGTCAACATTTTCAATTTTTTGAGTGTCCCGCTCTTTCTGACTGTAAACAAAGCTGTTCTCCACCTCCCTTAACCTGATTGGTCGTGAGGCAGACGCTGCTCCTTAGTGTCTTTCATGAGCCCAAACAAAGTTAGCGTGCTACAATATCGGACAGTAGAAACCAACCAGAAAGTACAGAAAATTGTCTGAATCCTCCTTTAGCCACGACTGCCAACACAAGCAAAAAAACAGTGAACCAGAAATAACTGACACCGGAAACACCGGAGACTCTGGCGGAATAACGGGCGCTTAAAAAGGAGGTAGACCACTCGGACAAGAGCTAAAAAGCCGGGTCAGCAATGATGATTTGACGCTTCAGGATCTCATGGACCCTGTAACCTTTCTGCTGGACGGGTAAACCGCTTTAACAAAGTAAGCCAAGTGTCTGTAACTGAAGTGTTTCTTGTCAAACGGGACCTGCTGCGTGTCGCTGAACTGTTTACTTCAGGTCCTGGAGCTCAAAACATCATCCAGGACCCTTCACACCCTGGTGCCCAGCGGCCCTCTGGGAGGCGCTACAGGTGCATCAAATCAAAGCGTCTTCCCTCGAACCATCACCATCTTAAACTCCCGTACACCAGCTCCAGCCCTCAACATGAGATAATAAGTGCAATTATACCAATGTTACTGCTGCTGTGTTGATTATTATATCCTTAACCTGTGCAATACATGTCCATATACGTATAAAAAAATACATACATATATACATATATTCAAACACACACATATATATATTTATTTTTGATAATTCCCTTAAGTATTTATCTTTCTATTTTATTCTTATACATACGTTTTATTTCAATACTCTGTATAATTCTTGTCTTGGCGAAAAGGAGAAGCTCTCCAATCTTGTTGTACTTTTAGTGTGATGACAATAAAGGACATTCTGATTCTGATTCTGATGTCACTTTATCCTAGTTGTAGAAGTCCTGTAAACATTGTGTTTGCTGGTAGTCTGTTGGCATCTACAGTAGCACCAATGCTGTTTACTTTCACGTTGACTGGGCCCCATTTGTAATTATCTGAAGTATTTATCTGCATTATATCTGAATTTCCTTGAAATGATACCAGCGAGCAGGAGCGTCTGTTTGTGGGCAGGGCTTGCTGGAGCAGAGAGGGAGGGGAGAGGAGGAGCTGAGGGGAAAACTGGTTGGGAGGGAGGGGTAGAGTTTACATTCAAGATTTGGCACTTCTTCAGATCCTGCCATACCACCTTTAAGAAAAATCAAAATAATCCCAAACATCTTCATGTACTCAAAACCTCTTTTATAATCAAAAATATCATCCAGGCATTTACAGTGTATCACAAGAAATGATTCTATGCAACTGTTAACAGCCTTCACAGAAAATGAAGAAATATATCCATATTTGATCTATGTTACAAACCAGGAACAGCAAAAAGGAGAAGGGAGGGAGGCTGACGGGTTCACAAGTTTCAAGTGTTCAGTTAGACCTTGATTAGCCTCCTTTGGTTAGCCCTGTCGTCCTGGCCCACAATGACACCAGCTGATACAGAGAGTACAATGCCCTGCCCAGGTGGGCAATAACTACGACTAGAATCCAGTGATTGAAGAAATCGCCGAACTTCTGTGATTCCTAGAGAGTCACAGACTTTTGCAGACACTTAAAAAGTTGCTGAGAGTCCATGCTCATGAAGACTCTGCTGCTGAGATTTGGCTTCAACGTCCCTGTGACCATGGAAACGCTGCTTTTTACGACTCGGCCACCTTCACAGAGTCCCGGAAACATTCATGTAACATTTCTCCTGCTCAGTCTTCTGTGTCCTCAGTCAGGTACAGTCCACAGTCTTTGATATTCGTGGGCTTCATACGCCATCCTTCACATTGTTAGAGAGTCCCTGATGTAGACTCTTGTCTGCCTGTCGTCTCCCCTGTGTCTCAGAGGTGTCTCCGTCAGACTCTACGTGCTCTTGATGCCCTGAAAGCCGCAGAAGTTCCAGCGTTTCTCCAGACTTGCTCCGACGCCGGTTAGCTCCTGTCTGAAGGTGCAGGGCAGCCGAGAGAGAAGAGCTTCCACCTCGCTAGGATTAATCTGAAGAGACACACACATAACACACCGGGGTTAGACCAAGAATAAAGGGCAGTATATTCAACATAGACTGCAGACAAACAGATAATTAGTCTTCATGTAGGTGTGTCTCTGCTGACAGGATTGAAATGACTGTCAAAATGCATCTGTGGCAAATACGCAAATTATAACACATCATAAATATATGTACAATGCACTATCTCTGTGGGCATTGTTAGTGAGTTGTTAACTACGGTGGCCGAGAAGCGCCACTGCTGCAAATAAAAAAAGAATACAAAAAAAAGAAAGAAGTCGCAACGGAAGTTATTGATGCAAATAAAAGAAACCGGAGCCCGCTGCATATCAAAAAAGAAATGGTGCTGATAAAAATAAATAAATAAAAAAAATCCACAACGGAAGTTAACGACGCAAAAAAAGTGGCGATTCAAAAAAAAAAATAATAATAAAATAAAAAAAATTACTGCAGAAATAAAGGATGCAAATAAAAAAAGAAACAGTGCAGATAAAATAAATAAATAATCCACACAACGGAAGTTAACGACGCAAAAAAAAGTGGCAATGCAAAAAAAAAAAAAATAATAATAATAAATTACTTACTGCGAAAATAAAAGGATGCAAATAAAAACAGCTACAACGCAAGTGAGCTGCTCGCGACCAATAATGATGGTGCATCGGTGTTTTACGATCTAGGCACAGAAGACGACGACGAGAAGACGAGCAAAGAAGTAAGTGGAAAGGTTATTGTTTAATTTCGCTTCGTGTGCTTTTCAATGTGTCGTTTGGTTAGGCCATGTAGCGCCTGAGTCGATATGAAGTCGAACTGGAGGATACCGGTGTAGTGTTAGCTTCAGTTCAACTTTCTTCAGTCTCTTTTTTTTTTTGCATCGGTAACTTCAGTTGTAACTTCTTTTTCTTTTTTTGCATTCTTTTTTTCTTTGCAGCAGTGGCGGTTCTCGGCAACCATAGTTAACAGTTATAACACATTTTAATACCTGACCTTGTAAGTCATGATAAAATGCTTTATAATGTGTTATAATTATTGCTATAAAGCATTATGATCATTTATGAGTGTTTATAACTATAGTATTACAGTGCAATAACGTGATTATTACGCACTATACATATATTTATAATGCATTATAGAGATAGGCGTCAAGTAAAGTGTTACCAAATTCTCAGTCTAATTTAATATCAGAACACAGGATCAATAAAATTTCCAAGTGAGAGTGTGGTGGTACAGCAGCACCTGACAAAGCATAATCTGGCTCACAACACCCTGGTGGGCTGAGGATCCCGAGTCGATTAACATTCTGAGACGGCACAGCCAAAAATCCACTGTAAAAGCCGCTGTCGACACTGTCTCGCATTAATAAGGAGATTGTCAGGTCTGTGTTGATGTCAGGATGCATTAAGGTCCGTGATGGAGATAGGACCGGTGTGTCATTCGACACAATAGAGCGGAGTGAGTGTGGAGCCTCCAGATAAGCAGAGGAGGATCGGTTCCTTTTTGTTGTCGGGTCTAGTCTGTGATATTTACAAAAACTCTGTGGGCTGCTTGACGTGTATAGCCAAGACCAACACACACACACAAACACAAACACACACACAGACCAAAAAAAGAAAGAAAAAAAAAAAGCATAGGGCATGACAGATTACAGTCACAATCCTTTCTGCTCATGTATGAGGATGACTCAGGGTGGCCAGCGGCTGTTTGGAGCCATGTCCAAAAACTTACATGACAAATAACTTCTTTAAAACAAGCAGAATCTTTTAACTGGTTTGAAATCTGATATTTTGAGGTCACATGTTTCACTGTCGTCTTTTTGGTTCATGACTTGAACGAAAAAACGAGGCAGTGACACCTGCAGTCGTTTTTGAAGGTCTTCTCACTGAGGCGGAGAGCAGGCGTGGCCATTAATCTCAGTGTCACATTTAGAGGTGACTTTGAAGGTCCGCATTTTAAAAGCCCTCGTATAAGTGGCAGTGGAGAGTGATCATAGGTCTGAAACACCTTCAGCAGAAAGACAAGGGTGGTCTTGTTGAGCTTTGCCAGACTGGAGGATGGAGAGGGGCCGCATGTGTCAGAATGAAGGATCAGGTTTTAATGTTTCAGCATGAAGGAAAACAACCAATTATCAAGAAATGTCTGGACAGTTTTGAAGTTTCAGGCGGATAACCACTCTTATTGCGCGCCTTTTCTCAGAAACTTTTTTTTTTTTTTTTTAGGATCCTTTTGTAAAGATTGTTTTTTCTAATTGCTGCGAATGTTTTGTTCTCTCCTCAGACACGCTTTAAAAGTAATACCAGATTTCAAAAGAAGTTTCGAAATCCACTTATTAATTAGGATTTCTTTCTTTTAACACCTTTTCTTTGCTCAAAAGTTTGACAGTTTCTCGAGGCAGCTCAATCAATATTCAATTATCAGCTGTATCCTTCTGAACTTAACCA